TAAAAATATTTAAGTACATCCTGTAGAATCTTCGAATGTATCTTGCACTTGGAAAGCTCGGAAAAGTAAAGAAATTACGACGATTACAACTTAATTTATTCCAAGCCACAAAATCTAATGTGATAACAATGTACGTTTGTTAAACAGGAATTTGAATAGCAAACAGTACTAAGTTTGTGCACGAGAAGTTAGTGCACTGACGAAATGAAATTTATATGTATAGAAGTTCGATTTCGTTTTTCCATAAAGTTCGGCCCTGTATGGGTGAAAAGGGCTCCTCCGAGTGGCGCCACACGCCCGTTTATCATTCGGCAACAGATACCTCGAAAAAAAGCATTATACAATAAGAAACAAATTTATGTCGCATTCCGAAGTGCGACAGGTCTACAATGTAACACTTGTTGGGGTGCTCGACAAAAGGAATAGTCAAAATGCGGGCTGTCGATTCGGATTCGAGGAGCGTTAAAAATATCCCTTTTTACGATACATCGCTGTTCCATCGAGAGAGGAACTCGAAAAGTTTGCTAGGTTGGAAGTTAAAAATTTTTTGGAGCCTGCACGGACGGCAAATTTGCCCAATAACAATAAAAAACCACGGTTATTTAAAAGGTGTAAAATCACAAAATATCAATTGACTTTCGTTTTCGAAGCAATAAAATCAATTGCCTTATCCGAGCCGGCCACAATTTCGGTTTCTTTAATGCCTAATAAACTTTTATGTTCGGACTTTCAGCGATCGCTTCGTCATAAAATTCTACCTAAAACTAATTTATTCCTTTAAACTAACGGTTCATTATTTTTTCCGTACGGTGAATCGTACTCGGGATAATTATCGATTTGCTGTAGAACAATGTGTACTTTACGACGAGAAGATTCCATTACTTTTGTTGGAACAAAACCTCCCAGTTTTCGTGCAAACAAATTCAAAACTCCGTTTCCTGGGGATTGTTGATGTTTCGTCAAAACCCACACGTAAAGTTTTATTTTAATTTCAGTGGGTGTTTGGTTTATTATCTCAATAAATGGTAGAAGTATCCTCCAGTTGAAAACGTAATTATTGGAACAAAAGGTGTTAGTTAAGCGTTTAAAAAGAAAAACTCCCCGACTGATAAATTCGAATTAAATCGATGAAAAGAAAATGAATCCACCGAGGAATTGATTCGATTAGAAAATCGCGACGATAAGATCCAACGAAGAAAATTAAAACTTCATTTTACAATTTTTCAAACATTCCTCGACGTTTATGAATTAGTCCTGAAACCGTTTTAAAGCGGTACGGCGACTTCACCTACGATTTGCATGCGATTATATCGGAAGAACGTAGGAGGGCTCGGATTCGAGGCCTACAATATCCGACATTTACCGCGGTTAGCCCACGCTTTATCGCATTATCGGATTAACATGACGAACGCATAATCACCCAGGTAGGCATCATAAATTACAGTTGTCTGTTATTTCGGGTAATCTGATCGCGATTTCTGGTGCACCTTTTCGGTGCCATTCCGAAGATCTTATTGTCGACCGCTCGTCAGCCGACCTAATAATTTACGCTAACCATTGGTGCGCTGTAAGAATTTTATTTTGATTTAAAACAGCAGTTCTAAGCGTAAATTCTTCGTACCTACAGTACAAACAGTGGAAGTTCTGCTTTTCGGTCGACACTAAAGAGCGCAGGTAGTCGCCGAACAAAGTAGTATCTAAAACAATTACACGAAAATAAAATGGTCTAAACCTGTTCGAGTATTCAGCATCCCCATTTATGACGTGTCATTTAGATAAGAGGCCAGGCGAACTGAGACCCGCCGAGATTTTAAGGGAGGTGCGATAATGGACCGGACTTGTGAGATTCCTACAAAATAATCGAATTGTATTAATCTATTAACGCCACTGGTGTTTTATGGTAACGAAAACCGAGCAACAATAGCCGAACGATCTTGTAATTTATAATTATTTGATGTCTACATTGTCGAACGGTGCACGAAATAATAGGCGATTGCGCACAGGCTATAATTATCGAACAGTGCAACGAAAAGAGTTGCACTCGACTTATAATTAACAATAAAGCGGAGAACAATGGGAGGATTTTTCATTAGCAGATCTGCTTTCGTAATTTAAGTTCGGCGAAATCGAAGGGCTTTACAAGAATGCATTATTTATTGTGTGCAGTCTTTTGTTGCTGGGTAAAAAAAAAAATAATTTTAAACTGCTACAAGAGGAGGTATAATGCGATGGATTGTTATATAAACGAACAAAAAACCGATGTTTTAATACACATCTCTATCTGTATTTACATTAATTTTGTTTATTTTCAACCTGCGAGAGGTTTTGTGTACTCTATTTCAACCGGCGGAAACTGAAAATTCGTCTTTCTCAACTTTATCTATTTCCACTGCTTCCTGCGTCGACTGCAGGTATTCTGTAGACTAAATAAAATGAAATGTTCGAATCTCGTCGGTGTCCTTCCTGTATCTGACAGCCAATTTATGTAATATTTCAAAAGCAATACCTTTCTGAAATTGATAATAATGAATATTGTATTTTTGGTGTAATTCAGAATGACGCAAGGAAGTAAAGGAATTTCCTATATTTGTACTCCATTTGCCTAACAAATCCAGAAGATTTTTGCTCAAAAAAAATAGTCGAGCGCACACTGTATACACGCGTGCAAGGCATAAAAGACCACCTGAGAATAAATATGATTTTTATGGAGGAATATTATTTCCTGTCGGAATAAAACCGCAAACAACCTCCGCGATAACAACGCAATAAGACGGGATGTGCTCTTAGCGCACAGCCGGAGTTCGTGGCTTCTCAAATAAAAAAATATCACGTGGAGAAAAGCCGAGAAGAAAACGTTTCCTATATGCATCGAGCGAAAAATGTCAGCGCAAAGAAGTGCATCTTGGAGTAATTCTTGAACTAACGATTCACGATACAAAGTTGTTTAGCAGCATAAAAGATTAATAATTACTCCATGCAATTTTTCGAGTTAATAATTACAAAAAAGTGCCCACTTCACTAACTGTAAGTGAAGTGTAAGGAGTTTTAATGAGCTTCGAGTCCGGCCGAAACGCCGATGATTTATGCCCTCTGAAACGGTGTGACTGAACTGTACATCAATTGCCCGATAAACTGTATTTTTTTTGTATTTTTTCAGTGCCCCATTAATCCGATCACACTACGATTCGGTAATTTGAAGTTTAAACAGTCTCTTCGTGTACTGGGTGGTCGAATAAAACGTCGGTAACGGTACTTTTTAAATGTCCAATTTTCGACTTTCACGGTAAATCGAAGCGAGATTTATAGAGGGAAAGGTTTTCGCTAGGAAATTGTTTCGAGTCGAAAATGAATTACCGTTCCCATTAATTATACGATTACTTTTTGTCGTTTATTATACGATGTTTCTTGGGTGAGTTTATTATAAAATAGGTGGAAATGAAATTGTGTCAATGCACGTTTTACCTCGAAAACGCATTTATAATTGACCAGACGGAACAATATTTCGAAATATCTAATTATATGTATCAGACGACTTAATCGTTTTTGAGAAGCAGCCAAATCTTTGTTGTGTCTGTTATTTGCATTATGGAGGAAAGGAGCAATGACTCTAACGTTCCCACCCCCACGCAAATACTCGTGAACCGCACCTGTGTTTTCAGAAGCAGCTTTACATTTATTATGTAAATAAACGCCGTTTTCCCAGATTTTCCTCGGCGTTAATAGCCCGCTAACCGTGTTCGGTTGACTTTAGCGCTAATAATACAAAATTAATGTATCGTACACACCGTAGTTTTTGATCAATTCTTACCGCGGAATTAATATTTAATTCATACGCCGGTTAGTCGCGAACGTGATCCGGCATATTCCAAGCAAACTAGGGTGAATTCCGGAGATTCTCACCAGCGGAAAATTCAATTATCTACTTCTGTCTTGGAACAGAACGTGTGTACGTATGTGTATGTAAATTTCGCGCCTCTTAATAATCAAACAAGCAAACTCCGAATTAACCAAAACTCCGCTTCCCTTTCGCACAGCCTCATCCGGTTTTCCCTTTCCGCGTAATTAATTCCACAATTAACACATTACAACTATACAATAGCTTGTATAAAACTCACCTTGCTTCCTGGACCTTTGTCTAACTCTAGCGCAATCGATCAGGGCGATCAGAACGATGGCGCAAAAAATCGTCCTCTTCAACATTTCGCACTGAAAAAAATCACATTGCACGAATCGGACCGGCCGGTGGGAATCGGACGAAGGACCATCGATGTTGAAAAGCCGCACGTGGTCGGAGCTAAAGTCGCGTCGAAGTAACAGAACCCCACGACAAGAGGATTATGACTGACATAAGATGCCTCTATGGAGAAGTTACTCAGCGCTCGGTCTCGAAACGTTGCCGGTTCGCTTCGAGATCGTCTCCGGGGCGAACAAAGAATTTCCGAGAACGGAGGCCCCGAAGGCGTCGAAAGTAAACAATTTACGGCGCTTTGAGAGGTTTCCTATGAAATTGATTTGGTTGTAGGTGCTTTACCGAGTTGTAGTAGGCTTTTCTGGTGTACTGGTTGTGTTCAGTTGGTGGTTGATGGCTATTAGAAATGTCCTATCCCGTTACGGGAGAATAAAAATTGATATTTTACACCAGTTTCGAGGAATCGTTAAAAAACGGTTTTAGTAACTTGCAGGTATCTTTTAATCACAATAAAAGCACGGATGGTGAGATAAAACGCAAGATTTAAAACGGTCGGCTTGTCTTTTGAATCGGAAAAAGTGGCGTTTCTCTTGGGTTTATTTTAGTGCGCTGGCAGGCGATGTTGCGAGTTCTCCCAGAAGACCTAATCCTGAATACATTTTAATTGCAGAGCGAACATTAAAGAGAAAAGAGATTTTGCGAATGTAAACCTTCCAAGTCCAAACCGAGCCGTAATAAATCATTCCAACAAAAATATTGCGATAATAAGGGATGTACAGGATAGGTTGTTAAAATGAAACAACAAAATTCAATTCATCTTTTTATTAAATAAACATTTCTGTACTCCATTTAGAACACACACGGACATTTTAATAAATAATTTTGCTAAGAGGGGACCGTAAATTTTTTCCTATAACGTTTTGGTCAACAGTTTGTTCGAGCTCTCCCGCTTATCCCATCATTTCCATACCGAATACGAATTTTTTCTTTTGTTCGTTTTCTTTTTCATTAAAAAAGTTTACAAATATAAGGAATATTATGCAACTAATTTCTCGTTTCAAATTTGTCGAGTATAAAAATGATTTGTTATGTGTATTCGTACGATTTCCCTAGCAATATTAATTATGAATGTTGAACGAAAACTGATGAGATGACTGTGTAATGTAAAAAATATTTAGCTTTTGGACAATCTGTAACACCAAGCTATGTATGCGATTACTGATTAATCTCTGAAGTAAACGTTAATTGTTGTTTTAAATTAGCGATTAAACCGAAATTAATCAATGTCGCACTATTTACTTTACATGATATGTGATAAATACAAGTGATAAGCCCATAAAATAATTTTCTATTTTCACTAAAATATTTCCAGTTTATACGATTTTACACAAAAATTTTCCTATATAGCAACGCGTGAGCAAATCGCTGAAAACATTGATTATGTTGGTTGTAAGATTTTTGAATGTTTTTTTTAGATATAATGGCACTGTTTACTTAAATTTGAATTTTTTTAATAAATTTATAAACTTTTGTTATTCAATACAAAAATAATGATATGTATATTATTGCTTCGAAAATACCTGATATGGGCATTTAAAGGATTTGCTCACTGGTTGTTGTTGTTAATAAAGCAACGATTTATTTTCTCAAAATAAGCATTGTCTCCTAAATTGTTACCTTAGTAAGCATTCTATATCCGTCTAAAACTCCTATAGATATTAAGTATTATAAACATATTCGAGATAACTACAGTAAAAAATCGTAAAAATTATTTAGAGTATTCTTCAATTAATTTAGCTTCGAACAAATCTCAGTGAATGAAAATGCTGACTTACCTTAACTTATTTGGCAAATTTAGTATTGTATACGAGATTCGAGTGACTTTTCATTGCGTTTTCTTTCATTATAAGTAATTATTAATCTAAGTATTATTCAATCCACTTATTACAGTGATAAATTACCTACAAGTACTTGAGAATTACTTTAAGATACTCAACTATTAAACGTTGTTGAGCTTCACTGAAACTTGTTGCAAAACACTTGGGAATAACAAAATTTATACTTTTTTTTCTATATATTTACTTCATTTACAATACAGTGTGAATGCAGTAGAATTATTTTTTGTTCATTGGATGATAGATCGGTAGATGATAATTAGTTTTATTGTACCAACTAATAATGATATGCAGTTATTAATCAACCCTAAAAACGCGTTTTATTTTTAAAATTGTCCTACAATTTTTTACCCTGTAGATGCATCTAATTGTACTGCTTTCACATTAGTATATTAATTGATTAATCTACATACATTAGAGTCCCTTAAGACTTTTGTATAGTGCTATACAAATCAAACTGTTCCTCGCCTATGAGTTATACATACCAGTGTAAATTGTTTTAAAAATGGGCTATGTGCGTATTATACTTTACTTCCCCAAGCACTTCATCGAATAGCGATACGCAAATTCACCGTAGTTTGTTGTATTAAGAGCATTCGTTCCGTTAGAAACAGCAATTAAAAACTATGTGCAAAGTTTTTATTAAAAAAAAACGTCCATTGACTGGGCCCTAATCGAATTGAAACATTTCACATATGCTTTAATACAACACCTAAGCTATATTAATATTCACATCGGCAGTACAGAGCTGAGTGACTATTCAACCGCGATCCGGATTAAAAACGAAACTGAACAAATTTTTACAAAATTTACTCCCGCCGACCTCGCCGAAAAAACCAAAAAAATTCGACTAGTTTCATTTATTAGCTAAGTTTTAGGCTACACGTTGACATTGATAAGGATAATTTCAAATATTACTAGATAGTAGTGATAAAAGTACATATTGTCTCTCACAAAATGTCTCAATTTATCCTAAGACCTAAAAATCGGTTGAGTCTTTAAAATATATTTATGTTTAATTAAAGGTAGACCATTTATAAGAATTAGTTTCGAAGGAAGGAAATAAAAGCGCCCAGCGATGTTGGGTTGTTAATTTTATTCGAATTTATACAGTGAGAATCCACCTATACATCAAGCAATCAACCCAACAACACCATTTCAAACGCAAAGAATAGACAACGAATGAGTTTCTCATCGTTCGTTATTTGTAAGGAAGATACTCAAAATTGCGCTGTTCGAACTAAAGAGGTAAATAAGAATATTGTCCTTACACTTAAGCGGCCAATCACACGTCGAAAAGGAGGGTGCAATTGTCGATGGTAGAAGGAAACTGGATGATGAAGAAACTGATGTTACTGGTCGAACGATGGGTTCCGCGTTCGACTCACCCTGCAGGCTACGACCCGGTCGCCTCTGGAACAAACAAACGCCCCGATAACAACCCTTTCTCTAACAACCCGCGTCTCTAACATCCCCCGATCGATTTCCGGCGGCTCCGAATCGAGCGAGGGATTATAGAACGTTACAAAGTACGACGAAATTATTAATTAGAATCACTGTAATTTCCCCCCGAGTTTGAACGAAAACGAATTGAGCGATTGATGTACATTTTGACGGTCTTTATTAATTTTTTTTCCACCCGCCAGTGTTTTCCGAGAGGATATTAAATTGTATCCCTCTCGCGAAGAATTCCGCACACGCTGGAATCGAAACTCCCGGCAAACTTTCGGAATTGTACCTAACAAACGAATAATAAATATTCATTACTTCCTATCGTAACTTTGTTTTAATACCAACGCTCATATTTTCGTTTCGTCCATCGCAGGGAATTTATACGCCCCGTAAAAAATTTAAATTACAACTAAACGTGCGCCGGAATAATACCCCAGAGTTTGGAATCAATCTCGAAATCAATTTCTGTACTATCGATTACCTACTGTATAGGATATAATTAGATTCGGGATTAACAGGCCCTGAATATACCTGCTTCAAATCAGTACAATATAGAATATAGGTTAAATTGATTAGGGATGCGTGGGATTGACAGTAGGTGTAAATACGTATAGAAACGATGATAAAATTGCTATCGGAATGAAGAATAAATTGATTATAGTCGTGAATATACTGAGGATTAATATACCTACTGGGGATAAATATACTGAAGATGAAAATATTGAAGAAGAAAATACTGATATTGAATATATTGAGGATTAATATACTGATGAAGAAAATACTGATGGTGAACATATTGAGGATGAATATACTGAGCATGCTGAGGATGAATAATTAGATATGACTATACCAATGAAAAATGTAGTTACTGGAATTGAATATACTAGAGAATCTGTTGATGAATATTTATGGGGTGGAGGATGAATAGAATAATGAATGAAAATACTGACGAAGAAAATCAGTACTGATGATGAATATACTAAGAATGAAAATACTGTTAATAAATATATTGAGGATGAATATACCGAGGAAGAATATACTGAGCATGAATATAATGAGGATGAATAATCAGGATCAACATACGAGTATTAATGAAGATGACTATACCGACGAAAAATGTAGGTGCTGATGAAGAAGTTAGGAATGAAGTTAGGAAGGTAGGATGAAGAATAAACGTGTGAAACTTACCGACTGCTAGACGAACCACTCGTCCTTTTGGCTTTGAGAGACGTGATCCGTTTCGGCGCCGCCGCCATTGGCGGGGGCCAGTCTCACTTTGCCTGGCAGTAGAGGCGGGCCCGGGCCGGCGTGCTGTGGAGGAACCCGAGTGGGCCCGCAGGGTGGCGCCAGTTTCCCGGCTGCTGGTGGATGCTGCCGGGACCGGTCGCAGTCACGGTCAGCTGCGTCATGCTGCCCGAGCTGGGCTTCATGGCGCCGTTCGAACCGTACATTTGTTGGACTGAAACCAAAGACAGAAAAATATTATGGTTAGTGTAGAAGCATACCTAACATTTTGCTTCAAAAAAATGAAGGAATTGCTTCAATGTAAATGCCTAAAAAGAAGAGAATGAAGAGAGGTTAGTGTAGAAGCATACCTAACCTTTTGCTTCAAAAAAATGAAGGAATCGCTTCAAGGTAAATGCGTAAAAAGAAGAGAATGAAGAGAGGTTAGTGTAGAAGCATACCTAACCTTTTGTTTAAAAAAAATGAAGGAATTGCTTCAAAGTAAATGCGTAAAAAGAAGAGAATGAAGAGAGGTTTTGCTTCGAGGATCCTGCTGTTGCTTTTAAAGCAACAAAGGTTTCAAAACCTTTTTCTCTTATCTTTTGCATCTACCTTTTACTTCAAAGTAAATGCTTCATTTTTATGAATATGGACTATTGTGTAATGGAGTTGGAAGCTCGACGAGATTTTGCTGTATAGTAAATAATTTAATTGAATTAATTAGCTGCGTATGTTCGGAGAAAACGCGAAATGGGGGTTTGTCACTCAGTCCGCAGTTTCTATTTGCAATTCAAACTAATTTTTCCGGTTTTCCGAACGCTTTTTCAGCGCCGGATCGCGCGCGAGTGAGAGGAAAATCGCGCTCCCCGCATGGAAAATTCTTCTCCTTGTTTCGCTTGATATTTCGCTCCCGGTTGTTAATGGCGCTCCTCGGCTGGAACGGAACACACCGTTGATATTCGATTTTCAATTGGAAAGATTTATAGGCTGTTTTCGATTCAAATCCAGGCACAGCGCCGACAACTGATTGAGTTTCCTCTGGATGTTTATTAACTACCGATTGTGAAAAATGGCAAGCTAGTAAAACAACTTACGAGAGTACGAGGCGTTCTGCTGCTGGACCGTCCCGTTACCGGTGGAGGTGTACAACCAGCCCATCCTGCAAATGCAGAAGGACACGCCGACGACGAGGACCAGCAGGACCAGCAGGGCGCTGACGACGACCACCACGAACCACGTCACTTCGATTCCCAGAATGGTGCCCGTCTCGCTGTCTGCAAGAAACGGAAAACGTTTGAATATTTCATCGAATCGCCCAGGAAGTCCGAAAACTCCACTCCCCGGTTCAAAGTTTCCTTGTAATGAATAATTGAGACGACGAAAAACGTTCGTTGTAATCCAAGTTTGTTTGTGATGTTACAGTTGCAACTTATTTAACGTTAATAGTAGGAAAAGTAATGCTTACTTTTACATAAGTTAGTGGACGTTTCGTCTGATCCATCAGCACAATGGTTGATTCCGTCGCATACCAATTCAGTGGCGATGCAAAACTCGCGCAAGTTGCATCGAAATTCAGTGCAAGCGTGTTCTGAAACAGAATAACCCACCAATCTTGCAGCTGTATAACAAATTGTCTAGTTTCTACACGATTTGGTGGAGACTCTTTACTCGGATTCCTCCACCAAAAAATCGTAATCCAAAGCTCCCGAAAATTAATTTCATCCCGTAAAAGTTTTTACCGTTTTTTTTGTTATTTTATTAAAAGCGCCGCAATTTAAATTGTAAAATCGCTGGGGGAACGGCGGCGAAAAGAAACAGAAAAATCTTATCCGCTTCAATACAACGCATCGCGAAAACGGGAACCAAACGAGAGGCAGAACAATTTCATTATGAGAGTAAAGTGGAAATGACTCGAAACGCCGAAATGAAAAGATCCTGCAACAAAACGGAACGAATGTCTTTTGTATACTGTAAACAACGAGAGCCCTATAACAGTTACATTTTTTCGCAGTTAAACATTTCAGCGAGGTGCATAAATTATAATTAACCGTTATATTTCATTCGAAATTGGGAATTAAATTGTTTTATTCCATTTTGCCGAGATTCAAATCGACCTTACAATTTAAGCAAACAGTAAAATATTATCTCTCTCCGATCTACTGGGAAAAGGAACAGGATTATTAAAGACAAAACTCGCTTTTACTCCTGCAAAAATATCTCCAACAAATTAGTATTTGCAGACTCGGATCTGTTGTCTTAGATTACTTTTCTTCGGATTCTCCATTTTAATTCGAAATAAAACGGATGAATTTTTCGTTAGAAATTCGTTACTTACTGGGGTCCTTTACGGCCGTAATCACCAGCTTGAAACCATTGGAATCGGTGCCCCAAGCATCAGTCACGTACTTGAGCGTAACATAGTTAGTTCGAGTAAACATGGCCCCAAGATTTTGTTTTGTGTTCTTGCAGGACAAATCGAACTGGAACAAACGGAAACCACCCGGTTAAAATCATGCAATCAAAAAAGGTAATAACTCGTTAAATTCATCATCGATTTTTAAAGCCCCCGTGCGAAGAATTTGCGATGCAATCGCGGTAAAAATAGTTCGGAAATTAGTAAATTGCGTGAGGGTATAAATTTTTATTTACGTTATTTGCTGTATTAAACTACTCACTTTGTAGGTTCCAACGGCGTGGGCGCCATCGTAAATGTACAAATGATCGTTGCAGTCCAATTGGAGGAAATCGAAGCGAAGCATGAACCTCTGGAGGATCGAGTGCGTTTGAAATGTAATGATGCAGTCCAAATTTCTCTCGTTTTGCGACCAAAGCAGCGCGCCGTCTATTTTCCTGTACAGGTTCTGCAGGAAGTGGCTTTTGCACAACGACTGCATGGAGTCTGGAATAAAAATTTAGACGATACAAGTGATGGTAAACAATTCTTTCTGTATTTTATTTATATCCGTACGCTCGCAAGATAAAGGAAATTTTCTGTATAGAAGCGTCAAGTTGCATTTCGCCACATTTGCTATTCGATCCGTTCCTCTGGAGTTTTCCTTTCGGAGATTTGGAAAGTCAAGGAAGGAATATATTTGTGCATTTTATATTAGAAAATATATACCCCGTCGAGGGAACTCTTGTCACATTGCTTTTACTGGAATTTTCCGACTCTAGCTTCCTCCGAACGACCGGTTTAGTGCTCTATTGATTTATTTTATTCCTCTTTTTTACTATACACATATGAATTTTAAAACAAGTCATATCAAAACCTTCTTAAGTAATGAAAGAATAATCATCCATTTGCTACACAAAATTGGTAATGGTGAATTTATATATCAACTGGGCAATAAATACAGCCGCAATAATTACGAAATAATTGCATTAATTCGGCTAGAATAAATTGACCCGGATATCAAAATATCCGGCGGGGCGGAAACAAAAATTGTACAATTAAAACGGCGATATCAAATCCTGTTGTTTAGCGAACCACCAAAAATCATATTTTATTAAAATTTTTAAGTTAAATTTACGTTGATTTATTGACTGTGGGAGAGTTTCAATTCAAAGTAAACAGTTTTTGTTGATTTTTGATCGAAAATTGTATTGCAGTTCTCGAAGAAACTTCAATTTTCTACATTCGCGCTGAAAGTATTCAAGTAAAAGTTTTCCAGACGCGAATGCAATAATATTCAAATTCGCATCTACAAATGAACGTGTACGAATTGATCGGGACGCTTGTTTCCAGCGACGTTAGTTTATCTATTCTTGAATTGCGTTATTCATGCACAAAAGATTAAATTCCATGGGATATTTCCCGATGAAAGAGAGCAAAAGGATCGGCGTTTCCTGTCCGCAAAAAGAGCGCTTTTCTATTACATGGCCGTCGGTACTGGAACAATTTTTACTTCGCATTTTCCATTGTGCTCGATAATTGGAATGATTTATGGGAGAACGGGCGCGTCTATTTTTTCCAATTTCCAATGAAATTCCATCGGATTTGGAAAAACTTTCGGAGCCATTCGCTATAGGATAATATCCTCATTAATAGATTCCTTTCAACAACCCCATCGGTTTAATTATTAAAGTAGTTATCCAAAGAGAATCGGTAAAAACTCCACCGCTCCACCAAAGCGCCTCCCGAACTCCATTTATAGTTATTCGCAGATCGCTTTGCTATTATACTCCGAAGTTTCGTCAAGTTCACCGAGGGAATTCGATTAATATTGCAAAACATAATTCCGCGCTACCTTGGGGGCCCCGACGAAAGTGATATCGGAATTTTCCCCGTCGAACGACTTCCTCTAATAGATACAACAACCCGGGAAATTACTGAAAGGATTAGCGATGAAATCGAATAGCATTGTACACGAACACGTTTTGTATTTTGCCACGTTGTTACAACTTCGACCTGGGGTTTATTTTGATATATAATTAAATTAGACGTCGGTATGGAAGTGGCTTTGATTAAAATTGTTGCGTAATTGGATTTAATTGTTTTCTGCAACCCCGCGGAGTTCAATTTACAATTCAAAAAATATAGTTGTGTAAATTGTAAAAATCTTCGTGCTAATTGGAAATTATCTTGCATTAGAGTAAGGCTGTACAATAAAGCGATTTGAAGTAGAATTTAAAAACCTAAATAAAGAAATATAATTTCCAAAGGAAGGCGGTTGAATTTTCCTCTCCGAGAAGCGAGGCTTACAAGCGGAATTACACCTTCGTTAATTCGAAACGTTGCGATTGCGAAACGCAAACAAAATGTTTTTTTTTTCCATCGAGAGAAAGCGTCGCGACGGCCTCTCCTTCCTTTGAAATCGAACGAAGCAGGAGAACCTTCATATTTGCCAACAATTCGTTAGTTCTTTGCGAGGAATCGCGGAAACTCCGCGGATGGAAATATGAAGAGGGAAATTGAATTTTGCGTATACACTCACTCCCTATGTAAGAAACAAGTCGGAGTAGATGTATCGTTTCGGGGAGTTACTTTAAATTAATTCAGGAAAGACATTCAAGTTGCAAACAATGTAGAATGTACCCAACTCCCCGGTCGAATTGACCTCGGAAATCCTCGAGAGCCCTCCGGAGGGCGGCGGCGGCTTTCGCTATACAAACAGATAAATTGACCCCGGTTTATCAGCGACTCGAAATCGAATTTTCCTCCAATCTTTTCCATTTAGGAAGCCATAAGGAAAATAACGGTGGAATATCGACTACACTGTGTAATTGATTGTTTTCTTAGGACGTCCACATTCGTGAAATTTGCCGGGTGATTTATGTACCGGAAACGCGACGTTTTCGGGACTAAATTTCGATTGATAGTGTCTGAATTCTTTCTGGAACTTACTCAGCAACACTACAATATTTCTTCAACTAACGAAAATCGTTCGATTACGCCTTAGTCGAAAGATCATCAACACACCACGAGCGATCTTTCAAAATTTACTGGGGAAATGACGAGCAAATTGAGTCGGGAAATTCTGAACTTTCCGTGAGATTCCGGGCTTCTTGGGCTCGTTATAACGTGTTAACAAGTCGGAACGCATCCGCCACATCCAGATTGATGATACGGACGTGGAAATATTACGACCGTTTTTCATCTTTTCCGAATAACCCGTTTACATGACGGGGATTTTCGGCGGATCCGCGAGCTTCGCCCGATCGTTGACCCACCAACAATGCGAGGAATAATAATAAAAGTTTAAATGGGCCGTAACGGCGGTTTATTAACCGGTTAATGGCGACGGAAATCGTTAAATTTTCCCTCCCTATTTCGCGCTTATAACATTAAAGAGATACCTAATTTGTTAGTAATTTAAAAAGCGCTAGTAACTTTAAATCGACGCTACTTTTTTTGTTATGAATAACGCGGAAAACGAAATCGAATTACGAAGAATCGTATATAAAACACTCCCGATATCTGTTCAATATTTATCGGTCGCATAAAACCGCTCGAATATACAGGAACAGTGCGAAAATGTAGCAACATTCGGGTTTATCTGGCCGGAAGCGAAGGTAGGAGAACGCCCGGGCGTTCGGACCGGGGGCGAAAATGGAGTCTTCCGAATTTGATTTATGTCTCGCCGAACTATCAGCGCAACATTATTCGATGCAAGTTCGAAACTCGCAAATTAATTCGCCGGAGTTCGACCGTAAATGTATACATTTCAATTCCACTATAATGCAAATAGATCGCGGCGTAACGAATGGGGCTCCGTTCGTTGCTTTGAGCTACTCGGAATCGTCCAGGTACAGGCGATAAATCGCGCAAATTTCCCACCGAAACAATTTTTTTTCGTGATAAAACAAAATATCGCTCGACGCTCGCCCTCCCGTTTTTATTTTATAATCACCGTCGCCGCGCAAAAATCCAATTAAATCCGAAAACAACCCTTCGAGCGGACCCTTATTCGACGTTAAAACACCATCCATTAACCGCGATACAAGTGAATCGACATAAATACAATATGCGACCGCGGTCCTTTACAAAATTGCTGTTAATTTATCTGGCCGGCGATCGAGAGCTGATTTCTGCTCTCTCACGCACGCTTTATTTGATCCGGGGGAGCCGGAGGGCGGCCGAAAGCCGCCCCCCGACCGCCGAAAGCGATCAATTTCCGAACGACCATTTTGAAGGTAGTTAAGAGGAGGAAGCGAAGAAGTATTATTCGGACGAAAATTGATGAGGTGCGCCTTGTATGTTATGAGCACAAAGGGCACCGGCGATTTCACTAGATCAAAAAAGTTTGCTCAGATTTGCGATATTAATATTAAAGCTGTAGAAAATTCCAATATCGTGTTTCCAAGTAGTTAAAATACTAGTAAAACTGTAATATTTCTAGTAAGACAAGTATTAGAGTAATATAGACAAAAATTCATTTTCCCTTTTCATTATAGATCCTTTTATTTAATTCCGAATTCACCGCATAATAATCAACGGTAATTTGGCGAAAAATGATTAAATTTCATCTACATTCGGTTCGAAAGAGCCGCTCGGCTTTTCCGGCGAGAAAATGCGCCCCATTAGGATGAAAAGGCCCGCGAGAGCGGTTCCGTCATCCGATATCGAGAGTTTTATTTTTCAATGAATATGAAATTTAGCTGAATGAAGTTCGTTCGCGCCCTATCTCGATCAATAGCCGGCCAATCGGAGGAAGAGTCTCGACCGTCTCTGGAAAACGAGGGAACCGCCGCGGTTGGAAACCGTTGAATGGGGCTCCTTTCGGAGCTCCGAGTGTTATTGAGATGGAGGAATTTCGCGAGGTGCGGTTTTCACGGCGTTTTGCATGCCCTTTTGAGAGGTGCTCGGGAATCTCCGACCGTGCATTTTCAATGGCGAAAGGACTGCATTGAATTTTTTTTAAAGACTTTCTCTCGGGGCTGCACTAGTAACGAATGTGCTACTGCATTTTTGTAATAATAGAAATATGCTTTCTTCTTATAATTTAAATGATAGAATAATAATAGGGTGTTAAAGTTTCTTCACTACTGGATAACGAGTATTGAGGAAATGAAAAATACACTTCAACGTGTTTTATTTTTTTACTCGAAAACAGCGGCCTGTACGAAAAAAATACAAGAGAGTTTTTTTGTTACAAATTGAACGAGGAATTTTTTCATAATTGAATTTTGTTCTATAAAAATGTTAATATTACTCGTATGCGCGTTAATAATGAACATAAAATTTTTAATTTTACATCAAAAAATGCATCTCAAAACACACCAAATTTCATTTGAATATCTCGCCTGGTTTCAGAGAAATAAATAAATCTTCGGTTATTAAGAAAAAACTTTAACACCCTATATCTCGATAACGAAGCATTTGCGAACATATATTTTATATAGCAAAATATCATTATTTTTTCATGCATAATCACCCCCAAAAGTTTGTCGTACTTATTAATTAACCCCCTGTATACATATTGAGCCAATTAACGAAAGAGCCACACCCTGTTGCAATCATATCATTCACCCTGTATATTTCTAAGTACACATTTTAGCTTTAACATAGTACGAACCACAATATCGTTAACTATGCGCATAGTATAGAGCGGAAACTAAAAATTCCTGCAACTAATCCTCGAGCAATGCAGGGGGTGAATTTCCGAATTTCGTATTTCGGCGCTCGCATGTCGGGATTATGGTAAATTTGCGCAAAAATGCGAAACATCCCCCATAAACAATTCAGCCTTCCCGGCCGCCGGAAGCGCGGCTTCGCTGCGATAACGACGCCCCGGCAGCCTCACGTCGCGACGCCACAAGGAGCCGCGAAAGAGTATACACAGTATATTATATCGATTGGGGTGGCTCGCCCCAAGACTGCCTACTGTGTCAACTGGCTACGATCAGGGGCGGGGAAATTGGATTTTTTCATCCTACGAATCTTGTCCTATATCCTTAATAAAATATGGCAACGAATAGCAAATTTTTACAGCAACAAAAAGTAGGTAAAATTCTTAGATCATATATACTAACGTGGATAAGTCAACAGCGGTAAACTCTGTTGCCAACATATTCACGACGTACTTTTATGACCCGTCCTTGTTTGACACTCGCTGGTTTCTAACGGTGTGTCTTTGTCTTGGAGCCTTTGACAATTTTGACGTATATAGTTAGCGCCAAATTTAAATATTCACGTTTCAAAACTATTTTAAGATGCTTGTTGTTTACCTCAGTGTTATGTATAAACCGCAAACACTAAACACAAACCAATTCAATAATCAAAAATCCAAATATAATAATAATACGACGCCATGACAGTTATGAAGCAGATGTCAAATGTCATAGTGTCAATGCCAGTGCGAGAAAAGGACGCATCAACATTGCCAAATGTCTAATAGCTATTTCTTATTTCTACTTTTCTTTTACTACAAATAAGTAATCGAGCAGCTGTTTTGTACAATAATTAGTTAATTAAAATGTATACGCATTTAAATAGTATTCCTGCATTTCAAAACAATTATTTTAGATAGTAAATAAAAATATATTTATCGTACATCGTACATATTAAAAGAGTGAAAAATTACAACAAATGTGTGAACCTGGCAACAAGGGCGAATTTTCTAATGTATCTGTTGTATACTAATAAATACGTTCAGATTTTTAAGGTGCATGATCAATTGGCAGACCAAAACAAAGATAAATCTATGCTGAATTCCATAGAGCAAAAAAAGAGAGTACAATTTAGGCATGTTGTAGATGTTGGCAACAGGAACGTAAATGTAATTATTATGGCATTGATGCATCCACGTTAGTATATATGATCTAAAGTAAAATTAAATGTATAAGATACTGGTTTTTATAAATTCGATGCAAAATTAACACCTGTGCAGGGATTTTTAAATCGCCCCTAAACACTCTTTTAACGCCCTGATAAAATTCGAAAAACATTCTCGAATTATCTGCTAAAAAATCGTTTATTAAACGTGATGTAAGCGCAGCTTCGAGGCGACATCTGTTAACATATTGCAGTCGGGCATAATTAAATCTGTTTTCATTCAAAACATAAATTACAGCGCTTATTAACGCAACATTACCATATTAAACTCGAACAAAATCTAGATTGTATCTCGCAAAATTACAAATTTCTACCTACAACATCATGAAACTATTTTAAGAAGATATTATCGAGATGTTCTCGAGAATTTTCCAGTCGACAGCGTGTGTATTTTCGAAATTTCGCAGCGTTCCTGCGAGGAAAAAGCTGTCGGCTTCCGCGATATATGAAATATCTACAAGACTATGAAAATTGCGAAGCCGAGATCCCCCGTTCCGTAATGTTATTCTTCTATACGGCCATTCTTGGAGGGAATTTTTCGCGCTCGACGGAAAATCAATGGGAAACGTTGTTGGGAAACTTTTCACTTCTTCCGAGAGATATAACCCCCGCATTTAGACAGGTCAGTGACTGATTAGTCGCCTTGTATCAGCTCCATTTAGAGCGAAAGACTCTGCGTTTATTACTTGCGGGATATTTATGGTGGCCCGCCGTAAATAAACCGATGATATTCAACGAAATAAAACGGCGTCCATTTAGTTCTAATTAAAGCGTCTCGAAATAAAAAAAAGGAGGAAGCTCCATTACCCTTCGAAAGAACGCAATAAGGAAAAAAGCGGGCATAATGGTATGCGAAAGTGTTCTGAATTAATTAAATTTCTAAGGACTAATCTTTGACAATGAGCGAATATTTCGAAGGTAATGGAAGCCGAGGACAAAAAGGGATCCGCGCTGAAATGCATGAAATTCCGAAATGAGCAAAAAGAAAACTTTCCGCCGGTTTCGGGCGCTTTGGTGTGGAAGTTTCCCAACTGCGAAAAACCCCAGAAAAATCCATATATCTTCAGAATTTTAGCTTCACTCGCAAAATACTAAAAATACCTTAAATTATCTTCACAAACATTTAAATGCTCGCTATATAATTTTCAGTGTATTCATATAAAGTCAACTGAAGCGCTTTATATAATCAAAGAAACTGAGCGTTAGGTATATAAGCATCTTGAGAATGTCGCCAGTTGCGTTTCGTTTCGCGAATTCGCCGAAAGGCACGCTCTCTCTAAGCTCTTTAAGCCCAAGGAATGCGAAAATCTGCTTAGAGGAAATGCCTCCGCGAAATTACGAGACCCGGACATATTCGAAGACAGGAGAAAAATTCCGGGCGCGTCCGAGCAACCGGCGAAAATCGGCGATTTCGTCCGGCGAGAACAATTAAAAAACGCCGAACAAAACGCGGAGATTGCGAAACTTCGGGAAATTGCATTAAAAGTTGCGCGAACGAAACTTCGCGGATCGTTCGACCGTTTTTACAACCCTTATAAAGGCGGGAGAGGCGAAGGGAAAAAGTTAGGTAGAGGGGCCGTTGGATTATTTGGCGATTCTTTCCGCGTAAACAAGATTACAATTTTTCGAAATTAATCTTTTGTCTCTAGACTACTATTATAACTTCTCGAAAAGGTGTTTAAGGAGATCCGTAATTAAACCGAAAGTTCGGGGAAAGTTTTGTAGCGAAAAAATATATAAAACGAGATTTCAGTAACTGAATTTGCTCGGGAGATTTATTTCGATTTTAAGAGGTTTATTTCAATTTTCAGAAACTTTTTTCACGAAAATTACTCTTGGACAACTTTCGTAATATTCTATCTTGCGCTGGACTTATTCAATAGATAATATTTCTGCTTCTGTATCTGCTCATCCCTCAAGTTAATGAATTGAAGAGAGCTCACTTGTCAAATTAATAACATTAATTCAAAAGGAGGAAACTCGCGAATAGAAGAAGTTTGTGTTGTCGAGCTGTTTGCCCATAATTATAATGGATCAGAGTTGAACAACTTACAAACTCCCTAAGTTTACAATGACAAGTTTAAGTGAATCTGTTTAATCCGAAGTTGTAATTTAGTAGAATATTCAGACGGTTGCTTTGTAGTCGAAGTTAAGAAGTTTTTTTCCGCAGCTCTTTCAACAAACGCTTACTTTTTCCCTAACTCCATTTACGAATTCGGAATTTGGAGTATTTTGCCGCAGATAAACCAGTGTTGAAAGTATCCACTTTCGAGCGAATACCGGTTAAATTAGTAAATCCATTTATTCAGTCGTTTCGAATGCATTTATGACTGGTGCAATAGTAGTTAATGGAGCAGATAATTGAATAATTGATTCGAAATTTAGTCGATTATTTATTGATAGCGAGAGAATTGTGGCTTGGAGGAAACATTAACTTTGATGTATAGATGGGCAAAGGGAAGTTTTAATTACCTAGGTATCAAAAATGAATTATTTTTCCTGGGCGGATGAATGTAATGGCCTCAACGACAGCCAGACTTAATACTATTAGAATTATTATTCTAGCAGTATAATATAAAAATGCACTAATATTAAAAATATTTATATAAAATTATTTAACTAGTTAGTAATTGTTAATTTGATTTTTATCTGTAAAAAAATTGTCCTTATTTTTTGAAGCTATAACCGAGTTAATGTGTTTTTTGTGATTCTCCATTTATCATGCCATTTATAATGGACATTGACGTAATATAAAAGGTTGTAAGGGTTATCAACCCCTATAAAAAAGTCGGTAAATACCACGATCAAAATATAGGTACAATTTTGTTAGGTATACATTAAAATTCATATACAAGTGGACGAATACTTACATTTTTTAGTTTTTTCAGCATGGATTTGTAGTGGCACAATAGCGAATAAAGCACAAACAAAAAGAAACAACGTCCACGGAGGCCCAGGTCCTCTATTCCCCAACATTTTAGTCAAGTTTTTCCACCGGAATCACAAAACATACCGCTAAGTCACCGGAAAACCGAAACATCGAAACATACCCGCGGACGTTCCGTGTCAATTCCGCTCGATTATTTCCACATTTCCGCTGGTCCTCCTTCCATGGATTCCCTTTGGTCGGCTCGAATTTGATATGTATAAGAAGCAAGTCGGCGGATATGTGTTGGTTGTTGGTAACGACGAGAATCTGTAGTTTGTGATTTTACGCGCGCTGCTCGCGCAATATCCCACAAAATCGATGCCGACGCCGGCATCGATGCCGGCCATTTTGGCTTTCGAACGGTATCTGTACGAGGGAACTCGAACTAACGAACTCCTGTTTAGGGGGAGACTCCTGCGGGATTTTCAAACGAAGGAAATTGCGAGTTTCCTGTTTAATTGCATGGGATTTACACACCTCAACTACGGATACAATCTAAACACTTCGCAAGTATGGACTTGGGAATGTAAGAGCTAGAGGAATAGTATACAGTTTACTAAACAAAATTGTTTTTTTCCAATACATATCAATTTTGAATCAATGCGTGAATCATCTTAAATAATAAGATGATAATATCAACGAAAACATCATTAAAACTGATAAATAATGCATTTGCGTGGTTCTATTGTGAACGAGCATCAACCGTTCGACGGGCAAATTTCGGTTAGCGCCTGGAAAAAAATTTTCAACGCAGTTTTGATAAGGTCAAAAAAATTAGTAACCAGTTGAGGTCTCGAATTCCTGACGAAACCATCAAAGTTTTCAAATACTGATACTTGGATTTCGAGACCATAAACCAGTAATCATTAATCTGTCTAAATTCTCTTAAAAATCGATCTTTTCTTATCAATTTCGGTGTATCGAAGGTGATCTGGCCTACTTTCGGTAGAGCGAAACGCGATTTTCATTGTCTAAGTACCGTAGATTAGATATCGATGCGATTTAAGTACCTTGTTCAGTAAGATACACAAAAGCATCTTCAAACATCGCCAGTACATTTTTGTAGATATAATTTTTACCACTTTTTGAGAAATTTTAAAACTCCTACAAACTTTTTTTTTCATTCTAAACCCAATCGTCCATTCAAAAAAAATCTATTTATTTCTTTCTATCGAGTCTGAAAGTTTTGTAAAGATGAAAATATATCTAATCATTGTATAAACACAAATCCAACAAATACACTTATCTAAGTATTTCGCTAATAGGATTTATATCATACAGTTAAATACAAGGAAACCTCGTAAAATCCCCCAACATACACAAGCCCCAGTCAGTCCCTTCTCGTTCGACTAATCCCGTCTAAATTAATTATATCGTCCAGATATTCGAAACTTATTGCATTAGAGAAACGGTCGGTTGAAATGAGAGTGTATAAAAGCGATGGAAGTTTCGTCGAAGATATCAATGATATCGAATTCGGGTGGTTTCTCGGTGATATTGTTATCGATGAAAGCGTGGAAAAATTCGAAGAAATCAACAGAGAAACCAGGTGAGTGGAATCGATGTATAATAAAGAAAAAGTTTGGTGGTCGATGTTGTTTGGTACATAAATTGATTTTTAAAAATATGTGATAGCACAAAATTAATCGCAGATCGAAAAAGATAATTAGATAAATTTTTCCTTGCAGATACATATCAAAAATGCACAAGTCCCGACCAAAATTTTGCGAATCAATAGACATTAGCAACGTCGAGGAACCGCGATATATAAAAATAAAAACCGTAGAACCTAACGTAGAAGTAGTAAATATCATTGACACTTGCAGAAACGACGATCTGCCGTCCAGCGAGGAACTCGCCCGTTCCGTCGACGTCGATTTCCCGCCGAAGCAAAAACTGATCGAAATGATCAACCCATACAACGCTGAAACCAGAATGTTGCTTTCCGTCATAAGCTTCGCGAAATACAAAAGCCTGATGGCCGACAAAACGGACCTCATGAACAAAGTCAACGTGCGAACGACCAACTACAAAAACCTCCTCTTCGAAAGATCCACCAGCGTAACCGAAGACATGATCGACGAAATCGTCAACTACCACGCCAACAAAGAAGACAACATGATGTCCCTGATGATGGAGTTAATTTTAACAGACGTTGATTGCGACGATAGGGACGTTTTGCAACAAAAACCCGTTCCGCAAATCCTCCCCCAATTCATTATTACATCCCAAACAAGCGATTTAGGTGAGTGTTATCCAACAATCGCGCGTTAACTTACGAATAAATAATCTACTCAGGAAACAGCCTGCCGAACGGCAGCTCGAGCGAGGGCGAAACGCGCAATAATTACCTGCAGGTATCGAACAGATCCGACATCCTAAATAGCTTAGGCCTCAGCGACGAAGATAAAAGCATTCAGAGTTTCTGCGATGAAACTTTCGAAATGCACCAGGAACTGGCGGATATTAAGAAAAGCTTTCAGGTGAGTGTTGTCGATGCGGAACGTACAAATTCCAGTTTAATCCTGCGGCAGACGAGCCGGCGAGATAAGTCGGAGAGCTTTTAAGTTTTCGTTTCTCCGGCTACCACCTTAAACGAAATAAAAAAATCTCTATCACACAACCTATTACACTTAAATTACTTGTTTTAATTGAACGGAAGCCCGTTTGGTTTCGACGGAGTTCCGCAGATGTTCCCGATGGATTTTATATGGGTATTAATTTTTTTTAGGAGGACGAAAACAAAGTGAACGACCTGCTAAAGCAAGCCTGTGCCTTAAAAAATGATTTAAGGGAAACCCTGTACCTCAACGACATCATCAATCTCTTGGAGGGCCACGTCGAAAAAGTCAAACTGAAGAAGCTCCCCTTTCGCATATTTAACGAACGAATGGTCGAGAATTCCGAGCTGAATCTCATCATATAAAATTCCCATCGGATAAAATTTTCCTCGAATATTAATTGATTATTCAGCCAAAGAGAAAATTGTATTGGAAGCTGTGTTAGATCGAACGAAAATATTTTTGTACTTTTATAAATGCAAATGTAATAAAAAATTATATTATTTCTCATCTTTCTCAATTTCATCTTCAGCTTTTACTTTAAATCATCTGCAACTCTTTTATCTTCTTCATCACTAACTTTTGCACTTTTGAAACTATGGTTTGTCATAGTCTCATAATGCTTCCCTAATATGTTCGACCAGTAATTAAAAATTCCTGGAGCTTTTGGGATGACCATAACCCAACCAATTCCTACCAGAGACATTTGATTAAATCGCTTTATCTATGGCAACCAAACCAACTGAGGCAACTGACAACGAAAAGGCGAAATGGCACTAAAAGGCCTGCAACTTCACGTCCAAAGTGATGAAGAATGGGACGCCCTTCTGCTCAACGACGGCGTCATCGGTAAAACGATTTCCTCGATTCGCTCTTCACGAATTTACTGTTTTTTGTTACAGTCGTGGACATTTACTCGGAATGGTGCGGCCCGTGCGTAGGAATGGCGCCCACGTTGAGAAAATTAAAATCCGAATTCGGCGGGGATCTTCTAGTACTAGCCGTGGTACGTTCTTAAAACCCTTTTAAATCTCCATTCCTCGTAACTCTTTTCCATTCCAGGCCAAAAGCGATAACATCAAAGCCCTCAAACGGTTCAGGAACAAGAGCGAACCAACCTGGTTGTTCATCTCAGTAAGCACCCAATTTAATCCATTTCTCTCCAATCTGTAATTCCTCGCGGCGCTTCCAGAAAGGCCAGATGATGAACCTCATGTTCGGCGCCAACGCCCTAGAAATTACCGGCGCTGTGTTCGAGGAGGTGAATCGAGAGCGACAAGCCAGGGAGAATTTCACCGCGCGCACGGAGGGCATGCCGATATCCAAACTGCATCCGATAGAAATGCACCGATACGACGAAGTCCAGAAGCAGATGAAACTGGCGAAGGAGAAGGAGGAAGCTAAAAAAATGAAGTGCTTCAGAGACAGGAAGGTGAACGAATGCAAGAACGTACTGAAGAACGTATCCATGGGCGTGATGCTGGTATTCCCCTGCGCTAAGGAGAAATACAAGAGTCTGATTAAGGAAGCTTTGAAGGAAAATGATTGTGTTATTGCAGACGAGGAATGCGTAAGTGTTGGAAATGTTACTACGAAATGCTGTTTAGTTTAATTGTAGGTCCGAATGGACGTTGATTTACTGGAAGAAATGTTCTATTTCTACGAAGAAGAGGAACCGCCGTTCGACGAAGCATCCTTGAACAGTTTACTGAACGCCAAATGCATTCTGCTCGCCATCAGGAGCCTTCAAGTGGTGGATTCGTCGGTTTGGGAGGAATTGATGGCGAGAATTGTAAGTAATCAACGAAATTTTCGAATCTGCTAATGTTTATTTGTACGCAGATCTACGGAAAATCGTCCAGAAGTCCTCCAGGCGATCGATCCTGCTTCTATCAAAAAATGCAAACCGATATGGAAGACAGGCAAACTGGCGAAGTTCAAATACTGACCGGAGTTTGGATACCCAAGAAACCCTACATCAGGGCGACGATGTTGAGGTGTTTGCGATCGATGATAATAATAATTTTTCTACTAAATCGTGTAATTTTTAAGGATGTTTTTCCCTAAATACTCCGATAATTTGGAAGTACCCGATCCTGGACCGCTTCCGCCTCATTACGCTATGGTTTTCGACACACCCAAGATAAAATCAGCCCTGAAGATTATGGGCAAGTGGCCCAAAGAATTCATTTATTACGGATTTTTCACCAGCGAAGATCCGGAGAATACCGAGCTGGTGGCCAAAAGCGTGCAGAGATTGGAGAGGCCCGATTACAAATCCAAACGCACTTAGTAACCAATTACAAAACATACTAAACTAAATAATGTTTTTTTAATTTTTGCAGCGAAGAAAAATTGGTTATTTCGGTTTGCAAGAAGAAAAGCGAACTGATCTTAGAACTGGTGCAATTAGGACCATTGTACATGTCTACAACCACCGAAGAAGGAGCCAAAGAAACCGACATGTTCTTCTCCGACGATTACGCGGATTCCCTCTCAGACGAAGAGAAAGTCTTCGTTGGGTCAATAGAAGAAGAAGGCGTAGGCAAAAGAGTGCCGGCCTGAAACCGCCGATTTTCGTTTTACTTTTATTTAAATGAAATAAAGTTTATACCTCAGTTATTTTATTATTTACTGTAATTATTTATGAAGACCTTAATCGTTCGGTTAACACTAACGAAGCGATTTCTCGCTACAACACCAACGTCACGAATCGATCCGTTGTCCTCGATACAGCGACGTTTTGTCAATAATCCTTAACGTCAAAATGGCGAAGAGAGGCGGACAGCTCCACGTGGACGTTTCCAACGACGATGAATGGGACGCCGTACTACTGAGAGATGGCCTTTTAGGTAAAACGAATCACAAGGAAACTGAAACTAGCGAATTTACTTCACTAACATCGCCTTATTCATTCAGTGGTGGACATCTACTCGGACTGGTGCGGCCCCTGCTCCGGCATGTCGGCCAACTTGAAGAAAATAAAACTCGAAGTCGCCGGAGATTCGATGGTGATGGTATTGGTGAGTTAGATTCCATTTACAACTCCTCCATAACGCCTCTACTAAACTAATTCTCAGGCCAAATGCGACAAGATAACCGCCCTGGAGCGCTTCAGGTTGAAAAGCGAACCCACTTGGATGTTCATATCGGTACCCCAACCATTTAACAATCCTCTTTCATAAACGCTGCAAGTGTTTTGATTTCCAGAAAGGCAAAATGACGAATCTCATATTCGGCACGAACGCCCCGGAGATCACTCGCATCGTTCTGAGCGAGGTGGCCAAGGAGCAGCACGCCGCTGATACGGGCCTGGATCAGCGGGAGAAGCTGGAAATCAGCCAGCTGCATCCGATCGAGGTGGGCCGCTTCGAGGAGGCGATGCTGGCGAAGAAGCTAGCCATAGAGAAGGAGGAGGCGCGGCGGTTGAAGAACATCTACGACAGGAAGCGGAAGGAGTGCATGAACATCCTGAACAACCTCGCGCTCGGCGTGATTTTGGTGTTCCCGTGCGCTACCAACAAGTACACCGATTGCGTGAACGACTTCGTGAAAGAAGCGAGTTGTTCGATTTTCGCTACTGAAAGGGTACGTTGTAGTGGAGATTTTTAGTAGACAACTGCACCTTTACCACAACTCCACTTAGGCTGAGATAACAATGGAGTTGTTAGACGAGATGTTTTACTTTTACGATAAAGAAGAGCCGGCTTTCGACGAGATAACTTTGGAGGAAATTCTGACCAAAAAATCGGTGTTAGTCGCTATAAAAGGTTCCCATTCGGCGGATACATCCAACTTTGAAGCTTTAATGTGCCATATAGTAAGACAACTACAACTCAACACACGCCTTATTAACCCCAACTACGTATAGGTGTATGGTAAAAATAGCCAAGGACCTCCAGGAGACCGGTATTGTTTCTACGAAAAAACAACGTGCGAAGTCGAAGACGAGGAGACCGGCGAAGTTCAATTGCTTCCCGGTGTTTGGATACCCCATTCGGCGTTCATTAGAGCCACAATGCTAAGGTTGTCAACTCCATCTGCCACACCTGCCACTTTGTAACCCGAAATTGCAGGTTGTTCTTCCACAAATTCACCGAAAACTTCGAAATACCCGACCCCGGTCCGACTCCACCTCACTACGCGATGGTTTTCGACACGAACAAGATCAAAGACGCCCTGCATTGCATGAGCAAATGGCCGAAGCAGATTTTGCATTACGGTTTCTTCACCAACGAAAATCCAGCCGAGGCCGAATTGGTAGCGAAGAGCGTGCAACGATTGGAATTGCCCGATTACAGAGCCAAACGAACTTAGTGAGTTATTTTCCGCTTCTTACAAGGGCTCATCTTCACGACAACAATTTCTCGTCTTCACCGATTGGGTCTAATTTTGCAGCGAAGAGAAACTAGTAATGGCTGTGTCTAAGAAGAAGAGCGAATTGTTGCTGGATCTGATTGAATTGGAACCGGTTTATATGTCGATGACCACGGAGGATGGGGAAAAAGATAGGGAAATGTTCTTCCCTGATGATTACGCTGATTCGCTGCCAGACGAGGAGCTAGTATACATTGAACCGCCGGAGGAAGAGATGCCGGAGGAAGAAGAGGAAGAGGGCATGGAAGGCGATTAATTGCAGATGGTTTTTTTTATTTTATCTACGTTTTACATTTATTTTAAGTTCGGTAAATTTTATGTAGCGTACGCAATATAAGCTTTCTTACCAACCAAAGAATTCTGTTTGGTTGATCTCCAGTTTGATTGAAAACCTATATAATCATTTCTATTTAGGTGAAATTCAATTTGGAGACTATCGAAGACATGCAGTTCTTCACCGAAGAAAAATTGTCCGAAAGGACCATCGAGGACATCCTGCACGGCAAATTTTGCTTGGCCCTTCTACTGAAGCGCAACGGAGACTTACCGGGCGATATTGATGACATAGTATTGCAAATAGTTTACGGAAATATGAGGAAACCGCCGGGAAGCGAGTTTTCCCCATGCGATCAGCTAACAGTCAAAATCAGAGACGATGAAGACGATGAAACTAACGATGGAGAGAAGAAAATTGAAAACAATTTAGTAGGTACGAATTTGGTATACTAAAAAGTGTTTTATCCATTAAGTTAAGTGTTTATTGCAGGTATTTGGGCGCCCACTGATAAATTAACGAAAGCTTTGGTGCTAAAGCACGCGTTCCCCAACGTGTCCGGTCCATTTAAATTGCCCGACGAGGAGCCAATTCCCTTGTGCGTCGCGATGGCGTTCGACGCTTTCAAAACGAGAGAAGTGATGGAATTATCGCAATTGTATCCGGGCCAAGTGATGACTGTGGGTTTCTTCACCAGCGACAAGCCCCAAGAAGCGACCCTAATTTCGAAAACCGTCGAGGAATTCGACTCGAGATCGACTCCTACCACATAGTGAGAATTCGCGACGAAACGCTTACCCAATTTTACTCATTCGCTAGTTTCAGCGAAGAAAAAATCGTCATCCAATTGGCGAAGACGATGGAGGATTGCGTGCGGGCCTTCGCGGATTTGGGGCCCACTTACGTGAGTCCGGACGTGGATCAAGGCGAAATCGATTGCAAATTCTTCTTCCCCGACGGCTACAACGCCCCCAAGGAGGTGATTCAACAGGTGAAGAAGAAGTTCAAGAGGAAAGGTAAGGGCAAAGCCGCCAACGTTAACCAAGACGAGGCCACTTCGACGGCCACCGTGGATTTGGTGAAGGAGCAAGAGGAGCTGGATCACGAGGAATTGGAGGAGCAAAACAGCGAAGATGAGAAGAACGATGGTGAAGTATTGTTGGAGGAAAATGTGGATGATGAGGAGGCGGAATCGCCAAAATCATCGGCTAGGGAAGCGGATAAGGCGACGTCTCCATTTAGTGATGGTAAAATTGAGGAATGAATTCGATTTTATTTCAAATTTTATCGATAAAAGTCGAGAACTACGATTTACCTACTCAACTTTAAATGATGCAATTGGATAATGTAAATATAACGACAAACTTTATGGAAATATTTATAATGATAACATAAATAACAAATATTTACAAAAAAAACTTATTTAGATTTTACAAGTATTATTGACGAATGCATATTATCACTTTATAGCTAAGGTACTCAGCTCTTTGACGTTACAAGTTTAACTCTAATCACAGCCATTTTAAATAATTGTAATTACAATTAACGTAAATGCGTAAAAAATAATTGTGTACAATTAAAATTTAGGACGTTAAAATAAAGTTTACAACGGTCTTCGTATAAAAATACTAATTTAATGGATTTTTAATTACGCTTAATGGTATTAGTAAATGTATTGTTAGTCGTAGATAAACACTATTTTCGTCGATTTTAGACACTTTTCTGCATTGTATTTTAATTTCTTAAAAGAATTCACGTCTTTTATTCATCAGTCGTTATACAACTTAGCATTACATTTAAAATTTTATCACGAATATATCTTCTACAGGAGTTGTGCCGAGTGGTAAATTTTATTCTGATATCATGTGTAAAATTACCTGCGCAATAATAGTTTTACATCACAGTCACTTCTACATAGGCAGTAAATAATTTTATTGATGATTTCAGAAAAAAATTATCGAATATGTAAATATATTGCAGAAAAACGAGTAGATGAACCGATGAAGGAAATCGCTGTTAAGAAGAAGAAATAAAGGACTAGACGAAACACAAAAATAGCATCCACACTCATGAATCGTTTACAAGCGTACAAATTCGGCGATCGGCGTTCAAAATTGAGCAATTCCGCGTCGTTCCGATCTCCAAGATTCCAGTAATTTTTACTCGAAGCGACAGTCCCACCCAAGTTTCTGCTCGTGTGGCTCCGACCTTGCGTCGAAGATTAAAAAAAAAACAGATACAAAAAAAAATCACCAAACGATTCCAACCGTTTTTGGCCTCCAACGACAAATCGTTCCGGACACATTTACTCGTTACAATTCATCGCACACACCGTTTTCTTCACAAAAACATATCGAATCGGCCTCTTCAATTATCAATTTCGCTGTCTAAGCGATCGGCCAGGATCAAGTGTCTTTGGCCAGGTCGGAGCTGTCGCTGGCCCCGCAGCCTTGGAAGAACTTGACGACGTTGATGGAGACGGCGGCGGGCGTGGGCGGCGTGTGGGGTATCCACTCGGACGTCTCCAGCGGCTTGGCGGGAAACGGCGGGTCCTTCACCTGCAGCTGCTGCAAGGCCTCCTCGTAGGTGGGCAGGCCGGAGGCTATCGTGTAGCTGGGCAGTTCCGATTCCGCTACGCCCGATTCCAAATTGCCGCCGTTCCTGGCTTGGATAACTGCAAAAAGATGAACGTTGTTTGTAATTCGCAACGGTATTGTAATGGGGTGAGTCACGGGCGCTTTGTTTTCGAGTAATTGGGCTGTGTGGATAGCGAATTGGTTCCTCGAAATGCATTCGTTAAATAAATATTTACTAATTTATTAACTTCTATAATTGGCTCATTAATAGTACTATTAATTAATCTTCTTTCTATAAGAAAGAATAATTTAAAACTGTTAGTTTTATGGTCTTCCGTGAAATTGTTTGTTTTCTGCAGCCGTTATTTATCTGTTAATTATTTCGATGTAGGTAACCTTTAGGTTAATAACGATTGGGTGACGTCAATCGAAGCTGATAGAAGTACTAAAAGTGTACAAGCTTGGTTCGATTTTTTTTTGTTATCACACGTCTGACTCATGGTCTTAAGCGTTACTTAATTGGTGCAAGCGACTGAACAAAGGAAAATTTTGCAATTATCTAAGAAAACGATTAGAGGCTTTATCACTTCCTACGTTTGTCCTATCAATTAATTTTATGTTTTACCTGTTTGTCTCGAACTAGCGCGGAATATAAGTTATGCATAAAAGTAGGTGAATTGAAGATAAAAAGTGTAGGTTGGAAATTAGTTGAAGCAACCTTGGAAAATAAAAATTAATATTGTATTTACTAAAAAAAAGTATATTATAAAGCAATGATTAAAATTACATATATACCACATGCATAATTCAACATGTTTAATAGTTTAGTAATACTCTTTTAATAGGCTTGATAATTTACTGAAACCATTAAATTAAACTACTTTTCTTTAGTAGATTTTAGTGGAGTTTTGAACAAATTTGAACAGGTCTCAACCTTGATATTCAACACCTTTCATCTTACCAAACTAATTTTATAACAAAAAAATTATAACACCAATCAAGCGATAAAAATAACACAATTGTTATATAATAGTATTTTCTTTATTGCGAATTTATAAATTGTGATATTACTGAACTTCTGACCTATTTGGTTGTAACATCTAAGTACTTTATAGCATATTTTCCTCGCTGTTAAATAGTTTTAGAATGCAGATTAGTTGCACTACCAATTAAAACTTGGTAAGTGGCTATCAAGCAAAAAAAGGTAAACAACTTTTATTAAATTAACACTTCTTTAGGATTAATTAGCAAACGAATGAAACTTGACCCGGAGGACTGTGCACCAACGTTAACACTTACCAGGTCGCATTCTTGTGAAACCCTACGATTTTACATTACCTTGAACTAAATCTATTGTGCTTTGTACTTACCAACTATTTTAATGACTTTATTAGTAACAATCAAATTGAATAAACTTATTAATTTTTTTCTTTCTGTGTTTGTTAAGTACGCACAATAAAAATTTGTAACGCAAAATGTGAGTAGGTACAATATATTATTCATTATAATTATGATTGATATTTCTTTATGCTGAATATTTCTAAGTTACGCTGAATGTATAAACAACATGCGAAAAAATATAAATATCATTAAAGAAGTTAATTATATTTAGACTGTTACTACTGATGATAGTCGTATTGGCAGAAACTGATGCACAATGAGCTTATACAATTATTAGTAGAATTCCAATTTTAGCTTAACGATTATTTACAAGGATAATTTACTTAAAACGGCCATGATTTTAATAAACAAATACATAAACATTGCGATTTGTTTTGCATCCATTTTCAATCACTTTTTTTCAACTTCAATCCATTTCCACTATAAGAAGCACAAAACGCTACTTCCTTGTTGTTATATTATTGAAAAGATACCAAGTTTTTTATTAAATTGAGTAACACACACACATCTATTATTTAAAATAACGAACATGCATCCTGTCACGTTTCCTTTGTATCTTATCATTGTTAACAAACAAAAAATATTTCAAAGAAATTTTGTAGCACAACCATTATGTTTTGTGTCTTTTAAGAAGATAGTTTATCAGATATATTCATTTCACATGCGGATAAACCTTGAACTATCCTATCGAAATTCTTCGATTATAATTGCAAAGATTAAAATTATTTTTAAAATTCAAGCAGCGCTCGAAAAACTCCCCATTTTGTACGATCGAGTTTGATAAGCTGATGACCGATTGACATACATACGAAATTTACTGTAATAAAGAATAAATAGGAATTTCACTTAAATTGAACTAGTGATATTCGTTTTATGGCACGTACTTCAAATTAAACGGTATTAAACGCAAAATAGTTCGTAAATAATCGTAAATCGTTTAAATATTACGTTTACGGTAGTGGTATTTACAAATGTATCGATAAATATTCGAAAAATTGCAATTATTATTACAAAAACATGGTAAATTCGATACAAAGTGTTTTCAGTCTACTACAGAGAGAAAATTTGCGGATACCCAGTTTTAAAAATATCTATGCAGTTCATTAAAAATCGATTCGTCTGGAGCCACAGACGCAATCGACTGTTTACCTATAATAGTTTAATTTATTCTAATTCTAACAACAATCGACTTTCAAGGTGGAACGATTTATCGAGTTCATAATGTAAATAAAAAGATTTTAAATTACGTAAACTTTGACATATTATGATTATTAGCAATAATCACTTCGTTAGTTGGTTTTTACTGCAAAAATTCGATTAAACCCGAAAACGATCCTCGTGCAATTGATAAGACAAGGTTTATTGCAAAAATTGTCTATAAATCTTGAATAATTATTTTATCTTTGCCGGTTCTCGACCCCACTTTACCTATAACAAAGTTATCGCTAGAAATATTAATATCTGTCATATGCCGGATTCGAACGTTGTCTTTGTTTTATTATTTTTTAGTGAACATTATCTAATCATTTTTGGATTTAAATTAAGCGCTTTAATCCGTAAGTTAGAAATCGTCGCTAAAGTTTAACTTTCTAGTATTTGCAAATTAAATCTCTTCGACTCGCTAAAGCGTTGTAAAACGATGAAATAAAAGATATAATAACCGAGTGCAGTTTTGTACAAAAACCTTGACTAAACCCATTATTCGGTTTTAATTTTGGAAACAGCTGTGGGCTGCTAATTCCAACCTGTTAGATTTGCCACAAGCGTAATATTTTAATATTTAAAGCGAGATATTTGGAAATATTCTAAACGAGGAAACTTTACCTGGTGAATAAAATGCGATTATTCATTCAGTTGCGTGTTAATTTTTAGCAAATAAACTACCGCTGTATAAATGTTATTTGATATTCAAATTAAAAATATTTTGTCGTTTCATTTGGATTAATCGGCGAGATAACGTAACGCAAAAAAACAATAAACAATAAATCGAGACGAATCGATTGCGAAAACAAATTGTTACAAGACGATAGAAATTCTCGATCTTACCCCTAGTTTTCCATTGCTGAAATTTGTGGTAAATCAAACACGAGCACATAAAACAAACACAGCTAAGTACCATCAAAGTCAGTACTATCCCGACCCAAACGTCGGCCAGGAATTGCTCGTATTCCTGATCGGAAACGTTCAATTTGGGCCCGTCGAATTCCGAGGGCTCGATGAATATCTTGGTCAGATTGAATTCCACGCTGTTGAGTTCCTCGCTGAGTTTCGGGGGCAGCTTCAGCTCGAAATCCTCGTCTAGTGTCAGCATTTTTCGACCACCAAATAACCTGCGGACCGGTTTCCAGTTATCGCTAGTAGCTCGCAACGCGTTTATTCAAACACTGATAAAGAAGTCGGGTCGCGTTGATGAATCGAAGTACTCCCACTTTCGACTTCAGCAGTACAAATATAACAACAATGACGCGATATGTCGGCGAGCAATCTTGCTCTTGGAGTTTCGAGATATGTTTTAATATATTTCAAGACATTGTTGCGATGCGTTTTAATTTAGTTAGAGTCTACAAGTCAATTCATTCGCTATTTGTGTAGCTTTATTACTTAAGCTTGTGGTAAATTGAGCAAATAATGGTGAACTCAAAAAAACAATCTGGAGGAGGGTTGAATTGGTTAAATTCGAGAATTTTATGATAAAAATGGTTCCGAAAAACGGTGAATTGCGCGCCGTGATTCACCGTTTTCAAACCGATGACGGCTTACGAGGAATTCGTCCAAAGATTCTTAATTAAATATGAATTTTATCTAATGTTGCCAGTTGCTCATTGTTCTTGAGTCATGCTAATTAAATGCATTAGGAATTTTTAGCCAAAATTGCAAATATTTGCCATGTTTATCACGAAAGAGATCTAATAATCATAAAGATGATGTAATTACGTTAAAACGTCCTGAATAATCTATACAAATTTGAAATTAAAAATCTAACTTCCTCATACAATGATGAATTCATACAAACATATAAATTAGGACAGAAAACGTAGATACTTAAACGTGATTTAGTTTTATAAGTGATACAAAGGCCACCGAATTGACATCAATTTAATGTCCATATTTAATTATTGGTGGAAATTGGGCTCTGCTCCGTCTGGCTCAATTAATTATATCTGATTAATTATGAAAGGGAAACAACACCAAAGCCGGTCAGAGTATAGACAAAGGATTAATAATGCAAGAACAATAAATAATAAATTTCGTAAAGGTGGAACAAATTTGAAGCAAACTTTATACAGTGTGTATGGTATTTAATTGACAAGTGTAGCCATAGGAGGTCGAATTTCTATAGAGATATGGGAAGAAAGTCAAAACAATATTTTGCTATATTTTAGTCTCCTGTAGTGTTTTTTGATGAATTTTATCAACTCTTCATACACAAGCAAATTTGCGATAACCTTTAAAAAAATAAACAATTAAACTATATTAGCTGCGATTCGCTGCTGGAAAATTTGCACAATTGGAAACTTTTTTGAAAAGTTCACCAAAACTTAAATCCTTACAATGGAAATTAAAAATCGTACCTCACGTTAGGATTAAAACGAATTGCAACAAATTAGCCTATTATTATAAAACTATGTAGAAAAAAAATCCTCAGAGTTTCCCACAATTATTTAAATTAAGTTAATTTCAAAACAATATGCACTTTCATTAAAATCGTTACGAAGAAAACTACCTGTTGCTAAAATTCCCTGCAATATTCTGCGTATTGACACAGCGAGACCCAATCGGAGATCGAACATCGAATCAGGAAAATCGTTTTGTGAAAAAATCTTGCGTAATTTTGCCCCATCACGTACTTTCCGTTTCATTGGATGTCGTGAATCATGTCTGAAGCCCAGGGCGTTTCGAGAATAGTAGAATCTACGTGTATACTATAAAATTTTACGTTTCATTCGATCTAGAGGTGTGTCGGAGAAACAGGTTTTTTTATAAATAATTCCAGATTCAATGAATTTGTTCTTTGATCTCTGTAAACAGGTTCAATTAATGGCTGGAGCGCGATCGCGTCACCGGCGATATTAACAGAAGGATTGAAGTGCAAGGTGAAGATTGAACAATACCATTAGGTTATTATTATTATGGCAATTTTAAGTGGTGAAATATCGTAATTGTTTAATTGCGCTATATTGATTTATATTTGCTGCAAAAACGAATTTTACAATAACAAGAAAACAGGAATAGTCCTTTAGAATAATAAACTAAATAATTCAAACGCTAACACCCGGTGAATTAATTGGATTTACGCAAAAAATATTTGATATAACCGAACGGTAAATAACCTCTGTGACAAAAATATCAGCCATTTAATCGATTTGTTTATCGAGATCTAATTTGAATATTAATAAGTAGCACCAAGGACGATGGGAATGTAAGTTCTAATAAAAGAATTTAGAGGAAGATAACATTTTCAAACGCTTACATAATTCAATTACTATAGATTCAATCGAGTAGTAATAGAAATATTTAACTAAATTTTTTTATGAATTTTAAATAACCTTGTACTGTATTGACACTGGGGTTGCCCAAATCTTGTTATGTAAATTAACCGTAAAGCCCTTATTGTTTGCTCGGAGCAAACACTTCTTTTATTTCCCCAAAAAGTCAATACAGATAACACTTGACTCGAGTGTATGAAATTGTAATGAAAACAACAAATAATAAAAAAATAAAACAATTCTATTTTTACCGAAAATATCTCGATTTGTGTCTGCGAAGTGTTTCCTACTCAGTTCATCGGTTTGCTGAAAAAATTCGAAATTCCAAAACAACAACCAGGAATTAATAAATAATCGACTGGAAAGTAAATAATTACACTTCCGTTAGTAGATTAAAGTTACCATCTTCTGTAATTACTTCATCGAATTTTATTCATATTTTTTGTAGGAACAATATTTTTCTCTAAAAAATAACTCGTCAACGTATTTTCAACATGTTTATGTATTTCCAATAAACTGATAAAAAACGCATGATTGAAATGTTTTCTGTTTCGCTGTGTTTGCACCAAAGTCTCATTGGTTTACTAATTGTTTTCATTATTCTAATACATTTTTTTTATTCGGTTGCACCTCGAGTTACTCTAGCCGGAACATTAGCACTTATTCAAATATTATTGTCTCGTTCGAAATTAATTCAAACAATATTCCCGCATTTTATTTTTTTAATAAGCTACGGGCCGAACAGATAAACTGTTTACCAGTCTAGTCTAGCATAATGGAAAAAAAAAATAAAATTGAAAAAAATATCCAAAATTCTACAGTAATTTAATTATCGTGTCGGCGCAACGAGGAATTGAAAAGATCAGACAAAAGGTCAAATTTTGATTCAATTTTCTCGCAAATATCCGATAACGAATTTTTTTGAGAGAACGCCGGTTAATTTTTTCAATAAAATAAATACAACGCATCGTTATTTATCGATTTGGGAATGTCCTAGGCACGTGCCATATGCTGAGTGATTAGTTAATATTATGCTAATTAATCCGACGAATTCTTTGTTCTAACCTGATGATATTCTTCTCGATTCATTCGGTTATCATACGTGCCGATTCGAGAGACGCAATTTGCAGGTAATTGCGATTTAAAAACAATTTCAATTCGAGTAACAAGCAATCTTTTACAAAACATTTACATACTCGCGACGTTAGTAACACCTTTCCGTTGTAGAGGCTTAATGACACAATTTTATAAAATAGTAAATAAAAGTTGCTAGAAAGGAAGTTAAAAAAATCAAAATTATAGTGCAATAATTCTAACATTAAATTCGTAAACGTGAGAGTAATATTTGCAGATAAGGAACAAAAACGTAACTGCATCTCAATAAATTTTACTTACGTCGTTTCCGCGGTAAGAGGAAAAAATGGTTTTCATAAATAATGGAAGTATCGGCGATTTTATTTTTCTTCGGTGCAACCAAGGTTGTTAACTACGCAAGCAACTTCCTCGGTTTGGCGAGCGACTTTTTTGGTTCGTTTGGATCTCTCCGATGGCGCGAGTTAATAATATTTTGTGCGATAAAATGCAATTCTCGGCAATGAGGAACAACATTCCCGAGATTACATGCAAACTGCCATTGATTCGTTTGATATTAATGGGTTTATTAAACGTAAACGAGTGCACATGATCCGTAAGAAAAGTTGTTGCAAATTTTAGATGAATATGATGTTTATGTTTCGAGGTATTTGCTGAAAAAGTGTTACTGGCGTTTGCATTTTTTTTAATTCGTAGAGGTAAATGATCTAAAAAGCGATGAGTACCTGTACAGTAAATCAAAATCAACACCGTGATGTACTTAAATGGAAATGTCAATGAACTTGTTGCCGTTGTCTCTGTGTGAAATATAGCGGGATATTTACATTTTTTTATATCAACGAAATAATAAAAAAATCAACCGTTGAAAGAATCATATTTCGACGGAGGCTAAAATATCCTTCGCCAGGTTCTCAATTCGGTCGAGGTTAAAAAACTATAATTACTAAAATTACGGTCAAAAAACGCGTTTTTACTTTGGGAATGGCAATAAAATGCATTCATTATCCTCTTCCCATATACCTACATAAATTTTACATAAAAGCGTGCAATTTTCTCCGTTTTCCATAAATTTCTCAATAAACCATTTTCCGGTAAAATTCCAAAAATTCGCGAGCACACTCGAAAAATTCAATACAAACACACTATCAGTTGAACAAATATTTGACCGATAAACTCTGTAAATACGAAATCAATAGGCTGCAATTCGAAATAAATTTAAAAAATAAGGTCCACTAAAAATAGTACGTAATTGTTCGATTAATCGAATTTCGAGCGATAAGAAAGGAGAAAACAAAATGTCATGTATGTATTTATTTATTTAAGTATGTAGAATTATATTGTTTACGATCTGTTGGGGATTTTAATGCGAAATCAATAAATATCGCGTTGAAGTTTCAATTATTTTAAAAAACCTTCAAAGTTGAGCTTTACATTATCGTTTTTAAAAAGCACATCGGTTGTACCTACTAACATAAATTTGTTTCAATATGTTATAACGGCACCGTGAAATTTAATTCTTCTTTAATAGGCCATTTGAACTAATTTACCTTTGAACTTTCAAATCTAGTTGATTATTCAAGGTAACGCTTTACTAATAGAACGACTCGAATGTAAATGTTTTTTACACTGATTTCGTTAATAAGGTCATTATTCGGTTTAAAAAACTCAGAAATAACGTAAATCGCACATATTCATTAGGTAAACGCGTAGCAGAAAATAAGATGAAACATAAATGAAAATAAATTTCCTAGAATCTATTAATTCATTATTAATATTCATCAATAACGTATAAATAGGAAATTACTATCAACTTTGTAGAAAATATTCTCTATAATCACTCTGTGTACATGTGATGTATTGTTTACTAACATAATTTCCACATAATTAAATTCACGAAATTAACGATATTTTCGAAGTAATAAAAAAAGGAAACTTACATCGGCGCCTCCACTGTTTAAATCTGTAGCACATGACACTGGAAGAGCACAAGAAACATATACAGCTCAAAGGAATCAACGCCATGAAGATCCCCAACCAGACATTGGTGAGGAACTTGTGGTACTCCCGATAGTTATCGCTCAAAAACTCCTCGTTTTCGCTCTGTTGCATAAAAATCCCGCTGAAATTGAGCCGAACATCCAAAGACGACTCGAATCGTATGTCGCCCGACATTTTCAACACCTTTTGTAGCGCGATTGTGAATAATTTGACTAGCCGTAAAAGTCTAATCGGCGGCAAACATTGCGCTAATTTACACACTGATAAGTGTCAAGGAATCGTTTAGCTGCGAAACGAAATTTTCGAAAAATACAAATTAGCTGTTTGTGCATTTATGTTCATAATCCGTTTGCTAGATGATTCAAATATTTGCCAGTAATTAATTCTAATCCGCGAACGAGAAATGCTTCAATCCGAAAAACAATGCTGCTATCACGATACCGATACGTGAAAACGGGTATGCCAATTTGAAATCTATCACAATCATTATTGATGAGCAAACGTTCATCATTTATAATTGATCATCAAATTCCTTTATCAACTGAAATATATTTAACAATGCGAGTAAAAATTTTCGTGTACAATTGTCATTTGCCATTTCTAACAAGTGAAAAAGGTAACTAGATAAAAGTAAACTAGAAAAAAGAAGATTTATATATATTTTTGGATGATTTAATTCTGCTTTTTCAACATTTTCTATCATCCCTTGTTAATATTAAATTAAGTTTTGCAGGTACTAATCTATTTAGTGAATTTATTTTTAAAAGTTGGCCACAATGGTTGTCAAGTATGACGACAGTAGTGACGTGCATTGACATTTGTTTTGCACCGACTGTGATAGTTTATATTCTTCTATCGAAAAAACGTGTAATCCGGACGAAAAATTTATTTATTTCGATAATACTTGGGTCTTAATATAAGATAGTTCTAATTATTGCTACGACACATGAATAATAAATACACTATTCAACAATACATTTACTAGTTGCTATAATTAATCACTTTAATTTTGGTAATGATTACAAAATAAGTGTCTATACAGTACTATAAATATGTATCCAGAAATAAAAAAAGGAAGCATGTTTCGTGTATAAATAAAAAGAAACGATAATTACAATGCTTTATACAAAATCTCGAGCTATTTATTGACTAGTAGAGTCTTCATAAATGATTGATTCCCACGTGACCAAATTCGAAATTAACGTAGTAAATTTGTTATGTTTATGTTGGTACCCAAAAAATAAGTTACGATAACTGTCATTAATGTCAAGTCAACGTCAACTCGATGAAATCTCGCTTGAAATAACGTGTTTTGATTTGTATTCAAAATAGGGACATTTCTTGAAAATAATAACAACAGTGCACTTTGGGTTGCATAAATTTTTAGGTAACGTGGGAATCTATCATTTATGAAGTCTCGTATTTACGGAAATATTAAAAATATGCCTTTATAGTGTAAAATTAATAATAAACATTATAGAAACAAAAAACTGTTCGTTAACGAAAATACAATTACTTTTTAAACGATTTAATGATATATCAATAGAACAGTTTTAAATGCTTCGAAATGGCTTAAAAATAACGAAGTATATATTTACTGGATATGTTCGCTTAACCGCCGGTTACAGGATTTAAAACTACAATAGAGATAAACAGGACAATGTTAAGTAATACAAAATTTTCAATAGTAATTAAACAAATCAATTATAAATATTTATAAATGCGACTCAATTAGCTACTTGTTTTTAACAGTGTTCGAAGTAAATAAGCGTAATTCAACAACAATTGTTCCAAAATGAAAAATATCACAGACAATTAAAAGGAATAAAACGACTAAATTAGATTTAAATCGAATTTATCAGTAATCTCCGGCGTATTTCTTTGGTGTAATGAATAATAATATTGTTATTTAATCCATTTAACCACTGCATACAATTTAGATTTATAATTAAAATTACCATTGCCCTGCTTGATCTCCACCACACCAACATATAATAACCAAAATCACTATATTATACAGGATGTCCTACGCATTTTTAATTTTAAATTTAACAAATCAACGCTCGAAACAGTCTCTACTGGAATGCTGGTAATTTTGGAATTGAATGATACAAACGTTTCATTGAGCAAAAAAAATAAGTCTACTCAATGGCAATTAAAATACGCATGCACAGTCTTCGATACAATATTTAACTACTCTAAAATAACGGTTTTGTAAATTAACCAATTTGGCGCCATTACACGAGGCGAGAATAACCAATCCATAAATAAATTATATCACAATACAAATATAATAAAGAAAATGTTAAGGAAACATTGTAAATCCCCGATAAGGTTTTATCATTAAGAATCTGATATACATTACTAGCACCCAAATAATGGTACGGTAATAATTTTTAATATAAAACATTATCAGGTCACCAATGATATGATAATGAATATGGTCGAATATTTATATTAACATTATTAGAAGTCAAATAATAAAAAAAAAAACGTTGTTGGAAGCTTAATGTGCGTTACATAATTCGCATGTACAATCAGCAAACCCGCCTAAATTACAACACACATAACTCTCTTGTAAATGGAAAATTCAATACTAAACTATATAAAACAATCAACGTTTACAACAGATCGTTCCTGATAATTAAACGACAATATATTTAAAATATTTCACGTTTAATCCACCTACGTTATACACCTGATATTTGACTTCTAAACGCGTTTTGCTTACAGTGATCCCGACAAGTTATCGAAACGAATGAAAGTATCTTACAACGATTAGGGACAAAGGGAGAGAGATGAGGATTTATCAAACGTTACTATCGAAAACGGGGGCGCCGCTAAAACTGATCGGCTGAGCGTGAGCGACAAGATTCGAACGCATACCACCGGCCTGTACCGGATTATTCTCAGCGTTCGCCGCCTGACGCATCTCCTCGGCACTCGCCCTAAAATGAACACAATTTTTCTTAGTACCAGTGTATATTTTTCGGTGTAAAAACTACTAATCAAGCGTTTAAACAATACTTACTCGTACACCAACCTATTTATGTAATACTCAAGCGAAACATGTAAATAGTTCATTCGATAAAAGCTACACAACTACACAGTACTTATACACTGTGTTATTTATAAGATGCGACATAGGGATTCCTGTACAAATGTGTCAAAAGCAAGCTAACTTTTTTACCAAATAACGTTCGTAAAAAATAATGACAGTTTTGAAAAGATCGTCAATCTTTTTTCTTTGGCATTTTTTGTTTTTTTAATGTTTTTTTTGTCAAGAATAAAAATATGGCATCATTTTAAAGGCTCTCCCAACTAACGAGAATTTGCGTTATTAAAATTGACACTTACTTGTCGGAGCTTTTTTTTAAATAAAAATAAAATTATATCTCAAATAAGCTCGTTTTATTTTAAATATTTCTATTTAACATTTTTTAGACAAAAATATTAGAAAAACCCAAAAAAAAAAGAAAAAAATGTCTTTACTGCGCGGGGATTGAACCACATTACTTCCCGCTAAAATTTTTAAATTTCAGAGCGTAAACCCCGTAAAGCCCATTTTACAATTATTAGATAGTGACATAAAAATGACACATTTATGACGTTTGACTTTTTTCAACTTAATTACACATTTTCTAATTAAACCAGAACGAATTTAATAAAATTTAATATGCATTTCGACTTATTTTTTGACGATCTTTTCAAATCTGTCAATATATTTTACGAACGTTATTTAGTAAAAAAGTTATCTTGCTTTTGACACATTTGTACAGGAATCCCTATGTCGCATCTTATAAATAACACAGTGTACAGTCGGTGTTCTAATATCTCGTCATTTTTCATCATCGATATTCGTTTTGCACCGACTATATAAATCAATGAAGCTCTCTAATCTGTTTAGAGAGTAACAAACTCGCTAAAAAACGTAAAAGAAGCAAGTTAAAATTGAATAGCAAGCGCATAGCACCGAACCGCAACCACTCGACATGCTTATACATGCAAAATAAAAGGTAAATGAAATAAATTAATTACATGGTTAGATATTTATGTGGGACGCCATACGTCCGGATCCTCCATGAGGGTGGTATGGTGGTCGGAATGACCGATACCGGTCGGTGAAGTTACCATGTTAGGCGACGCCACGGCAGCCATGTCTTCTCTAGACCCTCTGAGAGACACCATGTTAAATTGATAGGGTGAAAAATAAACGTGAAAATGAGTTATTTCTAAAACGCACCTTCGACACACCAAAGCGAAATGTACACAAATATTCCAACACCTCGATTGCTCTGTTAGTACTTGTATATGTACATTTTTTTTAATTATTCAATAACAGATGGATTGTACAAATATTTTTACCCGCTATAAGCAATATGTACTTACTTTTTTCCAAGCGCCATCATTCCGTATAGAGCTCCAGTTAGAAAGATGAAACCGGAACCGAAAAACGAAGAAATCCCAAACGCAAATATCAGTGGAGGTAGCGACATCCTAAAAAAACCACAAATTACCCTAAAATATCTATCGATAAACTAGTACTTACAGAACGTAAACAGCTGCCCTGTTCCAGTAGGGTCTCGAGTCAATGAAATCCGCTAATCTCTGTACGTGATCGATGAACAAACAACAACAAGGGGCTTCGCAGCAAATTAGGACAAATCCGGCTAAAATTTGCCATATTCCACCGATTATGTTAACCGCAGAGAAACTTATGCAGACCGAAACTCCCAGGGCCATTGCAACTACGTAAAGATAAAATCCCCTGTTAATTTAATCGTGTTTTTGTGTTTATTGAAGATCATATTACATCATAATCAGCTTACTGATGTGAAAATTACACGACTACAATTCAATTTAGTTTTAATCGAATTATCCCAATGTAGATGTAAAAAGGAGTAGGTAGATTAACTTACGGAAGCCTCCCACTGTGCCAGCGGCTCGGCCTGAGAATTTCAACCACCATGGTACGTCGTCTTTAGCAACAGGATCCTGCCCGGGACGGGCCATAAGGGCCGAGATTTTATCTTGAATTGACTAGAAACACAAACGAAATCAATATAGTTCATTGCGCTTTTTAGTAATTGTTGTAATATTACCATTTCGTGTGATAAACGGGAATAATAACGTTATAAATTGTTAAACGACGATCACTAATCTTACCCCCTGACTGGAAAACAAATTGTCAATACTATTTTGTCAATGTCAGTTATGTCAGTGTCAAGTGTCGAAGTCATATGGATGGTCCAGGTACGTTTTGTTGTATCAATTTTATAATAAATTCATGTTTCTAAAAAGCCAGAAGTAGATAATCCATCTTAAAAACTTAATTTATCAAAATTGATAAGTATTAAATAATATCAAACGCCTTTTTGGTTCAATTTAAAAAAAATGGTACCAATTATCGTATAGGTAAGAGGCAGCCGTTTAAACAATTGACGTTTATTCGACAATTACTGACATGTGACAGAACATTATATAAACATTCGTTTGAAAGAAAATTGGTAGATTTGTTTGAATTTGTTGTGTTTCACAATATTTTTATTAATTGCGTATTTTAAATCTTTATACTTCATCAATGGATATTTTCAGAAAAATATTTGGGTTGAATAGGGATGACGAGAGAAGTGAACGACAGTAAGTACATTTTAATTTCCAGAACATTCTATTCTAGAATATGCGAATTTTTTAGATATCGAAGAAATTCCGAAAGAAACGACTTTCTACGCGATGAAGAACATCCGAACGACCACTTTTCTAGAAAGGGCTTCGATATTTTCACAGATCCCCTACAAATGCATCAATATTTCGAACAAGAAATGAACAACATTTTGAAGAGCTTCGGCTTTCAAGAATTCGGAAACTTCTCTCAGCAATGTGAGCATTTTTTTATTACTACATTAAATAAATAACTTATTATATTTTTCAGTTGACTCTACAAATATACCCGCTTTAGAAGCAAGCCCAGATGATTTACGAGATCAATTTTTAAAACCTGGTTATGTAAAACCCGAAAGTCCTTCTGATATGGTCGATAAGGACTTGGATGAGAAGTAAGATGAAACCTATAAATCCTTTGTTATCTATCTTATTAATTAATTATTTTAGAGTCAAATCTGGCAACTTTGATTCACTACTAAACGATAAAAGTACCAATATAGTACCTTACAAGCCTCCATTTTCTGGAAATCGATTTTTCTCTCACGGAACTTCCGAAAGTTATAAATCGATTGCAAAACCCGACGGGGTAAGATTAAAATTCACTCTATTATGAATGAATTTTTCTTCTAAATTGTTATTTCAGTCAGTTGAAACTCATCGAACGAAGCGAGACTCCCATGGTAATGAAGAAACGACTGTTTGTCACAAAATCGGGGACAAAGAATATTGCGTAATAAAGCAAAAAGATGCCCAAGGAAACGAATCGACTACTGAAAAATATGTAAACATGTCTGCGAATGAAAAGGATATATTTTTTAAACCTAACAGTACTCCTATGCTTCCAAGTAATAATCCAGATTCTGGAATTCCATGGGATAAATTCTTTAAATAAACCTAATTCAGCTGTATGTGAGTTGTACAGTCATGTAAAAGTTACCAAAGATTTTAATTTACCTAATTAATAAATATATTTTACTAGTTAATTGTTGTTAATAAATATAGAAATGAAACTACACCATTTCTTTCATTATTTATTGTAGTTGTAGGTAATTATTGCAATTGTTACGCACAATGATAACATTTTACAAAATATATTAGATACAAATAAGTTAGATAATAAGTAACATTGATGTCTACTTATAAATTCTCCATTAAAAATGCTAAAGCTTTTTTTTACCTAATATTTTTGGGCAACTCCATTGATGGTATTACATCAAAATAATATTTTTGTAGTGCTTATATAATATATTTTAGTGCTACATTCACGAAGCGAATTTTGTGCGAGACAGAGGTAGGTATCTAATTAAATTCCTTTAATTTATTGGTATAGTGGAAACTGAGTGGCCTAAAAATATTGGATGAAACAATATGCATTTCTTTAAAAAAAACTATTAAAAGTAACAAAATATATTTCATCGTTCAAAACGACTGTTAAAAAGTGGACTTTTTCATTAGTCTTCAGTGGTGTTTTATTTTAGGCTTCAGTGTTGATCTAGGTTTACATAGTCTAAAAAATTAATAATTTAAAATTAACAATCAGAGTATAATAATACAATAATTTCGAATATAAACATTTTAGCATGCGTTGAATTTTTGTGCGATCTATTCTACTTACTTACATTAGAAAATATTGTGTGCAAGTGTGAGTTTAAATGTGAAGAGAACTATCTGTCACCTTTATAACGACTCCTTCGTCATCTTCCTCTTGGCACGTGGAAAGTCTCTTTTCCAACAACAAATCTTCCTTGACTTTCTCTTCCTTCCTGCATTGCTTTTTCTTCTTGAATCGACTGCAAGTACATTTTATACATATTTTTAAGCGTGGAGATTCGACCACACCTCACCTTTTTCCTTTGGGGCTCTTCTTCTTGGGCTTCTCGCGCGCCTGGTTGTCGTTCACCTGCTTCCATATACCCGTTTTGTTAACTTCTTCGGATATGTTGATGGCGGAAAGGGGGATGTTCATCACGTTGCCGTTGGCTAGCGGGATTTTCAAGTTTCCCGCTCGCTTTTCGATTTCCAAGGAAGCTTCTCCTGTTTGAGCCTGGCAAAAATACAAATGTTATTAGTTTTTAGTACCTACTGTGAGGGAATTAGGTTGGTGCTCGTTGCGGATAAAATGTGCCATTTTTATTTTATAAATACAATATTATTGTGTGGATATTGGTGTTAGAACTTAGTTGTAAAGGTAAATTAGAGCGGAAATAAAATAAAGTACAGAAGAGGCAGGTTCAAAGCAATTTGGTTTTTGTTGTTATATTAAAACTTGGTTACTTCGGGGTTACTACAATTAGATACATCAAGAATTTTTATAAACATGTTGAGGCTTACTTGCGTTTAAATGATCGCAAACCCAGCAGGATAAGCTGGTGTGTCTGCTTCAAAGCACCAATAATAGACTTTAAAATAATCTATAATACTTACTGTAAATAAAAATTGTGAAATATTGAATTTACCATTCTTGTGATGGTACAGTAAGTTAACATGCTCCCAAATAAACCTACCCTTCGACTCCTCAAACAGATACAACCTAAGCGAAATAAATAATAAATAAATAAAAAAATAAACGAATAAGAATTTATTGAAATAAACATAATAATAAAATATAAATAAATTTATAACTAAGAACAAAGGTGGGTAACAAGAAACGTAGCCGATGGAATGTGTTCGTAATTATTTTTATTTTGAAATTCCAATAACTGCCTAAATACTGATAGGTAATTTGCTAATTATTTTTTACTGCTCACTTAATTTTTCTACATTTTTCTTTAAAAACATCCCATAAAAAAGTTAAAGGAATTTCAGAAGCAAATATACGCTATATTTAGTTTGAAAATCGAATTGAATCACATTTATTGATATGCTTTCGGTGAGTACATTTAACAGGAAGTTTAATAAAACAGAAAATATAAGAAAATTAAAATAATCCTTTCGCAGCTGTTCGCAACAATTTTTTTTTCATGTCCCCTAAAATTGCAATAGTTAAAGTACAATTTCCGGAATCGTTGAATAATATTTTAATAGGCATGCTAATAGTTCAGTAGTAGATAAGTTTTTATCACTAATAGGAAGGAAACATCGAATGATTGTCTGCACTATATGGTCCCTATAAGAAGTCAGTTTATCTCAATTTTTGGCACACTTAATAGAAATTAATATCCGTATCTTGACCCGTATTAAACATTTCCCAGTACAACTTTAAGTAGTCATGGAAGATTACTCTTATTTTAGAGACTTATTACTGGTACATATTGAACATTTCAATCTCCTTTCCTGAGTAGTTTCTGCGTCTGCTATAAAATATTGTCAAAAATACTCTTAACGACTAAAATAGCCAAACACATACCATTAGTCTTAAAGGCACTATATAAAATCAAAATACAAGCTAATATGGCCTATCACGTTTATAGGTATTTAAGAATTTTTTTGAATGATAATTCACGCTACGATCGGACACATTAAGCTTCTACGGCATTCTGATTGCATTTAACGTACTCCCGATGAGTTATCAATTTCGGCCCTAGAATTAATTTCGATACATAACGACAGCACCCCACCTCCTCGTCTTCCAGCTGCTGTCTCTTATTCTCCGGCATAACGTCGTCCAATATCTTCAGTTCTCTCCTGGTGAAAACCCAATCCAGCGATTTTCTGATGCCGATCATCACCACTAACATCAACGGAAACAAGATGGACGTTTGACTGAACGATTTTATCATCCACAGGCATATAAGGCAAGCCAGTTGTATGAGCGTAAAGATATGCACCTTTTTTATCGGAACCTGCAACGCGCAAATTCAATCCAACATTTACAGAATTGTTTAGTACGTACCTGTCTCAAAAACATATAGTCCGGTTGATATTTGTTCGGCATAAACATGATGAGTATCCTATCGAAGAACTGCAAGCCTTTCAAGGAGGATATCCCCATGTAGAGGAACACCCCGTACAACACCGGCATCGGGATGTACCCCAACATAGGAGTGATAAAGACTGACAGTCCGATGGACAGGAATATCAAAATGTGCGTGACCCTCTGCTCTCTGACCCCCAGAAATTGGGGCTTGTCCCCGGGGGCGGCGCACTCCGACTCCATCTTCAGCGAGTGCACGTGGTTCAGCGACAGCACCGTCGCCGCCACGAACCAAGGGAGCCCCATCGCCGAGCAGATCAGTATCAGAATCGACAGCACGAACAGGTCCAAATGGTAGCCGCAACCTATCCAAACAATCCACGTTTAAACCTTATAAACAAATCATTTGTGTAAACACTCGCCTTTCTTCAATTTGAATTCCTTCCGATTGACGATAACGGCGGTGATTTGCTGGTCCATGAAGATGAGGATGGTGCCCAGAAGGGCCGGCGGCAGCGCCACGAACGCGGTGTAGATGGGATTGTGGTTGAAGGGGTGTATGACCCACCCTCTGTCGGGTAATGTAGGCTTGAACTCGTGAGGGACTTCTAATTTCGGCGTGTCGATGCCCACCATTATGTCCAGCAGTGTGGTTGAGCATATCGCTATGATCACGGCGAAATCGCTGATGAATTGACGGACCTGCACAAGTATATATCTTGGTGATTAGTGGATTGTATTACAAGAACTGTTACTTACTTTAGAGGGGAAGAACAGGGCGTTTTTGAAATCTTTCAAGTGGATAGATATTATGAAGGTCGCGAGGACGAGCAGAATTGACATCAGGTAAACGTCTGGAGCGTAGGCGGGCTTGAAACAACCCTCCGAGAGAGTTCCGTTCAGTTGCAAGCACACCGTTTGGTTAACGGCGGAATTGTTAGTAATTTCTGGCAAAAGAGGACCGGTTCCGTTCCAAACGCACTGGCAATCAGTTAAATTTTCTTGACCTTTCACGTATATCGGATATTTCTTTCCAATCGCCAAAACATTATCCACAGCCTACGAACCAATAAAACTTAAATCAAATAACAAACCAGCGTACAATAATCTAATACCTTATAGATGAATATGAAAGCGATGAGAGTGGCGAAATTCTCCTCGGTGAATCTGGTGATGTAACAGACGAAAGCACTGGCGTCGATAGCCACTAATACCATCAAGATGAAGGCGATCCAAGCGCCTATCCAAAATCGAAACGACATGTAATCCCATTGCATGGTCGAACAAAAATCGTACACAATCGTTTCGAATACCAATACCGGTCCGGTGGATCCCAGAAGAGTCAACGGTTGCCCGGAGAAGAACCCGTAGCCGATGCCGCACACGAAACCGGACACCAGCGATTCCATCGCCGCCATATTCTTGCCGGTCGCCTCCGACAGCAACCCCCCGAACGTTATAATCGGCGACAGACAGGCGAAGTACAAAAATATCCAAGAAGCCACGCATTGCATGGCCAGCGCCTCTTTGAAGTCCGACCAGTAGAAAGGCAGTTTTCTCCTAATGTCGTTCCGCAACCCGCCGAAGAGCACTCCAGTCCGGGCCAAGCCGGACTCCTCGCGCAGCTTCTGCTCTTCCTCCTCCTCGTCGATCTCCTCCACGAACTTCTCGGGCGGCCGTTTGCGCGCGTCCTGCGAGGGAATGGCGGCTGGAGGTTCTATTCGAATCGCAGGATCCCACTCGCCCGGAGGTAGCACCGTCACGGCGTCCAGGAATTCGTCCACTCCTGCTAGTAGATGGCTGCGATTGCTCGCTCTGTAGGCGACCTCGTGGAATACTTCGTCGGACATTAGCGTCGCCATAGCGCGGCCGATTTCGTGGTAACCTACACCGAACAAATCGTTATAAATTCCTGTTGGGTTATGGGAAGTTGGAAGTGTGGACCTGCAGTGGCTGTGGGCGGACCGAGCAGGATGAATAGGAACCGGTTTGGCACTGGTACTTCAGTCAAGTCGCCCAAGATGGTGGCGGTTTCGAGCCGGATGAAGGCGGAGAGGGTCTTCTCCAGAAAGGGGACTTCGCCGACCAGGATGTTGCTGGCCTCCGAGCCGGGTGGGATTTTTTTCATGAAAGCCAAGTTGTGTTGGACTTCTGATAGGTCGCCGGAGCTGTGGTTCCTGCTGATCGATACGTAGCTGGCGCTCTTCTTCATCGACGGGGATTTCTCGATGCCTGGTGAGTCGGAATTTTGGATCGATTAGAACGCAAATGAAACAGAGTGTAAATAAATTACGAAACCAACGTTGTGTGAATAATGAATAATAAGTAAAGCAATGAAAAGGGTAATTCGCAAATCAAATTATAAATGTAAATAGAATAACGAAAAATATCTACAGGTGAGTAAATTTTGTTTACCGTAGCCGGGTACACCGAGAAACTTTCCAGTTTCGGTTTTCCCTGACGACTGTTCCGAAAAGAAATGCTCGTCGACTGTAAAGAACAGAAATAATTCGTTTAAAACATTCCGATTATTCGATTTGGGAATTAGCGCCGTTTTTTTGTTAGGGATTCCACCACCGTTCGTTAAAATGTTTGCTGATTATATTTAGAACGTTACAGTAAACAATTACTGTAACATTCCAAGAAACAAATCGCTTTTTTACTGGTTAATTTTTTTTAAATCTACCTGGTATCGAAACGTAAGAACCATTTTTTTTATGTTCTACGGAATCCATTTGCAAAATTTCTTTTTCCTTCGGTGGGGCGCTTACGCATAACAAACAACTATTTTCTGAAATTAAAAAATCCTTAACTCACGTTCGATAAATTCGAGCCAAACGAGAATCGCGCTTACTTTTAGACGAAGAGTGGTTCTTCATTTCGTTGAACGATCTAATGAAGGGCAACCCGTGATGTTTCTTCTGGTGCTGGTGCTGATGCCTGTGCCGCTTCATCAAAGTCTCCTTAACTTTACCCTTCTTATCGAAGGGCAAACTGTTGTTGTTTATCATATTATCCAACACCAAATCGGCGATTTGCTCTATACTCGAGGCCTCCATGTCCAAGATCACGGTCCCGTTCAGCAGCAAACTCCTCAATTCGAAGAGCGAATGCAACGACAGAGTGGCCACGTGCGGTTTCGACCATCTGTTGCCGCCCTCCTCCACGTCCTCCTCGAATTTTATCCATCGGGCGGTTTCCTTCCATTCCATTTCGTTGCCGTCGGTGACCAGCTCCTCCATTTCGGAGAAGAGCGGATGGACCTCGTGCCTGTCATTGTTGGCTTCCTCGCCGAGGATGAACTGCACTCGTTGGGACGGCGGTGTGCCTAAACATTCGTTTAATTAATCCTTTGGGAGGGTCTGGGAGGTGTGGAACAGTGCATAAAAATTGATGATATTTGTTGTATAAAGTACAAAAGGTAGCGTGCAATGCATGATGAAGATGTTGATGGTGCTGTAAAAGATTATTAAGAGTGGATTTTTGTTTGTCCTAAATTGTGAGTACCTGCACGCTTTATGAGTTTTATTGTTCGATAAAAAAACATTTATATGGAAATCCCGTTGATACAAGTGACACACATACATGCATTTAAATAAATACGCGTATAATCGCTATTGATTTGTACAAAATTGCTCTTGCATTTAAAAATTTATTGCCAACAAGTCATTGACCGATAATCAGTAAAATAAACAACGTTTTATTGATGTCTATAATTTCACTCCTAAATAAATTTCTTTTGGGAAAGTTTTACATATTTCGGATAATCTGGTTATAACTGGTTAACGAATGTAAACCAACAATATAATGAACTAATCGAACAACGAATAATATCACAACAAACTACAAAATTGCAACTAACGAAAAACATAATGCATAGCAATCTTATTTATTCCATGTTAGAGCAACCGCTCCTAGAATAAATGAATCATAAGTACAGGATTTGAAATGAGGGAAGTTGTTTGCAGATGTCAGTTCCAATAAAATTGATGTAAAGAATACGGGCCTCGTGTTTGCACTAACGCGAAGGTCGGGAAAAATAAATCTCTCTTCAGCGGAAAAAAACTTTGATATATTCCAAGTACGCGGCGAGCAATTCGAGTTTGCGGGAGTTTTTATTAGAGTATCAATTAATACTTTCCCGCAATTGGAAAAAGTTCGCTGTATCCTCACCGGGATGATTTATGAAAAGCTTTCGTTTATTACAGAAGTTGCGATACGTGAAGATATAAAAATCATCAAGCCATGCACATAAAGATAATAACTAATAAGATAATAAATTTTACATTATGAATAATTACGAAAACTGTTACAATAGTTGATTGTGCAGTTTCCGCAATTGAAGACGTGAACTATTGATTGTAATGTTAGAAAACTCTACGATTATGCAAATCGAAAGATAAATGAACAGTGCTGCTGTCTAAATGAGCGTCTAAATGCGATGATAAACTCTTTTGAAAGTATACATAATTCATTCGATGTAGAGCTATAAAAACATCGATAAAGATTTTATGTGGGTGCGAGAGAACAGAATTATTTTCACTTCAAACAATGATGTACATACGAGAGTCTATAATAATGATGGTTTTGTCATTGCGATTGAATCATTTTTATAAACACTAGTAAGTACACTATCCAATGCTCTTACACGTTAATGTATCATCTTCTGAGATACTCAATCCTCTTCTTCTGGACATAATCGTACCTAAAACGACAGAGGAAGGTTTCGAATCTCACATTTTTATCAAAGATCCTTAAGTTTAACCATGCAGGATGCCTGAATTCGAGAGCTCCTTCGGTATATTAATCTTTACATAAACGAACGAGCTTTATGTAAATCAACAACACATTTTCTCGAAAAAACCATGCGAAATATTTTCCTAAATTATCTATTTTTAATCATATTAGGTTTTAAAAATAAATATGCAACGTAAAAACATCCAGATTAATGCCAATTGATTACAGCAACAATACGTGTAGGCAGTCCAGACAAAAAAATAAACTTGACTCTAATAAGAATGTCGGAAAGTTCAAGATCAAAGGAAAGTTTCCCTCCAAGTTTTTGCTCCTCTCGAAACTTTTTCTCGTTTAAAGAATTTTAGATTTTAGCAAGCAGAAATGTAATGAAACAAAAAATTCTACCCCTACATAAAGAATCGTTTAACAAAAAATTGTACAGCTCTTTAAATTTCGTTTCCCAACTGACGCGAAGTAGGATCCATCCAGATAATAACAAGAACTTCGTCGATACCGATACATCCACAAAACGAGCTAATAAAAAACTTTCTCCATGCATTAAACAAGAAACGAAAACACAATATACAGTGCTAGTAAAAAATCTTGTACAATCATGCTACGAGCTGCAGAGGATTTTTTTTTCGACTAGCAACTTACTGGGCCTGCTCTCTTCTTTGTTCCCGGATTCGGGGGCGAGTTCACCAGGGCTGCGGTGTCGATGGTGATGGCGACGGTGCGAATGCCGCCTCTCGACTGGTATATGCACGCCTATAAAGACACTGTGAGCCCGGTGACCTGGCACACAAATCCAAATTTTTACTATTTATACTTTGTCCAATTGTCGCCAATACAGACGCGACTATTAATGCTATTAATAGTATTCATTGAGTATTTGTTAGGAAAATATTATTCGTTTGTACTTATAAAAAATTGCAGTGAATTGCTTGATATCTTCTAAATTCAAGTTACAAGAAAATTTCTCCGTTTCCTTCATCTCTTTTATGCAATTTTTCTGGTCTCTTGATTCTATTTTTTTATTGCTGCCTCGGTTGACATGCGGCTTATTCGTGCAGCTAATTCCAATCTCCCATGAAGTTTCTGGATTAGCAGGAATTTTTTGAAATCTTTTATCTCGATTTGTGCACGTGTAGGAATAATTTTCTAATTTTCCTGAATGGGTGTAATCTCTGGATAATTTTCGACACAATGCCTATCTACTTATTTATCTAATTGCGCATTGCATAACATATTTGGGTATTTTTATATAACCTTAAATAATGATTTGATTCAATCGTTATCATCGCTTTGATTTTTTTACATAGAAGAATTATCGTTGAATCCATACTATTAAATTAGGTAGGTGTAGTAGCCTTGTGGAAAAATCTCTAGGTCGCAAAATCCAAGTTCAACATGCAAACGCCACTTTTCTAATTAAAACCGAAATGTTTTTGTATAAACAATCCTCACGCATACTTCGCTTATTATCAAATTCGTGAATAAAATGTTACTAAAAAAATTAATGAATGCGTATAAGTGGAATTTTATTTTCGACAGTAAACTTGTTAATTAAGATGCAATTAGAAGAAATGCTATTGGGAATGCTGTATTTTGAAGAGTAAACCAGTTCGACGTGTTTCAAATAGGATTTTCGTTTATTATCGTGAATAATTTAGAGAAAGGCGCGTTGAATGCCGGAAAAAACTCTTCGAAGTGGATTTGATAATCGATATAAAAATAATTCCTTACCTTCGAAGTCCTTTTCGTCGAAAGGGAGCTTAATTTTGTGGTCTGCAGCCGGGTCCTTGGATGCCTCATCGTCGATTTGATGATGATCCATACCACTAGTTCTGCAATGTGCAAATTAAAATTGTTAGTCGAAATTATAAGTAGATAAAAAGTTCGAATTGATCATTATCTAATTCGCCAAATTGTAATGATGTTCGCTAATTAGTACCTGCCTACGTCATGGGATAGCGACTTTCAAAATTGTGAAAATCGAATTATCTTTGAAAGTGCACTAAGGTCAATATAATTAAAACCAAAGAGGATATTTCCACTTAATTCTAATGGTAAGTTAAATCATTTATTGTGATGAAAAATATCTTGAGACCAACAAGAATATAATGCTGTAATTTCCACTCAATAATTTCCTGTTTTTCAATTTTTACCTCTGTCCCTTTAATATCCAGCTATTACACTAATAATATGTATCTAATATTAAGTTGAGTACTTTAATATGTCTCTATTCGACGAACTGTACACATTATTAATTACCATTTTCAAATATTGAATATTGAAATGCAATATCTCCGGTTTTAATGAATTTTCAAATTAGATTCGAATTTGTCGATACTAATTCGATTTGTGTTATGAGAAAATAATTCTATCGATTAGCATTAATTTACTTGTTCGTGCAATTGGAGTGTTTTTTAAATGTTGGATTATAGAAAATTCATTTATTGTATTTTCTAAAATAAATTTGTATTCAAGGTTTAACTTAATATCGTGTAGTAGGCGGAGAAATTTTCGATTTGGGAATTAATATTTTTATCCTAAGTTATTGTACGTATTTTTAGAACAAAATCATTTCTATGGTTTAATTTCGGAGGGATTACAGGATCTAATTAAGTTAAGAAAGTACATAAAAGGCAACATAAATCTCCTTTGTTCTTTGGCCATAAAGGTTTATTGGTTTGGTTATATCCCCAGATATTTTGTAGGATAATTTGCTCACATACATTTAATTATCACAGCTTTTTTACAATATTGAAATTGTAATATTGCACTTAATTTATATGATTGTTTTTCTGTCTGGTTTTTTATTGTTTTTAGAATGCAGTATTTTATATTTAACCATATATAATTGTGTGACAATGAAATTATGAAAAAATAATTATTGTACGAATTGATTTTCAACTCTAATAATTAGTAAAACATGAGCATAATAATTAAATACTTTTATTTGACATGCACGTATTTGTATTTGGTTTTAAAATAAATTTGCATTGTAAACTTCTTGTTAAAAGAAACTTTTTAAGTGATTAAATTTTATTGATTTTATTGAAAAATGTAAAACGCGCTAAAATCATTTTTCCTTTGAAAAAAAATTTAACTGATTTGCAAGCATTTATCACCTATTTCACTTAACATTACGTAAATTATATTCTTTTTAAAGGATTTGTAATTTTCTAAATGCATAATGGGTGCATATTGTAATTTAATAAGCGTTAAACTAATGATACCTAGTTTCAATACCTATCCATTAAAGGTAATCATTTTTTATAACTCATAAAAGCTAGACATAAAGTAAATAATTAAAAAATACCAGCACCCACAATAAACTGATTTGTACGATTTATTAATGGTTTATTTAATCATTATTGAATAACCAATTGTCAAGGACGGTATACAACATAATAAGTACAATACTTATAATACTTATAGGCTTGGTTCAAGTGTTTACCATTCTGTATAAATCAACCCATAACGTTTTGAAGTAAGCCATAATTACCGCTCATTTATGACATTTGTAATTGACTTTCAATCAGCTTTTACCTTTTTTTTTCCAGATATTTTCCCTTTACCCAAGCGAAACGTTAAATATCGATAACCGCAATCCACATACCTGCGGAAAACCGAAGCGATTTTCTTTGATTCGACTGAATTCGATACAACCAATCCCGGAAAATTCGAAATTGCTGTTGCACGCACTTTAATTTAATACTCTACATAACCGACCTGAAGCAATCGAGACTGATTTGATTGTTCTCGTCAATCTAAATTATCTAAATTATACTCTATAACAATTAAGCAATTGCAAAATGTCTATATTATAGAAAAAACGAAGTAAGATCTAAGAATCTAAGAAAATCTAAGTAAAATCTAAGAATATATGTTACAAATAAAATTTATGAGTAGTTTAATTACGGTTTAATTTGATAGGCTGATACTTAGGTATTATTTCAAACGTGTAAAACTTCTATGTATTAAATTACCTAATTATAGTGGACAAAACTGTTAAAAATCCTTTTGCACAGTACTGTGTTACTTTAACAAAAGAATACTTACATTCCTAGTAAAAAACATTATTTGAAGCGCTTAAATAATCCAAAATAATTCAAATATTCAATAACTTGGACAAATACAAAGTGTTTAAATTTAACCTACCTTGAATAATTAAGTAACAAGTTTTATAGAATAAACCGATTTATGTTACATGTATAAAACTCAGACGATTTACAACGATTGAATAAAAACCGCGGAATTTAATGCAGCCGATAAAAATGCAGGAGCAGAATTTGCGAAATGGGTATATATCAATCTGTTTCGAAAATTCGCGGGTAGGAGAGAAGAAAATGGTGTCGCAACCGCAGGTGAATGCTGATTTTGGTGGCGGCGATTCATCATTGTATTATCAGTAGATTTCAGGGTAAAACAATACCCGTGGGTGCCAAAATAACGTGATTTTAATGCCGAATACATTCCTCACCAATATGTAAAAATGAGTGCAATAAGTTTAAAGAATTCTACCTCTTTAAATACTTTAAGTACGAGTATAAAGAGCACCAACACTGACTAGTTGATTACAGAAAAATATCAAACATAAAACGCATATAATTATACATTTCCTGAATTTTATTTATTGCATTTATTACACGATTAAAACGATCATTAAACTAATTGAAGCGTTTTCCTTAATCCCGAAAACTAAAGTTTATAAACAATAACATTCATACCTCAGAGAAAAATATTTTTGATAGTTTATTCGTCGGATTTTCGATCCAAACAAACAACAAACCGCACCAACGGTTTTGTAAACAAATAATTTATAACAACAAAAGATAAATAAATTTCGTTCGAATCAAACTGATAGCGGTCCAGTACTACATCCGATCTCGCGAAAGCAATGCAACAGACTGACGATAATAGAAGTGGAAATCCTATTTTTTAGATAACAAGTTTACTACAGTTTACTACTTACTGGATTCCATTTTAAGAGATCATTTTAAGCTATTAACTGGTCGTAGAGTTGTAAATGACTCCAGCAAACTTCAATACATGCTCACCTACATCCTTCAGCGTGAAAACCAAGGTCTTTGTTGTTTTGATGAACTCATTATATGCTCAATCATTAGCTGATGAATTAATCAAATAACCGCAGACTAAATATTGCAATATGTTGTATTTATAATCCAGACTTGCAGACACGATTTGTGCATTTACCAAATTTGCTGCATATAGTTTGATTCATTTGTAAATTTAGCACGTTTATCAAAATCTAGGGCATGCATCCTGGTATCATTTGCAATTATTAAAATGTTCATATGCAATACTTAAATGCACTTTAAAGGCAATGCAAGTAGATTTTAAAAAATTTCGCAAACCATTAACATAATAAGATGCAGTTTTTCCAATAATTACAGGCTTGATTGACCAGCAATGAATACTAATGCTCATAAGGATCTTGTATAAAGATATTTATAATAAAAGTTCAAATATTTAACATTATCAATTCTTGTACGGTGTGTTTATTCCCTTATCAAATGTCTGCTATCGTTATACTTCTCTTATTACAAATCCTGTGTTATTGTAAGTTTGTTGAATTGTATTATTTCTGCATTTAATGATATTTAATTTGATTATGACGTTCTTTGATTCAAGCGAAATTTTTATCAGCCGTCAATAAAGGGATTAAAAAGGGTATTAAGATGTACTGATTAGTTTATGTTGGTAATATAATTCTATAGAATATCAGATAAATCAAAAATTGCAATTGAAATATAATACCTACAACCGATTTGAATTCAATCTATTGATCACGATATAGGTGATTGATTTGTCATGTAAAATCGATTGATTTCAACAATCGGTTTTTAGTGAAATACTCAAAATGTAATTATCCTAGTCGTTTATCTGGAAAAGGATCTATTCGATAATACTATTGCTGAAAATGTCAATAGAGTAAAATTTTAAAACCATTTATCGATAATAATTATTTACCTACAACACTTTAATTTGAATAAAAATACGTACCTCAATTAAATTAACATCAATCCAAACAAACAGCAATCATATTCATCGATTTTGTCACTAAAATTCACTAAAATCCCTCCAAATTCATTCACTTAAAGTTCCCCGTTACAAGACAATAAACTTTTCTAAATTTTTATGTATCTAACGTGTTCACATTTACTCTTCCTCAGTCGGTATAAATACTTGAAAACGGACTTGACGATTTTCCTAGCAGACATGTTAGAAAGATGCCGAGTGGGAGTGGAGGAGAGATCGAGGCGATTAGCAAAACTACCTATGAGAAAAGTGGAAAAAGAATGAAATGAAAGCCTACGCAGCCTAACAGACAGAAGTTGCACTACCCTTAAAGGCCGCCTCGCACCGACTGAAACCCCGAAACGGAGGCATGCGCCGCATATTGATCTTTTCCACGCCGCGTGCGGCATTCCAAACGCCAGAGTTTTCCTCCCGAACACTCCACATGCCAATGCCCTAACCGGTTTTCCGAAAAAAACCAACCTTCGACGGCCACAACTACAACAAAACCAAACGCCAATCGTGTGTGTGGTACTCAGTTTATTTTCTTCTACATTTTTTTCGTTTGCTACCATCTTACACGTTCGCTGCGGATTTGCTCCTGTGGCGCGGATTCGGGCCGCAGGCTTTGTGAGTTTTATTATTCTCCGTCAATTCGAAATACTTCGTTTCGCTGCGCTTCAACGACCGACCTCTCATCTTGCCCCGCGACTTGCACCTGTCCCAGTCCTTGTATTGCTTCGACAGTTCCTTGAGGACCTTCTTGATGGCCGACTCCGAGTGGATCAGCATGTTCCTCAAGTGCTGGTCGCCTTAAAAAGAAATTATAAACGTAGCAATAAACATCACCGGCGGAATGGTTTTACCTTCGAATGGACCCAGGTGCATTTTGATGTTCATTAGTTTGTCGTTTTCCAAGCGTAAATCATCCAGCTCGTTTCTGATTATTTCAAGTATTTTCTTCTCCTCTTCGTGCTTGGTTATCTTAGTTTTGTTCAACTTTTCTTCTAAGGATTCTATGGTTTTATTAGCTTTGTGTAATTCAGCTTGTACTTTCTCCAAGCGCGTTTGATAGCACATCCTTTCGCAGCAAACGCCCTGTATGGAGCTTTCCAATTCTTCCTCGACCTTCGCGAGTCTCTCTTCGAATATGGCGATCAAGTGGTTTTTCTGCTCCAATTCGATTCTCATGTTGTTTAGGGCGTCTCGCAAACGCGTCTATGGGGAAGAAAATTGTTAAAACAGTCATAATAACGAAATTAGGAATTAAAAATCTAATACAGCATCGATTCGGTGCGGTGAGATCTGGCACAAACCGGTTCGGATCAAAGAAACGTACCGATTAATTCGCCTACCTATCACGTAACTAATAATTATTATACATTGTTGCATTTTGATTTAAAAATAACGTAGATGAAGTCGATAATTACCCATCGATGAAACCACTGTCGCTATGGGAGCGAATATTAAAAAAAATAGATCTACTTATCTGCGGATAGTACTGGTTCTAACTAGTAAGGAACAACGTCAAAACGTGTTAGGTAAACTGATAACAATAAAAATCAATATAATTAAAATCGTATTTATGAAGTACTCCCGGTACTAAATTTAATAATGTAGGAATTTTTTTATACAACTCGAAGGCGATGAAGATTTACAAAAAAAAAACTATTTAAATATATGGATAATTAAAATCGCGGTTTGAATTTGCCGCAGTACGGGCAATTTGAATGATTCATGTGTAATAAACATAAACGAGGTTTACCATTTCGTTGCATATTATTAATTTTATTTAGTACCTTGTGTTTTTAATTATTTGCATGAAAGTAAAATTAAACTGTCATTGGCCAATTACCGAAACGTACCTGGGATTTACCTTTGTGGATGATAATTTGCTCAAAATGACACAATTGCTTTTTAATTTCGTTTTCTTGATCCACAATAACGTTCTCCAAATCGTCCACCTGCGTTTTCAGGCATTCGCATTCCTTCTTCACCATTTCGCTCTCCTCCAGCTTGGACTTCCACATTTGGCACTCCCTTTGCATGACTAGAAAACAAATTTTGAAACCCATCAAACGGAAATCGAACGGAACCCACCGAGCATTTCCTCGTATTTGTGTTTGTACTCCTTGTATTCCTTCAAATCGCCTTGCAGTTTCTCGCACTTCAACCGCAGGTTTTCGTTGTGGGTTTTCAAGTGGGGCAATTCGCTGAGAGATATTTGCAATTTGTCCCGCTCCGTTTTCAGTATTTCCGCCTCCTTCGTTTTGGAGGCCAGGAAGTTCTTGTCGTTGTTGAGGCAATCTGTACGTTAAAAAGTACCATCATTTCCGCAAGGGTATTGTTTTAAGCGATCGTACCGACTCGTTTTTCCAGCGCGTCCCTTTCCGATTTCAAATTCGCCACCTCCTTCTTCAGGCAGTTGCATTCGGTTCTGAGTCGTTGGACGTCGAACTGGGTGGTTCTGTCGTTCTTTAGGGCTTTCAATTCGCTCTCCAGCTCGCCGATGCGATTGGAGTTCAACCGCAGCCGGTCCACTTCCTTTTGCAGCTCGTCCGTGCGCTGCAGGCTCTTCAGCAATTCGTCCCGTTCGGCGAGGACTCTGCTGAACATCGCCGAGCGTTGCTTGTAGATTTCAACGTCTCCCATTAGGATTTTTTGCTGCTTCAATTGCCCTTCCAGCTGCTTTACTCGATGCTTCAAATTATCGCGCTCTTCCACCTGCAATGGGGAAGTGTAAGAAGAACGATTTGTATCTATTTACACCTTACTTACGACGGTGCTGAAATTGGCGCCTTCGGAATCGTTGGTTATTTTTAGGAATTTTTGCTTCATAAGTTGCAGTTCTTTTTTGAGCTTGTGGTTTTCTTCTTCGATTTTTATTAGGTCCGTGCAATATCCGGAGAGGGTTTCCAGTTCTTTTTTGATGGTTTCGAACTCGGAACCGTCGAATTCGCCGGTGTCTTTAATTAGCTTAAGTAAGGAATTAAGCGTTGAATCAAACAATTATTAATAAGGATTTGTTTTGTTTGCTTACTTTCAGTTTATCGACGTTTTGCAAAAACAGCAGCTTTTCTAATATCGTCTGTTCGTTGTTGATGTCTCGAATAGCAATTTGTTGGTTTGATAAATTGTTGCTCTGTAATAAATTAATTAGTTGCATATTGGTATTGATCAGTTATAGTTTTACCTGTAATATATCTATTGGTACTTTCTCGTTTTTCTCTGAATCACTTAAGGCTAGTTTCTTGCGCATGATATTCGCTTTATTGGGAATTATGCTATCGTACAATGTGCAAATATCTACTTTAGGAGGTCCTGATGATTTAGATTGACCTGCTTGACCGGATTTACCTGCTTGACCGGATTTACCTTTCCCTTTTCCACCTTTACCTTCAGCGCAAAGTTTGTCGTCAGTTTTATCTTTAACGCATTCGCAAACTTTGGTGCTGTCTGAAAATAATCGTCAAAGTGCATATAAAGCTTCTAATCTATACTAGAATGAACCTCCTCCTTTGGCTGCACCTCCTCCTTTGGCTGCACCTCCTGATGTTCCAGCTTGGCCTGATTTAGCACCTCCCTTGGCGGCACCTTTGCCTCCAGCAGCATCTAGCTTTGGAGGTTCCTTTTCTTTACCACATTCACAAGTCGCTTTGCCACAACTGCATTTAACAGGTTCGCTACATGTAGGACAAGGACACAACAAACCATTATCTCCACAAGCACAACCACTAACCTAAATGCAGAAAATAATAAATACTGATAAGAGATTTCGAAGAAGATACTTGCAGTCTGTCGAAACGTAGCTCCTAATTGATGTTCCTGTAAAGTTACTTGTTAATAATTAGCAAGAAATGTTTGAGCTAAAGTTTACCAAACATTTGATTTTGGATAAATCGTCTTCGCTGAGATTGAGTTGTTGCACACACATCCACATCATTCTACAACACCTTCTGACTTCTTGCATGTGCTTGTTTCGCATGCACCCTAGAATGTCTTTCGCCAAATTACCCTCACACTGGAAAAGAGAAGTTAATCGAGGTGAAGAACGGTGAGCTGTAGACGAAGATGGATGGGAACTTACTTGAGTTACTTCACGGTTGACGGTATCGAGGATCTGCTTCCTTCTGTCCTCCACCCTTAGGTTCCAGGTTCTGATGTCTTCGGTGGATAGATAGGTCTTCAGTCTGCCCTCGGAGCGCCGCCTCAGCGGCGTCATGGCGGACTCGTCGAGGAAGGCCCGGAAGCTGACGTTGACGAAGGTCATATCGAGTAAATTTTGAATTTATTCAACGCGAAATTTTACACGACAGAATCGAACAAAAACATTATAATTTCACATTTCGTTTGGATTGGAAGCTATTTGAACATTTAACAGGTTAACGCGTATATTTGGACTGTTTGGCGACAGATGTGTGTCAGTTTTTGAAATAATTGAAGTTTTTTGATTTATGCTAACTTCGTTTAGCTTGATAATATCGCTTAAGACTGATCCTATGGTATAGGTAATGAAATTTTAGGCTATAGTTAAGTAAGAATGAAGAAGGACCATTTCTAGAAGAACATCAGAAAAACCTGATGCATTCGTACAATTTGAGATTTAAATTTCTTTAGTAAAACACATTTATTTATAAACGTTTATTTTTCATAATTATAAATTGAAAATACATCTGTTATACAGCATATCGGCAATACTACATTGATGCGATATCCCAAATAAGGAAAAAAGAATTTAAAATATAAAAATTAAGGATTTTTGGGCATTCAGGGAGAATAGAAATAATTGCAATGATTTTTGCGAAGGATCCTATAAGGAAAAGTTTTCACAATGAATTACTAAACAGTTTAACGATTATCACAGAGGAACAAGATAATCGTAATCGAAATTACAGAATTATCAATAAAAGGAACAATTAATTCTGCAATTGAATTATATTTAATTGAAATACGATATGTAGATATGTACTTCTTAGAAGACAATAGTGAATATCCAAAAACAAAAAAAAAGTTAACTAAGTTTTGTAAACAAGCGTCCTTCGAATGCCCAAAAAATAAATACTTTACAACATGAAAAATGCCCGACAAGATCCCTAATTAAATTCTAAAAGCGCCCCTCTTCATAATTAACGGCAATTCGGCATGTGCCGTATTTTATGCCTGATTTTATACTGCCTTGATATTTCTGCCATCAATGATTTGATTGCCAGTTCCGATTGTTTTAACAACTTATGAATGTGCTCGTTACCTGAAACAATAAATCAATCAGACGTAATTGAAACCGAATAAAGGGGGCGATAAAATCGGATAGGACGTGTTTTTATTTTTTATTTTTTTACCGTTGAATGAACCCATGGATTTTATGACTTGTTGCAACTGCTCGTTTTTCTCTCTGGCCACGTCCAATTGCGCTTTGACTTCTTCGAAAACGGTGCGATCCACGTTGAACGAGATTTTTTCGTTGATTGCGCTCTCTAATTCGTGTATTTCCTTCTTGGCTTTGTTCAGCTCGTCCTCTAATTGAGTGAGGATGGATTTGTAGCAATTCCTTTCGCAGGCGACGCCTTGCATGGTGGATTTTAGCTCGCTTTCTGCCTGCTGGATCTTCTCTTCGGATTTCGCGATTATCGAATCTTTCAGTTCCAGTTCCTGCCTGAGGCTGGATAGAATTTCGCGCATTCGAACCTACAGGTGATGTTTTTAGCGGGAATAATGCAGTTGTGGAGAAACTTACCTGCGACTCCTCTTTCAATTGGATTGTTTTGTCGAATTGATCCATAAATCTGGTCATTTCGGTTTCTTGGCTTTTGATTAGCTTCTGTAAGCAGTTGACTTGAGCTCTGAGAGTGGAGCATTCTTTTTTTAATAATTCGTTTTCGACGGCAGTTGGATTTTGAGCAACTGTTAAAAATGCTTGTGGCAATTTATTTAAATTTGGATGGGAAAATACGTACCTAATAGTTCCTCGTACATGGTTTTGTATTTATTTTCTTGGTTTAATTTATTCTCCAGCTGTTTGCATTTCAAGCCCAAATTTATCGATCGATTTTCTTTATCGATTTGAACGTGTTCCATGTCTCTAATATCGATTAGTAGTTTGTCCCTTTCCAATTTAACTAGCTCCATGTCTTTTAATCTGCCACACAGGAAGCTTCTTTCTTTCTCCGATAAATCTAAAAATTAATAATGTACCACGCCCTGAGAGGATTTTTAATGCTTAGTTATACTTAATTTGGTTATTAATATTTGTCGTTCAGTTAACAAATCTTGTATTTCGTTTTGCAAGCGTTTACATCTTCCTTCAATTTTTTGTACTTCCAGGTATTTATTCTCAGCGGTTAAGAAATTTACTTTATTCTCCAGTGCGAGGACTTGTTTGGATTTGTCTTCCAGCTGCCCTTTCAAAGAATTGGTGTGTGTATTAGGCATTGGTAAATCGCGTAAATTGTTTAAATTGATAAAATTTGGCTGTGGCATGCGATCACTAATATCATCATCAGAGTTCTGAGTTTTTAGTTGCTTTTCCAGAATTTGTATTTTTTCTTTCAAAAAGTCGCGTTCTTTCGTTACCTGCAAAAATCGAATTTACAAATTATAGTTATTTACTTCCTTGTAAATATTTACTTTGTCCAATTCTTCATTTTTATCATTTTTCAACATATCGGATAGATTCTTTTTTAGTATTTTTTGGTTGATTTTTAATTGTTGGTTTTGTTCATCAACTTCGCCCAATTTCACGCAATAGTGTTTAAGAGATTTTAGTTCCAATTTGATTTTTTGCTCTATCTCCTTCTGCGCCACAGGTGTTATGTCATGATTGCTAGCCTATGAAAAATCCCAGTTAAAGATTTCACCTAACAACAGATTCATGTACTTACTCTCAGCAATTCTAAATCGCTAATGCAATCCTGAATTTTATCAGTGAGAATGTTCCTCGAGTGTTGCAGCGAAGATATTTTACGTTGGTGTCTCCTACACATTTCTCTGCATTTCTGAGAGATTTCCAAATTAATTTCGATTGCGTTTGTTAATTTAATACGTACTTCTAAGGCATCCATCAATGTTTTAATTGATTGTTCCTGCTTCTTGTTGAAATCTAACCCCATGGTGGAAAATAAGCTGGCTTTCGTTGGAATCGTTCGCGTAAAAATCGACATTACTGTACAATCTTTACTATCATCAGAAATCCTGCATTGGCAATCATTATTATCGTCGTTAACCACTGCTGAAGAATCTGCATTATCGTTTTTAACGCCTTCGACGTCTTCAACGTCTTCATTGTCTTCAACGTCTTCATTGTCTTCAACGTCTTCAACGTCTTCATTGTCTTTAACGTCTTCAACGTCCTCAACGACATCTTTGCCGCTCATGCAAAGCTTATCTTCTGGTTGATTTGTAGAACAAGTACATATACCTGCAACATTAATGAGTTATAATTTGAAAATTCAAGTTAATTATTACAATTTCTTTACCTGTGGGAAATACAGGGATTTTTTCGATCAAATAAGCTTTCGGTTGTTTTTGTATAGAGACGATTGATGTACAGCCGAAAAAGTTTTCTTCGGTGTCACTATCGTCTCCGTTTTGATCGATTTCCGTGAAAGAAGCAGCCTTTTCATTAGCTTGATCAGCGGAATTGACTTTTGCGATTATCTCACCGGAACTCGCGTTTTCACTCGCAGTTTTGGAGTGTACTGAAGCTTCTGATATACGCAACGATGATCGTGCTGGTTCTTCGAACCGTTTTTCACAATCACAATCGATCAATAATCCACAAGGGCATCTAACATTACTGATTTCTTCGGAATTCACTTTTGCGATTATCTCACCGGAACTCGCGTTTTCACTCGCAGTTTTGGAGTGTACTGAAGCTTCTGATATACGCAACGATGATCGTGCTGGTTCTTCGAACCGTTTTTCACAATCACAATCGATCAATAATCCACAAGGGCATCTAACATTACTGATTTCTTCGGAATTCACTTTTGCGATTATCTCACCGGAACTCGCGTTTTCACTCGCAGTTTTGGAGTGTACTGAAGCTTCTGATATACGCAACGATGATCGTGCTGGTTCTTCTAATCGTTTTTCACAATCACAATCGATCAATAATCCACAAGGGCATCTAACATTACTGATTTCTTCATTCACACTGACTCGGCTAGTTTTACTGTTGTTTCTGGAATTACTGACTCGGCTAGTTACACTGTTGTTTTTGGAATTACTGACTCGGCTGCTTAAACTATTGTTTCTCGAATTTTTTTCCTCGTCTATCGACGGCAATTTTTTCGAGTTACTTTCGGAAAGTCGCGTCGTTGATTCGCCTTGCACATCAGGAGGTTCCTCGTACACGGTGCATTTGAATCCTTTTTCGCAAGGGCAGACATATCCTCTCGTCTCTGCATTAGATTTACCATCAGTTATCGATTCTCGTTTAGATGCAGATTTAGCAGACATTTGACTCATCGATTTCACCGCGTCGCTCATCATTTGCGACAACGATTTTTTTGTAGCATTGGACACATCCGGTGCAGATTTCTCCGGGTCAATATCGTTGGATATTTGCGAAGAAGATTTCAACTTTTCTTGTGATAATTGCGTTGGTTTACTTCGATCTCTTAAGCATCGGGATATTTTTTGAGTCGGCGATTTTAATGTACTTGAGGTACTTGGCGATTTCACTGTACTTGAGGAACTTGGCGATTCGCCGGAACTTGAGAACGAGGCCGATTTTTGTTGGGATATCTGCGATCCGATGCGTTGGGATATCTGCGTCGATGATCTTTCTTTATCTGTACTTTCCGTAATTCCGCAGACACATTCGAAGCCCATGTCGCAACAACACTTCTCAGCATCTTGGAAGCTCAGAATGCTGCTACCCTTGCGACCGCTTAGCTTGCTGGTCTCTGGATGAATATCCAATTTGCTACTTTCTTGGAGATCGCTTATTTTACTGGTCCCTTCAAGGTTGGTTGTTTTACTACCTTGTTCTTGGATTCTTAAAGATGATCTAAGTTTTTCTTGGGATGCTTGGCTTGATGATTTCATTGCACTTCTGTTGCTTCCTGATGGTGATGCCATTTTTTCTTGGGACGCTTGACTCGCTGATTTCATTGCACTTCCTGATGGTGATAACTGCGTTGATGATCGTTCTTTATCGGTTTTCCTATCGTTGCCGCAAGTGCATCCGAACCCGAAGCCGCATCGACATGCTTCCGCATCGTGGAAGCTCAAATTGCTGTTACCTCGGCGACTGCTCGTCCTGCTGCTCTCTGGACGAACGCTCACCTTGCTCCTTTCTGAGGCACTGCTCGTTTTGCTGCCCCGTTGCCGATTGCTCAATTTGCTGCCTTCGCCTTGGTCGCTCAAATTGCTGCTGCCCGAAAACCGATTGCTGGAAGATACCTTCACGGCGTCGTCAGCTTCTTTTTTAATGCAAGAATAGGGGGAGGGTGCTTTCTTGCAAATGCACGGGCTTTCTTCGTAACACTTGCATTCTGGTTCTCTTGAGAGTCGGTTGGAATGCACGGAAGAATGCACGGAAGAATGCACGGAAGGATCTTCCTGTTTGACGGAAGGATCTTCCTGTTTGACGGAAGGATCTTCCTGATTATATGTTTGAACACATATAAGTTTATTTGGTTATAATGAATGAGTGAATATTACCATTGCATCGGCCATTTCTTCTTCCGTTTCTGCTTCTTCTTCTTCGCCGCCGCCTTCTTCGTCATCTTCTTCTTCTTCTTGTTCCTCTTCTCCATCTTTTAGACCACACACGCACTCGTCTTGAATGCAATCACATTGAATTTCATTGCATTCTGAGCACACACATCGCAGGCCTATATCAGAACATTGACAACCACAGAGCTACGAAATAGAAAGAAGTAGTAAAAATAAATTGGCCTTTTACGCGGTACTAATGTAACTTACTATTTGCTTGAAAATCGAGCCCAATTGAAATTTCTGCAAATGTACGAATGTATAAAACGTGGATTATTTTGTATGTAATAAGTTTACATACCAAGCATTCCAGTCTGGATTTATCGTCCTCAGAAAGATCGAGTTCTGTTAGAAACAACCACAAGAGTCTGCAACACTTTTTCACTTCGTTCAAATACTTAATTTGCATGAATGGAAGGACAACTTTGAGCAAATCGCTGTCGCCCTGAAATAATTAGTAAAGCGCCGATTTCTGGTGAATGTGGTGGATGAACTTACGAAGCAATAATCCCGCGTTACCAGGTCGAGTATTTGCATTCTCTGATCCTGGGTCCTCAGGCACCACGTTCGAACATCTTCTGTAGATAAGTAGTCTTTGAGCCTACCCTCCGAGCGGCGCTTGAGCGGAGTGATGCAGGACGCGTCCAGAAACGAGCGCAAGTTGTGATTTATGAAGGTCATCGATGAAAAAAATATTGCACGGCTCTAAACCTAAATGGAAGTCTCGCATGAAAACTTACTATTCTCCTCCAATTATGATATGATTACTGAATACTTCGAATTTTAAACGCTGATGATTTTGCTCCGTGATTACCCGTCAAATAAATTTTTTGATATCAACTTTGACAAGAACTTTGCGAATGCGTGAAAGTGTTTTGGGAAATTTTTCGTTCGTATGGAATAAAAATGACGTATTTAAGCAACAAGGTCCGCGCGTTTTTGGAGAGCGCTGACGATCAGCCGGCTGTAACCAGTACCCGATCGGAGGGTAGAATGAAGAGTTATACTTCTACTAACGATTTGCGAGCTTGGAGTCAGGCGTCGGAAGATAGAAGGCAGCACATTCTCGAATACGAAGCCAAATGTAAAGTATGTATGTTCGTTTGCAATTCCTATCGAAGCGTAAGTGTCTGTGTTTTTAGCCGGATCGTAAGAACCCGTCAGTTTTCCAAACAGAAGCGTTATTGAAATTACTGGAAGACAACAAAAAGAATGAGCTCGATAAAATCAATAAAAAACTGCAATATCTTGAAGGTATAATACAAGCATTCGAAACCTGCCTGACTGATGAACAAAAGGAGAAAATTAAGCAACAAGTAAAATTAACATTTGTACCAACATTTGTATCAATTTTAAATTCATGTTGTTTCAGAAAAATGCGCTTGCCCTTAATTACGGTATAATTTCGGAAAATATCCTTCATAACAAAGTCTTGAAAGATGTTGGTATTGGCAAACAAAGCATAACTGATATTGAACATCAACAAAATGATAAAATACCTTTTTCATTTGCCGAAAAGTTGCTAGAATTGAACTCCATCATTAAAGAAAGATTTGCAACACAATCCATCCAGAAGAACAACGAATTAACGGAAAATTTAAGTCGTACAGACCAATCGACTACCGAGAAAAATGTAATTTCCCATCAAAACACCGCGCGGAAATCTCTCGATGAACTGTTTGACAAATCCTCAAAGTTACAAGAATCAGAAAGCGAAATACTGGAGTCTAAGTTACCTCAATTAACAATAACCACCGAACAGTCCCGTTCTGCCCAAGATGTACACCAGATCTACCAAAAATCTAACGTTGAAGTGACCTTCAAGAAAACACCAACAACAAACTCCGCCGAGAAGAAAACCCAGCCTCATCGTTTCTTGCTCGAACAAGAAACATCCCCTCGAGATGACTCCGTTAGAAACGACCTCATACACAGTACAAAAAATAACATTACCATATCGCTCATCAGGAACGTTAAGTACTCGTCAGACGTGTCACTGCGCAGGAATGAGGATTTTATCGAAACGAGCCACGACAATTCCATTATTCCCTGTTTCTGCCACGTGACGACCTGCTTCAGGTGCAGCAGAGCAGTCCAATCCACCTCAGAAAAGTCCATCTCGATTATGTGCCAGTACATGGACAACAGGGGATATGGTGCATACTTCAACTGAAGTCCTTGCTAGTGTAATGCTTAAATATCCACATTAAAATTTAACATAAACCGAAATGGTTGTTTTTATAATATCTTTAATGGATTGTTTGCTTTCAAAGGACCTGCTACATTGATCAATCCTCGTTGATTGTATTCAAAAATTATTTATGTAGTAACCAGACCTGGTTATCGTTGTTCTGTTATTGTCAAAATGTCCAGGTTTTCTGACAATTATGCGAACGTCTTTCATAAAATTTTGTCAAATTAAACTCGACGTAATCCCAAGAAAAATTGCATTTTCGTAGGCAAAATCATTTCGAGCAAATCCCAAAAATGTCTTTCGTTGGTAGGAGAGTGAGGGCGAACAATGAGAAGCAACCTAGCAGGAATAGATCGGAGGGTCGGATGAAAAACTACGAATCCTCCACCGATTCGAGGGCTTGGTCGAGCATCGGGCAAGAGAGGGCGCAGCATTTAGTGGAATACCTGGGAGGCGATAATGTAAGAGTTTTAAAATTTATATATTAACATAATAATGTTAAATTTTTCACAGGACCAACAATCCGTTCACAACCTTCCGAAATATTGCCTGACGAACGCCCTCGTGCCATCCAAGAACGATCCATACAACTATTTGAAGAAGAAAACCGAGTATATGGAGAAACTAATTCAAATTTATTCCCAATTAGATCTGACATCGGAGCAAGCACAACAAATTGCTAAATTAGTGAGACATCCCAAAAAAAAACCTTTCAATTTTAATTTCAATAAACTTTTAGATGGACAGTCTTCAAGAAAGCCATACAGCACTCATCAAAGACTTAAAAGACTACGCATCTCAAACAGGTAATTACACCACAAACATATTCCCCGCAATTCTACCTAAAAATGTTACAGAGGAGGATCAGAAGGAAATGCTCAAAATTTTCGAAGCTGAATGGCTGCACGCCAAAGCACAATTAGACAATTCATTATCAACCAGTTCGTCTCTAGTTAGCGCAGAAATCCCCCTTTCCCTTGATCTCTTCAAAGAACTCGTCGAAAATATCATCAAGAAACCAACCATAAGCGGGGTCGTAACCTTACCGAAAACCACAACCCAACACAGCATTCCGGCCGGTTATTTCGCCGGCGGTGAGCATTCTCTAAGCATGCTTAGAGCTTCCCAAGAATTGGGCATGCAAAACAGACCTGTAGCAATACAAAGCGACACTTGCCTCACCGTTTCCGAGCAAAATTTAATACTTAACATGCCTTTTAAATACGTAGTTAGGAAACATTTAGTTAGTAAACCGAACAAACCGACGGTTGTTAAACAACCACCAGTTACTAAGTCGGTGAAAGATTCTGCTGTACAACCATCACGAACTTCCATTCCTGCGGATCGTAGCTCGAAAAAACACATCGCAATGCAGATTGAACCGTTCGAACTAACCAGCACTTGCGATAGTACACAGCAAACTGTCGAAGAAAATGAAGAATCGAACCCACCTTTGACTGAAGTTTTTATTAGAAGTGAATCGAAACCGTTCGACACCAAAACAGCAGATTTCGAGGTGCAAGTATCTCCTGTTGAATCCGCAATCAATCAAAATTACGATAAAGGAGTTAACACTAGCAACTTCTTCATTGTGGAAAAAAAACCGTGTGTTACCGATTTAACGAATATGGATCATCAATTATCAGTCGCAAAAACTGTAGATACCACAACAAGCTATGATATTAAAGAAGAAAGTAACAACGACAAAGGAGATAATACAGATAATATTGAAAGCGTACAAAACACTGCAATTTTCAAACCAGTAGAAACAGAAATTGTTCAACCTGCGTTGGAAGAACTAGAGGTCAATCAGCAGAAAACATTAACTCATTCCGAAGTGCAATCATCGAACGTTTTAGACGCAACATCCGCGAGCCAAACGGAGCGCCAGACCTTCCAATTGACTCAAACCGACGATCGCGAAACCAGGCACGAGTGCTCGCAAACCGAAGAATCCGAATCGGCCCGAGGCAACGAAGAGTCCGCTTACAAAATCCCGGCGGCGTCGCGATCTCTCAGCTGCCACTGCTTCGGCACCAACAGATCGTTGATTCTGCTCACGCCCAGCGCCAATTACATCAGGTACATCCCGAACAAGAACCAAGAGGACCAGTTGTTCCTGTTCAGCCACAAGGCGAACTCGAACAACGAGTTTTTCGAGAGGAAGCTCCTGCAAGGCATCAAGGTCAACAGGATTTGTAGAAAAACCGAGGAGAGTCCGGACTCGTCGAACGTCGAGGGAGATATCGAGTCTATTGTGTTTGAGAACGATGATGATTCTGATACGTTGGTGACCCATAAGAATGTAGAATTGATCGCTTTTAAGAATGCTTTAGTGGTAAGTATATCATTTTGTAGCCTACTGTTTCAATTTTGTAAACTATCCACTTCGGAATATTTCTTGCTAACATCCGGTATAAAAATCAACAACGCGCAAAATTGATTCAAACTGTAAATTTCGATAACTGTCAAATAAGCAAAACTTTTATAATATGTCTACAAATTTGGTGGCCGTTATTGTAATTATTACCGCATTTCCAATTCACTTTCAACGTTTTTGGCTTTTCAGGCGACGGAATCGTACAGCAAAGAGCAGAAGAAGCACGCTACTATAGCGCTGGAGAAACTGGAGAACATCAAAATCGTTGCGACCGAATGCGACGACTTGAGGAGAAAACTAGAACAATCCCAAAAGGAGCTGAAGGACCTCAAGGTACTTGAAAGAATACTAAACATATATTTACTAAAATACTCCTCCGATAGGAACAATCCAAATCATCTGCGAAGAAGACCAGCGAAGCGATCGAACCGGATTTGGAGGCCCTCAGTCCCGGCGGTTTAACTCAAAAAGCGATGGCGAATATTGTCACCAGAGAAATGTACGTCAAGAAAAAAATATCTGATCAACTGGCCGCCGCGCACAAGGAAAACTGGCAGCTTAAAGAGCGGCTATCGAATTTGGAAGATGCCTTTAGCAAATTAGGAATTTCCGACTGCAGTCAGGCCGGCATCGACGAATTGAATAAACAAATGCAAACCCTGAAGGAAACCACCAAAGAACGGGACAATCTGAAGAGCAAATTAGACACGCTGGAGGTCGAATTGAAGTCCTACGCTTACATACTCGAAGACGTGGACGTCTTGAAGCAAAGGTCACTTCTCTTGGACGACGTCCTGCGAGACCGCGACCGTTTGAGCAAACGCGTAGAAGAACTCAGAGACCTGAACCAAGAGATAATCACCCTGAGAAAAAAAGCCTTGCGAATAGATCAACTGGAAGACGACCTGCGCAAAGTGGTCAGAGACAAACGCATAGCCGAAGAAGAAATCGAACGATTACGCGGCAAATGCTCCCTAGCCGAAATCGAATCGTTCACTCACAAAGCCGAAGGCGAGGAGTTGCGCTCGAAGGTCAATTGCATGGAGCACGAAATCGAAACGCTCAAATGCGTGTCGATGGAGAGGCAAAGGCTGCTCGAGGAGCGGAACCACTTGAAGAAGAGCCTCGACGACTTGGCCCGCATGCAGGACGAGTACGAGCACATGAAGAAGCAGATGAAGTGCTTGGAAATGCTGAAGGCCGAACGGGACATGTTCAAATCGAAGTACGAGAACCTGATCGGGCTCGAGTGCGAGTGCGACATTCTTCGCACGCAAATCGAAAAGGCGAAGCTGATCGAAAAGGAACGGGAAACGTTGGAGGCGCAAGTGGACGACTTGCATGCCTGCATCACCGAGCAGGAGGCGGAGATTCGACGATTGGTTTGCCACGTGGATAATTTAGCTAGAGGTCGCGATGAACAACAAGTAAACGCGTATTAATCTATCTTTAATTTTTTTTTAATTGTGCTATTTACGATTGCAGGAGAAACTGCAAGAGGTGATAATGAGCATGCGGCTTCAGCTGGAACAAAAGGACGTTTTGATAGCGAGCGCTGAAGAAAAATTGGCGATGGCTCAAAAGGAATTGGGCAATTCGATCAACGGATTGAGTTCGGAGACGATTAATTTGAAACTATACAACGAGAATTTAACGAAGCTCGCAGATAAGAACGAAGCGGAAATAAACGAATTGAAACGTATCGTTTATTTGCTGAGGAGCGACAACGAAAACCTCAACCAGCAACTAACCGAAGTAATGAGAGACAACGACTTCCTAACAACGAACTTGAACGAAAAAGAAAACTCGCTGAACACGTTGAAGGACGTTCTTCACGATCACGAATACATACTAGACGAATTCCAGAAGCTACAAGTGCAATGCAAAGAAAACCTCAGAGATATAGAAACCGAAACCGACGAATTCAATCTCGTGGCGCTAAGACAACCGAGCATAAGCATCCAAGAAAGACTGATCAGAGTGAGCAAAATAGCCGGAGACACTCATTTCCAGGAGTTGCTGCTGCAATCCAAGCAGGCCATCCAGAAGATAGCCAACGAACTGGACAAGCAGTACAACGAATGGGACGCCTTCAAAACGAAACAGACCGCCGGCGGGAAACCTCTCGCCAAGAAACCGTCCCCGTCCAACAAAGACATGTACGTCGGCTTCTGTTTCACGGAAGGCGGCGCCGCCAACAAGACCGTGAAGAGGCGATGCATTCGCGCCATAAGAAAACGAAAAATCCTGAAGAAATCATCCAACGCGGAACTTCGAGAAACCAAAAAGCACCAATCGCAAACCCAGTCGAAAGAAACGTTAATCGGCGACTTGGACATTTGCACTCAGACCGACTTCGAGATCCCCTGTCTCGTTTCGCAGATGATCCAAACCAGCGACGACGCCAGCACTTTCACCGAACAGGACGTGTTCGAGCTCTGCTTGTCCGGCTCGCCGGCGACGAGTCCCAGGGACGAGGACGTGTACGAGTCCGCCAGGTCCACCGACTGCGCTCGGTGCAAATACCTGAACGAGCAGGTGGTGATCATCGAGACGGAGCTGCTCAAAACCAACGACGTTGTGCTGGAATTGCAGCGGAAACTGAGCGATGCGAAGGAAGAAAACGCGTCGTTGAACAACCAGCTATCCGATGCTGAGAATAATAATAACCAACGCGTTACTGAGCTGCTCGAGTACATCAAAAAATCCGATGGAAAGTGCACGGAACTGCAGGAGCAGATCATCGAACTCAAGCAGAACAATTGCAACTTACTCATTAAGGGCGAGTTGCTTGCCAACGAAATTAACGATTTGCGACATCAGAATGATAAATTGAAGAAGGTTTTATCGAACAATATAATCAAACAAACGCAGAGATGCACCGAGTTGGAAGGTAAATTGGATTCGTTAATGAAAATGAATGGAGAACTAAAGGAAGAAAACGACAGGCTGAAGTCGCTTGAAATCGTTAACGATAAATTAGCGGCGAGAATTGACGAAAACAGAAAATTGCAGGAAGAATTGCGCCGACTCAAAAAAGATGGTGTCGATCCGATTTTATTAACCACTCTCCAAGAAAAGAACGCAATTTTGACTCAAACAATCGAATCTCAAGCGGACGAAATCGCTAAATTAATGGATGTATTAAACGTAAGATCCTCACCGAAGGAAGAACCACTAGAATACCAAGAGGAACAAAACTCTCTGAGATTCCTCAGCGAAGACATTGAAAACCAACTCAAACAACTAGACAGTTTAACTAGCATCAATACAAGTAACGAAAACGTGCAGAACACAATCAACATTTTAGCCAGACGGTTGGAGAAAGAGGAAATTAGAGCAGACACTTCCGAAAATTCTCTAAGGCACTTGAAAGCAACGGACCCTTCGGCCATGTTAAACGCGGAAATAGCCAAGCTCAATCTAAAAATCCACTTGATTGAAGACGAAAATTCGAAGCTCAACGAAATAAACCAACACAAAACCATCGAGATAGAAAAAATGTCCGACGACATCATGAAGCTGCAATCGGAAAACGAAGCTTTCAAAAACGATAACAAAGATATGGAGAACAAAGTTAACGAGCTAAGGAAAATAAAAGACGATACTTCGATATTATTGGAAGAGTTTGATTCCGTTAAAAACGAAAACCAACAATTAAGCCGCGATTTAACCAAATTAAAGGAAACCTTTGATTCGTCGGCGAATTACTCAGAACTGGAAAGCGAGCTTAGCAAATATAAAGCAAAATGCGTCGAATTGGAGGCTACAAACATCAAATTGAAGAAAGAATTAGAAAATGCTATCGCATCTATTCAAGACACTGAAGATAGATTGATTCAAAACGATGGAGTTGTTAATAACGATCAGTACACCACCAACACAGGTGAAGGTGATAATAACCTACAAAATCTTCTAGAAAAACTGAAAATTAAAAACTATGAACTATCCAAAGAATTAATTGCTTCCCAAGAAAAAATACACGAATTCAACATCGTCATTGTCGAACACAAAAATCAAATAACATCGTTGGAATCGAAAATCTACATCTTAGAAACCGAAAACGGCAAATTGGGCAAAGATCTCAAAGTAATATTCGACAAAGCCTCCGAATTCGAATCGTTCAACGCCAGCTTGAATCAACAGTTGCGCCTTCTGCAAGAAACCAACGAGAGCCTGAAGAGCGCCGTATCCCCGTTGGAACTGGAACGCGACAAATCCGCAGTCACCATCAACGAATTGCTGAAAAAAACCGAAATATTAGAGGAGAAAAACGACGAATACAAAAGGAACGTTGAAGCTGTAAATCAACTCAAACAAGAACTTTCCGCGCTTCAAAAAACCCTCAATCAATTGGAAGCAGAGAACGTCAAATTGAAGTCTAAATGCGACGCCAAAATGGAGTATTCATCAGATTACAAAATGGTATCAACAACGGGACACCAATGCAAAAAGTTAACGAACGATTTGGAAACCGCGCAAGCCAAAGACTTAAGCAACCAAGACCTCGATTTCAAAGAGCAAATCGAAATGCTCGAAAACGAAAAAGACGAGCTGCGCAAAGACTTCGAAAAGACCCTGCAATACGCCGAAAAACGAAACAACAGAGTCGAAAAGTTGAAGGAAGAGAACGGGAAAATGAAGCAGACGATCAAGCAGCTGGAATGCGAGATCAACCGCTTGAAGAGCGAGCATCGCGTTTCGCTGGAAGACGCCATTTCCACGTTGCAATCGGCGCCGGACGCGAAACCGCAGGAAATATCCGATCTCGAGGGCATCGTTCGCAAGTTGAAGCAGGATTGCGAGGCGGCTTACGGCGAATTGAAAAGCAGCGAGGAGATTACGACGAAGCTTCGCGTGGATAACGCCAATCAGAAGAAGCAAATATCCGAGCTCGAATACGAAATTTCCAAGCTGACGAACGTAGCTAGGGAAATGAAAAAGGTGCAAAACAACCAAGAGGGACACTTTAAGATCATAATAGAACTCCAGAAAGACAACTCCGCTCTAACGAACACTCTGAACGACGAAAAAAACGAAAACAAACTGTTAAAAGATAAAATTCATCTATTGCAAAACGAAATAGATAGGTTAAACAACGATATTACAGCGCTAATCGAAGACAAAATTTCCCTAGAGGACGATCTACAGAGATTTAAAGATAGCGATTGCAATTTAAAAATCCTAATGCAGGAAATGGAATCGTTGAAACAACGAACCCGTCAAACGCACGAATCTGAATTAATACTAGAAAATAATTCCAAGCTAAACAAGAAACTCGAAGATATGGAAAACGAAAACAACAACCTCAAGGTAACCCTCCAACAATACATCGAAGACATCAACAACACTACAACCGAAAATAAAAAACTCAAACAAGAGATTGCGACGTTGAAGGCGAGGATAGAGGATTTGGAGAAAATCGACATCCAGAAATCTGCAGATGGGAATAAAATCGCTGAATCGTCTGAGAAACTCCAAGCGGAATTGCAGGAAGTCCTCAAGGATCGCGAACGGCTGAAGAACGTGCTAATGGAGCAGAAACGAAGGAGCAAAGATATCAAGCTCAAAGTGGACCAAGTGGAGTCGCTGATTAAAAACGAACGGATGAAATGCAAGGAGGAGCAAATGCGAAACAAAGAACTGGAAAATACTATTAACGAATTAAACGAGAAACAAAAATTACTCATCGAGCAATTGGAAAGTAACAATAAGGTGAGTCGAGAGGAGTGTAGGTAAATTTTGATTCATTTATTCTTTATTAGGAGAAAACTGAAGATGAAATTTCGATTGCGACGATCTCAGAGAAGGAAATGCAATTCTTCGGTAAGCCTTTAAGTGGTGCAAAACCTGCCTTTAATCTCATATCCAAGAAACTTGCTAGAGAAGGTTTAAATGTAAGTAGTTAAAACTAAATTGCAAATATATGCTAATTTTTTTATTTGCAGAAATTGAACATAGACGAGCTACAAGTATTGAATAATACGCTAGCCGAAGTCACTGCAGACCGTTTGGTAAGCATAGCACAAGAATTTGGAGTTTTAAAACCAGACGAAAACAACAAACTTTCCCTTCTGAAGAAAGTTGCCAATTTAGAAGGTGAATTGGCCGAAAAACAGGAAGAATCCCAGCAATCTAGTATGTATACCATACCATTTTGTTAACCATTTTAAATTGCATTATTTTTTGTAAGTTGTCGCTATGCAACACGCCATAAAACTGGAGAAACACCGCATCTTAGAGCTACAAAACAAACTGGAGGAAGAGCGCAAAGAAAACAAGAAGCTTTTGAGCAAAGTGTGTCCACAATCCCAACTCGTTCGCAATAATTCCTCCGATCAATCTAACGTGTCGATGAGAAGTCTCAACGAAAGAGACTTTAAAAGGTGTAAAAAAAACCATTAAAATATTGTTCAGTAAGATAATAATCGTAACACTTTTAGGGTTCAAAATGAACAAAAATTGAAGCTTTCCAGTAACGATAGCAGAAGCAAAGTAAAATCTACCAAACCGCTAATGGTTAGATTGATTTGTTTACAAATTCTGTGCACTGTAAAAAATATTTTTACAGACCGTCAAAGCGAGAACTAAGAATAGCGATGTGGAATTTCAAAAATACAGATGCCACTCGCCGAGTAGTACCCCCGTAAAAGACACCAGCGGTCCCTCGTTGTCTACAAAAGGGTCTAATTATTATTGTAAGCTCCATTATTTGATCAATCAATTTGTTTCGATTAATTTGTTACAGGATGATTCTGCGTTGTATTGATCTACATCCGCATTGTCTCTTACCAAATAGTTTACTAGATGGATGACTGCGGCGATTTTAAGACATTGTGTTTGTTATAATATTACTTGTGTTCGGTAGACACTAATAAAAAAATGCATTCAGAATATAATCAACTGGTTTTAATTCGAGATAAACTGGTTGTCTATACGTAAGGATGGAGTGAAAAATTTCCAGCATTGCGAGCGAATGCATTGTATTCACACAGATTTTATTTAATCCGTGGAAAAATATTTTCTCACGACGAAAGATAAGTTTTCCCAGCGTAGGTAATTACAAAATAGGCCAGCCAATCTTTGGGAACGTACCCCATTGTGGATCGCTAACAGTACCTTAATTTGGCTACAAAAGGGTCATCATGAGAAAATAGAGTTGAATGAGTACCGCATACAATGTTTGGTAAGATCATCGAAGGGTTTCGGTTCTCATGGGATATTCCCAGAGCCGATCGAAATCTGAAAACAGGTAGGTACTTTTTTTATAATAAAGGTTTGCCGGTCGATGGGAAAATTTCAACCGCATTTCGGAATTTGCAGAGGAAACTTCTAATTACCCCGCGAAATTGGGATATTGTCTAACAAAAAGCTCCCACTTGTAAGTGGAAAAGAATAATTATTGCAAGATGCGACAAACAATGCATTTATAAACAATACTCCTACATGAGTGTGATGGCGGCAAAACTATTAGTAACATCTGCAGGCCCATTTGGTTGTGTAAAAAGAACAATGATTTCCGGAGCGGCAGATGGCCGAGCACGTGCCATTCGGAGGGTAAGAAATAATCGACAAATGTTGTAGATGCACTTGTACATCCTGCGGATTATCCGCCGAAATATTATGTTCCACGCAATGTCATTCAATCAGCCATCCGAGGAATTGACACCGATAGAAAACGAAATTGTAACAGCAGTAGATATATTAATAAAAAATGAATTTACTGGCTCTTTCAACCTATCAATTCTTCGACGTTAATTAGCTACCGAGTAATTAATTTACGAGTGATTAATCAAACAGAAGCTCGCCTTCGTGTAAGGAATTATATAAATTATTCCGAAGCGAGAATGTCTAAGAAGTTTGACAGCAAACGCACGAGAATGTTCGAGCTTTCTACCTTTGAAGGCGAAAGAACTATTACCGATTCGGTAAATAAAAAATGCACATTTACCTGCGCCTTTTGTGCGCCGCAGTTTGCACAATGCAATGAGATTTCAAAGCCGAGGAGAATGCCAAAAATTTTATTGTGCGAATTTCTCAGAAACGAAAAACAACCAGGATGTGACGACTTATGCGCTTGTCTTATTCCGAGATCGAGAAAAGTCGGTCGTCTTTAAACTCAAAGTTGGAATTCTACCTCTAGTTTTCTTTTGTAATCACCGTACAATAAATAATTTATTAACTTTACAAGCCTCAAGTATTTAATTGCATCAACGAAAATTTGCCTATAATCTCGTTGGAATCGATTGTGGACTCGAAGAGTAACTAGATATTATACCCGAAGATAATCTCCGAACTTATGAATGAGTATTATATCGTAGCAGAACCGTTTTGAACCTTGAGATGGTTCACACAACTGATGAAAAGAGGGGAGCTGGATGAGAATCGGAGCGCCAATTGCACCATAACACCTATCGCTAAAAATCATAACGTTAACAACGCTAATCATCACCAAAAATATTTAATGGTTTATTATTAATTTAATGAAAGATAAGTAGTTGAAGAAATTATACAGGGTGTCCCAATGAAAAGTAGCCCCTTTAGTGAGCTAATAATTTTAAACAATCATAATCATAAAAACATGCAGTTTTCGCAGATATATTTTATTTTGCTAAAACTTCTTGTTACAGTTACACAAAAATTTTGTATCGCCTCTACAGGGTGTATCATAAAAATCCCCTCTTTTAAATTCACATTAACCAAATTTTATGAAGTAGAACATCTTTTGTAGAATAACATGTACGAATAACACATTTTTGAAAAGTAGAAGTGCATATCTTTCAAAATACCTCTATATATACGGGGTGTTCCATTTAAAAAAATTTGACTAATGTGAATTTAAAAGAGAAGATTTTAATAAAACACCTTGTAACAAAACTTATAATAAAATAAAGCATATTTGAGAAAACCGCATGTTTTTATGACTAGGCGTTTAAAAATTACAAGCTCATTAAATGTGCTACTTTTCATTGGGACACCCTGTACTTATAATCGCTTAGTAGTCTACAAAAATTGCTTGTCACAAATTTTACGAGTTGGATATGAGTCGAGGTAGTAGAAATTATGGTGCAAACGGCAATAAAAGACCACAACAACCGATCTAATAGGTAGCTGACTGCCGTTTGGAAGGAAGAGGGCTTCGCCTGCGGCACCGGCCTCCTCCCAGGTATACACGCAGCCAGACTACACGCTAAAGGCCGGCAGTCGTCGAGTTGAGTTCTTCGTCGGTTGTATATCGCATTCAGTGGTCCTCCGAGTCGCGTTTTTACGTTTTTTTTCCACCATCGAAAATCGAATTTCTCGTGCTCCGGTAGATTTATTTTGAATTGCTGTGCGCCCGTTTCCGTTGCATTCAAGGATTACATTTTTGCTCGTTTTATAATCGAAGGTAAGTAACTAGTTTTATTGATAAAACTATTTTCTTCCTATGGAGACATCTACAAACTCTAACTAAATTCATGAAACCGTTAAAGCTATCCATTTTTTTTATATTAGCATAATAAAATAATCCCCTGGGGCTCGAGGATTCGGTAGCAGCCGAAATCGCGAATTAACAGCCCCAAATTCGATTAATATTAGAGAAACTCGCCTCTGACTGGAAGCGTTCAAGTTAATTACGATCGAATAGAGAAATTTAAATATAAGACAACACGCGAAATCGCTAAAAACCGAATAGGTATAATGCTTGGCAATTATTCCCGCAAAAACGAGTTCTGTTTAGCGATTTAAGATTTTAGGATAATTACATATTTTTCAGAGCAACATTCAGGATATGCAAATTTCTCCGTGTGCGTGCTTTTAACAGCAATTGCAGATATCTTTTCATATTCAAGCGTATCATCACAAAGCTAAATCACACTGTATACCGCGGTAAAACTAGCTCGATTGTTGGCTAATTCACCCTGAAGGTTATTTATAAAACATCTAAAAGCATCCACTATATACCTACCAGACGAACGGAGTTTGTAACAATTATCTGAAAATCAGTTTTGTGACGGAGGAGCAGAAACAAGGCAGGAATTCTCAGATGCTATGCCCTCGTCTTCAATTAATTATCGTCGTTCGCCGTAAATGCACAAGAAAGGTATTTAACAAACCAGTTTCGTTCCAGTAAAGATCTTGAGAATCTGATTTTATTAGAACCGAAGACACGGGCGTGCATTTTGACTAAATCCACCTACAGGTCCATCTATGCAAAAGAAATTGCTAATTTTTACGAAACTATAAAGTACTCCAAAAGTCAATGAAGAAACAATAAAGGATCCAGATTCTCGAGAATTGTTCCTCTCCAGTAGAGCACTAAACTCTTAGAGTAGTTAAAATTGAGTAGAATAAAGAGAGTGTAGAGGATGTAGAAACTTTCGTTACCTTCGTTTAAGAAGGCTCATCTCCGCTTGTGCGTTGGAAATCCGATTTTATTAGCGTTATAACTCCTCGATGCTAAATGGGAATTCTCGAACTAAAGAGACGATCGGCGCGAGGATACCATTCGAAGCGAAGAAATTTCTTCCAATCGTCGTTATTTTCGTCGGTGTACGTCTTCGAATCTCCCAATTAATATTTAATTTAGTATGATTGCATCGTTTAGTATCGACTGCTGCATTTTATCTAATTATTCGGTATCGGAAAGCTCCGACGGCTCGTCGGGTTGGAATCGAAGAAGGCATTTATCATGCAAACGAAGCGCTGGAGGAACGTTGAAGGAAATTCAATTTCGTCATTAATATGCATGGATTCCCGAAAGTTGGAATCAAACGAATTGAAATGTGTTTCACGTTTCTTTGGCAACTCAAATTATCAACCAACACACGAATTGGAGTTCTCGAAACTTGTTTTTTCCCGAAGTCATTTGCTCTAATTGTATAACAATTTGTAGCCACCACATTCGTATTTAGTCGGAGCGTTTAGTCGGAAATTTTCACACCTCGAATTGCAATAATACAACATTTAAAGACATAATACATAACAGGCGCAACAAAGGAGCAATAAAAACCGAACAATCCGCCATTGTATTCCTTTCGCATGCAGACTGAACTTGCGCTATAGCATTATTTCCGGTGTACACATGCACTGCCGGAAGCGCCGGCGAAATTCTCTTATTTTTCACACAGGAAAGTGCATTCGGAACTTCAACTACCTCGACAGGGAGATCGAATAACAGCGCGCTTGTTAAATGGACCACACTCGGTTTACTGCGGCATAATTTTACTAGTACTATTTTTGAAAACCAAATGGAATTGATCGGTTAAGAAAAAACCTCTAGTAAGATGCAATTAGGATTTGTTCGAGCCGCAACAACTTCCTCTATCGGAAAACCTGATATTTGCCAGCATCCGTTCGGTTATTTTTTCGATTTCGTTCTCAGCCACAGCGCCCGAGGTTGTACAGGAAAACGGCCTTTAGAATGGTTCCTCGATACACGGGAATTTAATTGATGACTTGCGTTTCGTTCATAAAGAACCGGCGATAAAGCACGCTGGCGCATTCGAAAAGAAATTGACCGTGTAATCGCCTATGGAGATTAAAACGTCGTCCGTTGGTTAAATCGTATGCTTGCGATATTTCGAACCGGAAAATGCTACGTCGAAAATTACAGCCATAACGTCGGGTTTCGAAAGAGAATCATTCTTGCATGCGAAATGTGTACGTAATACCGTTTCGGTCCGACTCGAGAACATATTCGAAATTTAAATTCAATTCACAATTATTCCGGTACCCGACCTAACGGTTTTACGGCCACATTAATCATGACAATTTTTCCTAATGCGCTCAATCCCACTTCTGTTTCTTTCCAGATATGCGCACATAAGCTGGTAACGATGCTGCAAAACTGGGCGATTCTTCTAATAGCGATCTACTTCTTCGAAGGGTCTTCGTCAGCCACCGAAGATCTGCTGGATCAGTACGTTAAGCACGTGGAAAGCGTCAACAGCATCGCTTATGTAGAGAAGAAACCGAGCAAGTACCACCATCCGAAAACCCGGCGAATAACCAGAAAATTGCACCAAGAAAATAACATACAAGACAACGATGGCATCGACAACGAAGACAGTGTTTTCACGGATTTACTAGACAGTTTTCCCAGTGACAGTGACAAACCTTCGGCTAACGATAGTGCTGGTAAGGAGAGGCATCTATCGAGGAAGCTCAGTTTCTACGATGAAAGCGATCGAGAACGCCAGTCCAGGGACGTTTCCAACGATATACTCTGGACGCATTCTGAAGTTCTGGATAAGCAGAACCGGATAATTTTGAGGTGGCAGCCCAGGCATCAAGAGATACTCTTCAGAGTGGAAGCCAAAACCAGGGGATACATCGGCATCGGTTTCAGTCCCGATGGTAAAATGGAGAAAGCTGATATCATTCTCGGATGGGTGAACGATCACACTGGATCTGCAGTACTCATGGTGCGTATATTTATTATCTCAACGGGTAATTTACCTGCTTATAAGTCGAATAATTCGTGTAGCATGACGAAATTCGTTTAAGTCGAATTCTTCGAAATTTAACAGCTGCCACCGGCAGGATTCTTCGAGACTATTACCGAGACGCTCGCTTTATTAACGCAATTAATTAAAAGACTACTCTTTAATATTTAATAACCGCCGGTTAAACTCCACTGAACGTAGGAGTTAACTCAACAACTACAATACTAAAGTCGCTCCAATAAAACCTTCTACTTCGAAATTTTCAACAATGACAATACTAAAGTCGCTCCAATAAAACCTTCTACTTCAAAATTTTCAACAATGACAAAACTAAAGTCGCTCCAATAAGACCTTCCACTTCGGAATTTTCGTTCGGAACTTTCTCGTTCTAAAAAGTTGTCGACGAAAAAAGAAACGCGCCGTAGAAATCGGTTGGAAAGGAAGAGGCACGTGGTGCCAGGTGCAAAAACATCTGCGCAAAGGAACCGGCCCGGTCCCAGCCCGAGGAAGAAGGGCATATGGCCGGGCGGCGAGAGAGCAGAGGTCTCGGGAACCGTCCAGCTGCTTTTGCGTAATAAAAAATCTCTCGGATTTTTTTTAATGGGTCGAGTTCGACGCATCGCCGCGTGAGAAACGCCCGGATGGAATGGTCGTCTGTTGTAGGATCCTCTGGGGCTCGTTTATCTCGCAATTCCGCCGTATCCGTTTGGAGCGATCGATGAAAAAGCGAATTAGAATAAATTCGATTAGGAAACGGTAAACGGCGACAATTATCGGTAATTGGCCGCTTCCAGATGCAATTAAACGATTTCGAGCGCGTCTAGGAAAAAAATCGGAAAAACGATTTTTTTTTATCTCGCATCCTGTACTTAAAAACGTAAGCCGGTCGAATCCACCACGGTATGGTGCACAAGGTGTACAAGTTAACCAGCGAACCGGCTTGAAAAACAGAGCCGGTTCTGCGTTAAATCTCGAACTAAATAATACCGCGTTGTAGCCTCCAAATTTAATAACACCCTGTATTTTACTTGTCTTTAGAATTAACTTTTGCCATAGTAAAGTCTACTTCAAGTTTGCAAACATTCTGATTGCTGCATGAATCGATAAAACTTATAATGAATTTAATAATTAAGTTAACGAAGTTAACGAATTCCCCGAAAGCTTTTTCGAAAGAAATCCGTTAGGGGTGCGAGGCCGTTCCTGGGACTCGGTTTCACGTTTTCGACTTCCTGCGGCTGGCGCATCCGCTCCAGGTTCGGCGTTTTTTATGTTTCCTTCGGTTTATTATGTTCTCGCCATTCAGATCCGAGATTGTTTGTATATTTTACGTTAATTAAAACACGCCGCTAAACCCGTTTCGCTCGCCGGCCAGCCAGCTCGTTACGACGAGTTTTGTAATACGAAATTATCGAACGACGAGGGTAATTTATCAAACGCCAGCGTTACTCGCTGATAACTCCTTATTTGTGCGTTATATCGTCGAGTTCCTCGAACGTTTTTTTGGTAGTTTCGTAGCAGTTTCCACGGTTTACGACGAACGTACGGTTGCGGTGTAACGCGAAATTGCTTCGAATTATTTTAAAAACTCCAAACGCAATATGGGCGCCGTAATGGTTCGAATTTACTCGAGTAAAAAAAACTCCGACCGCGAAAAACGAGCAAGAATTGCGGTCTGGTTCTCTTCCTATGCGCCTGCAGACATCTACACCTATACCCTCATCGCCTGCAGCGAGTTTGCAGCCGTGTGAATGCACTCAGGAATAACAATGCACTTGCACGGGGATGATTTACAGTCTCATCTATAAATTCTTCTAGTCGCCGATGACGATAATGTGATTTACAGTCTCGTTATAGGAGTATCTATAAGTTTTTCTAGTCGCTGATGACGATAATGTTGTCTCATCTACAAATCCGACTGGTCGCTGATGACGATAATGTGATTTACAGTCTCATCTACAAATCCGACTGGTCGCTGATGACGATAATGTGATTTACAGTCTCATCTACAAATTCTTCTAGTCGCTGATGACGATAATGTGATTTACAGTCTCGTTATAAGAGTATCTATAAGTTTTTCTAGTCGCTGATGACGATAATATTATTTGCAGGACTGTCACGGCGTGCCGGCGAGCCAGGGCAGCGCACCTGTCAGAGATCAAATCGATAATTACACGTTAATGAGGGGCCTGCAGAACGATACCCACACGGTCATCGAGTTTCGTCGGGCTTTCGACACCTGCGATCCGGACGACTACGTTCTATCGGTAGGTTTTCAATCAACCATCGTCGGAGTTGAAGCAAACTACCTTTGGATTTTATTGTTTTTAGAGCGATACAGTGAAAATCATCTGGGCGTTGCACGATAGAGATCCGCACCGAAGTAGCGATTTGGTCTACCACGGACACGATCGCGGTTCTCAAAGCGTCCACCTGTTAGGCCCGCCCGCGCCCAAGATGCATTTAACCCATTCCAGTCATTGGGACGTTGTGCTGGAAAACGTACGTAATCATTTAGTCAACCAACAATTCCTTCTAGCTTCTAACGATCGTTGGTTACAGTTCAACGTTCCCCGCGACATGACCACCACCTATTGGTGCAAGGTGTTCAAAGCGCCGACGTTGAACTCCAAGCACCACATCACCGGATTCGAGCCGGTGATCGGCGAGCGGCATTCCTCCATGGTGCACCACATGGTGATGCACGAGTGCCAATTGGACGACGGCGATGATTTATCGCTGTGGGAGGCGTTCGCTAAAGAGGATGGAAAATTGTGCTACTCGAACGTTCCTAACGTATGGGACAAGTGTCTGACACCTCTAGTCGCTTGGGCGATTGGTTCTAAAGGAGAAAACTTTCCGACGCACGTGGGGCTCCCTTTAGCTGAGAAAAAGCACTCCTTCTACATGCTAGAAGTGCATTTCGACAATCCAGCGAAGAAACCAGTCGCTGATACTTCGGGTCTACGATTGCATTACACCAGCGAACTGAGAGAAAACGAAGCAGGAATTTTGATAACAGGAATAGCTCCATCCACATTGCACTTCATACCTCCGTATCAAAACGAATACAAAACAGCAGGATATTGCAGCGTCGATTGCACCAAAGAAGTCATCCCGAAAGACGGTATAAACGTGGTGTCTGTTATGCTGCATTCGCATTTAGCTGCGAAGAAAATGAAACTGAGGCACATTCGCGCTTTAAAAGAGCTCACTCCTTTAGCAGAGGTAAATAATTCATTTCTGGTTTGAGCTCGGTTACTAATCGAATTTTCGCAGGATAATCGATACGACTACAATTACCAGCAATCCCGGTCGCTGTCGCAGGATATTCCCATCCTCCCCGGCGACGGTCTGATTACGGAATGCACTTACTCGACGTTGAATAGGAGCAAACCCACTCTCGGGGGATACTCGATGCAGGATGAGATGTGCCTGGCTTTTATCCTGCACTATCCCAGAACGCAACTAGCAGGATGCTATTCGATGCCTCCGGTGAAGACTTTCTTCGAGAATTTGGGCATCAAGGAGTTCTATGAGAAAGACATGAATCAAATCGAGAGGGTGCTTTTGGAGGGAAAGTAAGGCGATGGTTTGGAGACTTTTGTGGTTTGATTGTAATGAGTTTGTGTGTTTTAGAGTCGAATCAGAAGTGTCCACTACTACGACTTCTACACCTGTTACTAGTAATTCTAGTAGTAAATTGTTATCACCAGAAACGAATAGAAGAGCGGTTATCGCGCGAAAAAATGCCAGGGAATATTTCGTAGAAAGTGAAAAGGACGAGTGGCATAATGTCTTCGATAAGCTCGTTATCAAAGAACCTCAGGAATTTAGAAACCTTACGTTTACCGAGCATTTACATAACATGCCTTACAATGAGACTATTTTTACAAAAACCATGGAGAAGTTTTTCTATAAGGGATTACACTTTACTTTCTGCAGGAAACGAGATGATAGTTTGGTGAGTTTTATTACTTCTTATAGTTCGACCAGAAACTAATCTATTTAATTTTGTAGAATAACGATCACATCACGAAGCTTCCTGAATTTCAGGAGTATGAAAAGAAAGAAAATATACAGTGTAGTTACAGATCGAAAAACCATCCATCTCCTGTATCTACGCCGAAGGGAATGAGTTCATCTTCCGATAGATATTCGAGTTTGCAGATACTTTCTTTTGCTTGCTTCATAATCCGATCGATCTTGTTTTGAGAGAACGAGGAGTTTATAAATTATCTATTTACAGAAATTTTATTACGTCGACTGAATCAAATTCATGAGTGAGATTGTTTGACTTTAAAAAATGTTGCTTCGTCTTTAACAGTCAATCTGCTTACTATTACTTCTGTTTCTTTTAATTTACACGTTAAGTTATTATTTTGGACATACTTCATACTTTAATTATTTGTATATGGAAATGCTACAAAGCAAATGCTGCTTCTTCCTCATCTGTATATTTGTGTGCTTCTAGAAACGTGGCAGTTTCAGCATATTTAATTGTATATATAAATTGTACATATCAATGTTTACCAAATACCTACAGTCCTTAGTATTATCGCAAAATGTAAATGATTAATTAGTAAAGATCTAGAATATTTTACGTTTTGTAATAATATAAAACCGAACTGTAATAACCACTAGTATTTTAGTTTAGAAGCCCCATTGCGCTGTGAATTGACTTAGAGATAAGTACTAATTAAGCTTAATTTATACTAAATTTAGTGCCCAATATTTTGTACTACTCTTTATATTTGTACCTTAAATATTTGATTATAATATGAGTTTTTTTACTTATTGTTTTAATCGCATTTTGCTACATTAAATAACATGTTGGATAAGAAAGTATAAAAATATATTTATCAATTATTTCTTATAATAGCAACAAGAGTTGTCTCATACAAGATACATCACAGTTTTACAATAATGGTAATATAGTATGTACAAATGAAAATTACTGATCTATCTACAAATATGATTAACGTTTAGAAAATATCTTACACTAGGACTAGCTTAAGAGTTAGTTAGTTACCCATGGATTTCCTCTACTTCTTCAAAAAATGCGAAAAATCGGCGAATCCGAAATCGTGAAAATTGTCAGAATTTCCATTAGGGAACAAGGAAAGTCTGTTTTTCAACTGACTCGAGCCGTGATGAGTGATCCTCTGAAACGACGTAGCCGTGGAGTCCTTCAGCAGGAATCCGCACTGAGCAGTGCACACCTCGTCCTTCACGATAGTTTCTCTCGGCCAGAAACGCAGCAATTCCTGGCAATCCGTTATCTTCAACGAAGCGCAGTTGCCCTAAACGAAACCCAATAATAGCACAAACGCTGCATTTCAGCTTCAATTATTCCACTACTTACACCTTGAGGCGTGCAAACGCAGCTCGTACAAGGCGTGGGGAAATTCCCTTCGCCAACCCTCACGTATTTATCTCCAATGATGCATCCAGTATTTCCACCGAACTCCTTCCAGGCGTTCATGTTAATGGCAGGCAACGAATGGCAGGGTACTCTGGGATTGAGGAAATTCGTGGGCAAATCGAAAGCATCCTTCTGTATGTAGCCTTCAACGTCCATGTTGGAGCACAAGATTTTCGACAGAGTAATTTTCTTTATTTCAGACAGTTGTTGTTCGGTAAATCTCACTGCAGGATCGTGACTTTCGTACCTGTTATTAACGAGTTGTAAATTTATGTTATGGTTTGATGTGTTTAATAGGCGTACCAAAATCTATCGCATTGTCTCATTTTTTTGAATTGCAATCCGATGATGCATCCGAAAGTGGGTCCAACTAATCCTCCTTTGAGCGATCGTTCGCTCATTCCCCCGGGAAATAGATCGATATCGTCCACGTGGGCATAAACATTCTTCAGTCTGAAACGTTATTTCGTTATATCTGCTTGGAATTTTAGTTTGGTATTTACCTTGCTATGCTTTCTGGAGACATTTCCCTGTACAAATCCTCGAACGTATTAGCTCTTTTGAGGTTGCACAAGACTCTGTAATTATTGTAGGATGGAATTCCGTGGTCTCTGGCACGTTGGAGATTCCTTGATATTAAATCGATTCCGGAAAATGGGATGTTCCTGTCCTCAAACAAATGATTCGTAACTTCACCTAGAAAGTAATAATGTAATCGTTTGTATTCAAACAATCATAATTTTTTACCTGTAATAAACTGATCCAAAGTCTCCACAGGAGTCGATATCAACCCCCTGGTTATTTCATCAACCATATTCTCCCTCATCATCATATCCATTTTGAAGAAACCATCGCGCAGCAGAATAGGCGGATGTAGTATTTCATAATTCACATTTACCCTATAAAACCAATAAAATATAACAAACAAAAAAAGCAAAATGATGCATTGTACCTTGGAATGTGAGGTCTCAACAAAGAATGCCCTATTCTGAAAGCTGCTGCTGCAAATTCGTTAATAACAGCCGGGTTGCAATCGGGATCGTATCCTCTGTAATAACCGCTCGGGGACAATTTCAACTCGTACAAATTCATGGCGCTCCAGCCTAAGATCCTCGGCAGGAATTCGTTGTAGACGATGTGCTGGAACTCCGCGATGACTATCCTCCGGACGTGCTCGAAGATTTGCTCTTCGTTCCAATGCGAATTGATCTTGCTCAGAATGTCCGACAATCTGTTGTGCTCCCGCATGAAGATGGTGTGGATGGAGGTGAGGGCCGGTTGTTCCGAAGCCCTGGGATCGCCTGCGATGAAAAAATTTGAGTTGAATGGGAAATTCGAGTAGCGATGTTTTACCTGCGTCGAAGCACAACCCGCTCGCGGATTTGCATTCTGGATGTTTGTGCGTCTGAGGCAGCAAATCTTTCCCTCGCACCGGATGGGTGGTGTAGTTCATTAGGCCGTTGGTTCCTTTGAGGTTCTTGGCCTTGCAGGGGTTTTCGCCGTAAATCATGGAAGCGTCGAGGAAGGCGCTGTTCATGTTTATTTGCTCCCTTGGACCGAAATGCTGCTGGCCTGGTAAAGACCTCATGGAATGCAGGCACATCCTCTCACCTACAGATAAACATTTAACATCTTTGATACTCAATTTACTTAAGAAATTCACCTGTAGTGATATTAAATTCTGGATAATAGTCGTCTCCTGGAGGAATTGGTAAAGGATCGCATTCTGGATGAACAGTAAATTTACTATCACACGATCTGCAATCTGGAATCGATTCTTCGAATCCTTTGTGGACTGGTGTTAGCGAGATATCGTGGTCGAGAAGTTGAGCAAATTGCATCGTCATTAAAGTGTATCTGGAATGTAAATGACTGATATCCGGGTGAATTGTTCTCGATATTATCCGAGGATTTGGTAGAGGCAATCCGGTGACGCTGGTTCTTCTAGGTTTCGATATACCATCTTCGTAAACGCTTGGTAGCAATCTGGAGAAAGTGGATAAACTTTTACCGTAATCTGGATTTTTTAGGTTATTACAATGGCCTGTGTAACTTCTAAACGCTGATCTCGAATTGCACGGTCCGGTTTCATCGCAATGAGCGCTACTTTCAAAGTGGTTCTTGTGATGGAAGTTCGAAACGAAGCCAAAATCGAAATTTTGTAGCGAATTAATTATTTCGTTTCGAAAAATTGGGAAATCGTCGTCTATCAGCAAGTGTCTCTTTTTTCTGTTGTTCAACACTGTACTGAGGATTTCGTTCGAAGCGAGTTCATACAGTAAGGACGAGTTTGCTAATTTCAAAGCGCCTTTATTCGCTTTACTAAAAGCTACCGCGGTGCCTTGAGGTGATTTTGGACTAACTCCACCAACTGGAAAAAGAATAAAGTAATTCCTAAAGTCGCAAGCAGTGCTAGAAAAAATTACCTTTCAACCAGGCGTTGTACTCAAACTGCCTTCTTTCGAGAAAATCCTGTTCCGCTTTGCTCAAAGCATCTTTAAATAAATTCGACGACAATTCCACGGCGTGATCGGTCCACTCGGAAATTCCGAGTTGCTGGAAATGCTGGCAAGAAATCGCGGAATTCAAGTAAGGATCTTCCTGGAGGAAAGCTTGAGGTTGCATTTTCGGTAAATCGGTGTTCGCGCAAATCAATCCAGCTAAAGTAACTTTCTTAATTTGCTCCAGCTGATTGACAGTGAAGGAACTGGGCGGTATGTCGTTTTCGTACCAAAACCTGTCGGATTCTCTCAGGATTTTGAATTGGTGTTTCAAGAGACAGTTAAAAGTAGGACCCAGGATAGCACCTGAAGCATAATAAGAGTTAGTATTAAATAAGAAGCAATTGAATGATATTTTCACCTGGAATATTCTCTTCCAAAATCCCTCCAACAATCAAATCAACATCTGAAGCAACGCCGAACAAGCTCTTCAGAATCTTATAATCCGATTTTCCTATACCGTAGGCTTCTAGTTCTTCGAAATTAATGTAAGTTTTAAACGTTTCGTTGTTACACGCCTCTCGGAGCCTTAGATAAGAAGGCACCCCGTGGTCTCTTCCCATGTGAACGAACAGCGCAAAACTATCCCAGTCAGACCTGACTTGAACATTGATACGAGAACTCAACACCTTCGCTGGAGAACTGGCCAAATTGCTGAACATCTCCGTTGTGGTTTCGAGAGTTTTGTTCAACTAAAGATGCGAGTGGTGAGATTAAATTGTAGACTTGATATTAGTACTTACTTTTTTGGATGGTATGAGAGATAACAGTGCAGGTAGAACTCCTATGGCTACTTCATTGAAGACACCAGCTCTGATGTTGCTCGAGTACTTCGAGTATCTCCCGTGGTTTTTCAATTCCAATTGAGATTGCTTGATGGTTTCCTGTCAAAAAGCTGTTAGCATTAATTAGTAGAGAATGAGTTGTTAACTTGCCTCTCCTAATAACAGCGGAAGGAATTCGTTGTAAGTAACATGTTGTATTTGGGCTATGACAATTTTTCTACTTTCGTGAAACAACATTTCGTCCGTCCATTTGTGGTTCAATTTTCTGAGCTCATTGGCGATTCTGTTGTGTTCCTTGATGAAAAGGGTGTATAGGGGATTGAAGAAGCAAGCCTGGCAATTGGTTTCTTCGATTTGGCCGTTCGTGAACAACCGAATTTTTTTCATTTCCTCGTCGGTATTCCCGTAAATCGTCGACCCGTCCAGGAACGAAGTCGCCAGGTTCATTTGGTTGCGGTATTCTAAACGAAACTCGGATTAATCCAACCTCCACGAGCGATTGGCGATAATTCATCGCCGTTATATAACGATCGTTGCAACACTATTTACTTTGTACCTATTCTACTATTCGAATAATTGCAAAACAAATATCTGCATGCTTCGAGATAAAAACTCGCGCAGGTTATTCTATCGCTAATCGTACCGAAAACGCAGGTAGTATCATCGACAGCGGGCAACGTCCTCATGTATTCCAAGCACTTCTCGCCGTCGAATTTCACGTAACATTCCCTGTGCGCCCCGCGTTTCTCGCCGCAGCAGTTCCGGCTCTTCATGTTGCCGGTGCTGACCAGATCGTTCAGCAGGAACTCGCCCCAGGAACCCAGCAGGGCCGTCACGGACTCGTGGTTACCGGCCGGATGTTCCTGGAAAGCCGAAGCTACCTCTGAAGGGTTGGGTAGCTTGTGGGCTGTAGGGGATTCCCGGGGTAAGGAGCTTCCTGGAAAGATTAGAAGGGTTGTTTCTGGTGGTTTTGGGGGGTTGTGTGGAGATTTTTTACCTCTGTTGTAATCTGGTTTTTTGAATCTCAGGTACTTCTGGCCTCTGCAGCCCCAGTTGGGGTGTCTTACGTTGTTGCAGTGGCCGGAAATTTGGCTGAATTTCATCGGAGGACAAATCGTTTCTTCTTCGCTAACACAATCGTCATTTTCGCCGGTTTGTTCCAAACGTAGCGCTTTTTGTACCAGTGGTTTTATATCATCCGGTAGAGGGTTAGTATAGTCGGTTATGTTGTAATCAATTTGCAGTACAACGAGTTGAGGCGCTAGTACCAGTATCGAGAACAGTTCTAATCTGAAACAACGCGAGAATAATGCTAGCAATTTCGCCATCATTAGAATACTCCGTTTCTAAATAATTTTATTAATCTATCCTTCGATTAATATCTATTCCGATTTTTTAATTGCACGCTTCAGTGCGATGAATAGTACATCGGTATGTAGCGTTGCGCCACAAATTGTGCCGTCTTTAAATTAAAATGGAAAGTAGTTTTCATCGCGAATACACCTAAACGAGCCACCTCGTGTCACGGACGAATTCGGATTTATTGAAAATTAAAAAACCGTTTATCGATCATTAAAAGCGCGTCTCGAAAAAATTTCACTTCCTAGTTACTCCACGCACAATTTCTCTTCGGGATTTTACGAAGATGAAACGGGATTGAGGGATGAACTGCATATCTAATTTGGATAACTTTCTTAATTGACTGAAATTAGGTATATTAGGCAACTTTCTTTAGGTGGAACCGAAAAATGTGTCGCTTAAGCAACGCTATAATTTGATACGATTTCGGTTGCGTGACAGCCATCCGAGCTAATCTCGAATTTGAATTTTTTCCTGTAAATTACTTCACAAAGCCTTCGGCGGGTAATCAAATTTACTAGCAGGTACTCCCATTGTTCGATGATAATGAACCGATAGAATGACAGCGCTTTCGAAACGATTATGATAACGATTATTCTTGTGCACCTTCAAGAAATTTGGAATTCGTTAGTGAAAAAATGCTTCGAGGAAATTCCGCGCCCGCAACGTGAAGGTATTAAATAATCGCGTTTGTAGCAACAATTAATAACTGTTATACAATTCGAGTAATCGTGTTTTGTACGCTTATAAAAACTCTTACACGGTCCGTTTGTTTGCCGAATGGAAATGCCGGTGTGTAATCTATTGTCGATGAGAAGAGGAGCCTCCATTTTGAAAGCGAGCGATCTTCGAGATGCTAATGAAGATGAGCGAAAATTTCGATGGTGCTGCTTTTTGAACATGTAACTTCCGGTTTGCCAATTAAAATGTTGCGTGTTCGGTAGATTGAATATGCATGTGGAGTGTGTCTAATTTATGCCGAAATTCTTCAGGTGTTTATTAATCTAATCTTCAATAATGGTGTATTTACTGAGAGGTTTTTTTTTTCAAGTTTTATTGTCCGGCTATTAGTTTTTTATTGCAAAATTTCGATACCTTTCACTTTGGTTTCTTTTTAATAGTTTCGATGTAACTTCTGTCAAAAATGTTAATTTCAACAAATGTCTGTTATTAAAATAATCTTAATCTTAACGACACGAGATACATTTCACAAACAAAAAAGAAATAATACCTACCTACAGATATATTCTTGATAATATTCTTAATAAACAGGAACTAAGTATTGCAATTGTCTAAAGAAAAAGTGTTCATTCGCACATACTTTCATTGTAAATATAATTCATTGTAACTCGTCATTTCGAGAGTGAACTCTTTTATTAATATCAGCAAGATCTCAAAGGATTTTATGTAAATAATTTCATGTATATTTTAGAGTCAGGACCACGAACGAGAAATCTACTTCACACGAAATTCTTAATCATTTCTGTACGAATTTCCACTACTTAGCAGATGTTACAAAAGAATTTAAATACCCAAATTGCGATATTCATTAAGTAAATCGTTGTAGTAACAGGATCTTTTTAATTTACAGCATAAATACAAGTTATTGTCTGTAATTCTGTCGAATTCATAAATAAGTAAGTATGTAAAAATATTCAAATGTAAAAATTATACTTTTAAAAGGATACTATAAATATCTTAAAGGGGAGAATCGAAGTAAAAATTGTTCTCAATGCAATTAAAGTAACAAAAGACTATTGCGATAACTTTTCACGATGAGTCTACAAATTATTTTACAAGCAAATAATTCATCGGTAATTGTTTTTAACGAGCCATGAATTTTAGATGAGACTTTGACGTAACGTTTGAGAAAAAACTATGTGAAAATTTTTCTCGATTTTTATGTAACGAAATTTGCCGAGAATAGTGAAAATTTTAATAATTTTTCATTCATGTGTAGTTACTAATTTTTCTATTCTAGAATGGGTAACATACAAATATAGTTTCTTTAATTAGCAAAAAGCGTTCTTACTAGGTATTTGTTAATTTGTAACACAACAATACGTTATGTACGAAAAGAGAATGTAGCAAACAAAAACATATAAACAGTAATTGAGGAAATGGTTAAAACATAAAATTCAATCCGCGTAGTTGCGTCCAAAACAAATTTCACAAATTACTACCAATTTAAAATAGTAACGAGTTAATTTTCAGAAGCATTTACATCAGCAGATTTTTCACTTCTTCGCAATTTCCATTTATCGGAATTTAACGCATTCCGCGTGATTTCTTTCGCAAATAGGCAATTTCTATTAGCCAAAGTCGAAATCGAATTGCAGAAACGATCTTCTCGTGGAATACAAATAGCATCGTCCCCAGATTGAATCGTTACATCATCTAACTGCTATTGTTTCTCAAACGTTGGGCAATTTTATTAATGAACGTCGCTGAAAAATTGTTGTAAAACAAATTACTCCGATTTTGGAATTGGCAAAACGATCGTTTGCGGTCAGGGTCAGAATTTTAGAATTTAAAAATGCACTTGTGACATTTTTGTAGGCGTATCAACGTCGACGATCTCCACAAGAATTCAGTAATCTCGCATTGTACTGGGAAAAAATCTCAATCTCAATAACAGTAAAATATAATGGCGAAATTTACGATTGTAAATAATTGTCTGGTATCAAAACAAGTGGATTTACCAAGTAACACGTGCTTGTTTTCCATGCGGTTATCTTAAGGGAATATTTTCACGAAATTTTATAAGATAAAAATTAAATTTTTCCTATGGTAGCTAATAAACAATATTATGCTCTGGTAGTTTTATCACCAAAAGAATAATTCAAATAATAGTTTATTATACTAAAAGAATAATTATTTTCGGTAGGTGACCAATTATATTTTCTTTGTATACTTTCATTACTTTCTAGTCAATTACTGTAATAAATTTGAGTTAACATCAAATTATTTTTCGATTGTAATTTATGGCTTTCGATCACCCGCATGTTTAGGGTACCTACAATTTCCTATATCAATCAATATCAAATCTAATTATGTGTAATCAACACTAATTAAATACCTACCTTATTAATCAAAAAATTTTAATCATGCACTCGAATCAATCGCCTAATTAAATATTATAGCTTCAAAAAATTTAATTTACACTTCGATTAAATCGCTGGAAAATATTAAAAAAACAAACTACAAAACGTACCTAAAAAACCATTCCATTTCAGTGGGAAAAAGTCAAATTCAATTTTCCTCACAACACGACCATCGGACACGAAACCGACCCGGATTGAAACGCGAGCAGAACCTCTCGAAGACGATCTTCACCAGGTGAATCTCTCGAATTTACATTTAGAAGAAGCATGGTCCTCCAAATACATCAGCGGGAGAAAGGAAAAATGGTGTAGGAGGAGCACACTATCATTGTGTCACGACTAACCTAGTCAATTGACTCGTGTGTGCGGTAAATTCGTTCTGCACACGACGAAGACTTGGAATGGTGCCAATAAATTCTAATTACCGATAATTATAGATTTTTTTAATACACCAATATGGGTAATTATGAGCCTAAATAGTGGTGAAATTACTCGAATTATGTAGTAATTATGCGATTTAATTCGACTATATAGTACAAGAAAATTTATATAGTAGGGAATAAATTAATAAACACATTGTATATTTAGGCGAATCAACTGAGAAATTTACTCACACTACTACTACAGACTATTTGCATATTCAAATTAATGTTCCTAATGTTTACTTCTTTAGCACCAAATTAGGATAATGGAATAATTTGTAAGATATTGTCAGGTGGACTATTAACGAGATTTATGTATGGGTTTTAAACAATTATGCAATTTTGAACATACGAAAAATAATGTGTGAATATGTATAATTTATTTATGCGGGATACTGGAATTTCATTTTGTAATTTTTCTTAAATTATGCACGTTTATTTATGTCAATGTGTTAGAATTTGTTCACAAATAAGTACCTAATAAATCGATCAGATTATTATTGAAAAATTAAAAAAATAAATCCCCTCTTTTGTACCCCTTCTTTAGTATTGAAAACTTTCTAAAATACACAAATAAATTTACTCTAAATATTGATTAAAGTATGAATATTCTAGTTCATTTGTTTAAAGTGGAATATGAGTATCCATCAAGAATATTTCACAACTAACATACTTGAGATTTATGAAAGAAATACAGAAACTCCTCAGAAGCAAACCAGTTTAAATGTTTGACTACCAAAATAGGAAGCATAAACAACAAACTCTTGTCAATAAATATCTTTGCATAATGCAGGTAATGTTCATCCTTTTAAGCATTTGTTCAAGGATATTTAATAAAGGATCCCTTCAAAACGGCTTAACTCCCTTAAAATTAATCCCTTTATAATGAGATATAATAGAGGATAATTTTCAATAGTTTTAATCTTCCAATTCTTTAAAATTAGCAATAACAAAACAAAACATAAAACCTATTAGGAAAATAACTTTTCGGAATAATAGGCGATTACTATTACTAGAACCAAATCAATTACCGAGAACAAATAATTATTTAACCATGCGACTAATTCGAAATTTAATTTGGATTCTTTATATTCCGTATCTTATAGTTTATTCACATAACATTCGCGCGTGAACCAGTGGCACAATATCTGTAGAAACTCAGTGGCAATCAAACAAATTTCTAAATTTCGTAATAGGCACATCAAACGAAGTGAAAGCGTTCTTTGAGTAGCACAACTGCGCATTTTTCGTATTTATCTGAATTTTTTTATATCTCGCAGAAGGACTTTAGGAGATTAAAAATGGGAGAATGATGAAATTTTTCTAATCACAAGCAGATCGAAATTCGTTGCCAAAATTCCACCAACGACGCAATTAATTACCGTACTAATTTTTATTAGGTATCGAATAAATTTTGAGTTATTGTATGGAAGTAATTGCAATTTTTTTAAAATAGAATGACGCGCGCTCATTAATTACGAATTATCAGCGTAAACGGCAAGAGTTGTTAATTGTAACAGATGTGGATTCGAACAATATTTCACAATTCCCAACGGGACAATGCATTCGATTAATATGACACAAAAAAACCGTAATTGTAAGTGTATACCTTCTTTCCAGCGCTGCAAATGTTTTCCACATATCAAGCTGAGTTCCCGGCACATTTCTTTGTTCAACCCAGTCCAAATAATTTAAATACAACTCTGTTTATTCCACCAGATTGCTAACCCTATTAATTACAGGCATACGTTGTGATAGATAAACCGACTAGTCTAGTGATCACAAAACCGATTTTAAGTATGTATTCGTAATTCCCAAAACTCTCCTCCTTCCCGAAACCCCCATTAAAGCCCCATTAGTTCGAATCGAAGGAATAAATGCACTCCTTCCCGGAACGATCATAGGGATTTGCCGTCGGGCTCGAACATGATACTCGTATATTTATTATTCCACTATTTTCCGTTGTCATTCTATCCGAATTCGTGAAGCTGAAAAGTCGAAGATGCTTTCGGTGACTTTGGTGACTCTCGTGCTCCTAGCGAATGATCAATTAGTGCGCGGTTCAGTGATCAGGCAAACGAAAATCAACCGAACTCGCTTCGAATATACGATAGATGATCTGCGAAGTGCCAAGTATCCGATGAAAACTTCCGACGATTTTTACATGGATCCCTGCAAAGCTCGTAAGTTATACTATTTTTAAAATTCGTACGCCCACTAATGTATTTTTTAATAGGTAATTTCTTGGAAGATATTGCTCTAACTCCTGAAGATAGCGTCGAAAAATGGAAGAAATCCTACCCTACAATCGAAAAGGAATACAAACAAGATGAGAATCAAATCAAAGGAAACAAAGAATCATTAGGAAACAAAGAAGCGTTACAAAACAGGTTACTTTCAATCTCTTCTTTCTCTCTACTTTCAATCTCTTCTGTAGCTCATTTTCAATCAAATCCTCGCAATTACAGGTTGAACGAAGAGGTGTTGTCGAAAAGGATTCCAACGGAGGAAATTAAATTATCTCACGTGCGCTTGGAGAGAGCGGTGGCAACGAAAATAGAAAGAATTTGGGATTACGGCGTGATTCCCTACGAAATCGACGATAGCTTCAGCGGCTGGCACAAAGCCCTGTTCAAGCAAGCCATGCGACACTGGGAGAATTTCACTTGCATCAAATTCGTCGAGAGGAATCCCGCGGACCATCAGAATTACATCGTGTTTATGGAAAAATCCTGCGGGTATGTTTTAATCATATAGAAATTAGGATTTTCTAACGTTGTTCTGTTCAGTTGTTGTTCCTTCGTGGGGAAAAAAGGAAACGGAGCTCAAGCCATCAGCATAGGAAGAAAGTGCGATAAATTCGGAATAGTTGTGCACGAACTAGGACATGTTATTGGATTCTGGCACGAGCATACAAGACCAGATAGGGACGATCACGTCACCATCCTCAAAGAGAATATACTCACAGGTAAATCTATTGTAATTATCTCGCTATCGCGCTATATAATCCAAACTTTCAGGACAAGATTACAACTTCAAGAAATTGAACAAAAACGACATCAGTTCTTTGGGTGTTTACGATTATAATTCCATCATGCACTACGCTAGAAACACGTTCTCGAAGGCTAGTTACTTGGATACAATCCAACCGATAAATGTTCCAGAAGGCGTCCATCCGAACATAGGACAAAGGATAAAACTGAGCGAAGGAGACATCGAACAAGCTAACATCCTTTACCAATGTCCTAGTAAGTACCAATAAATTGAACAATAGTGATAATAATAACGTGCAATATTTACAGAATGCGGTAATACATTTCAAAAACATTCTGCATCGTTTTCCTCTCCAGTGTACTGGAAAACGGTTCCTAAAGAGGGTGTAAATTGTGAATGGAGAATAACAGCAACACACGGAGAGAAAATAACCCTTAATATCAGCAACCTGGACATTCGTAAAGAACCAAATTGCAAAACCGACTTTTTGGAAATCAGAGACGGTTACTGGTTCAAATCGCCATTGTTGGGCGTATTCTGCGGCACAGGAAACTCGATATTAGTGAAATCTACAGGCAGCAGGATGCTGGTTACGTACGTTTCGAAAAACCCGTCGGGATATAGCGGATTTACGGCCAATTACGAAGCGGTGTGCGGTGGAGAATTAACCATAGACTCCGAAGATCACCTGGAATCCCCCAATTACCCCGACGAATACCGAGAAAACATCGAGTGCATTTGGAAACTAACAGTTCCGAAGACCTATCAAGTAGCCCTACGGTTCCAATCGTTCGATTTGGAGAATCACGACAACTGCGCGTATGATTACCTGGAAATTAGAGATGGAATAGATTCGAACAGTCCTGTTACGGGAGTGTACTGTGGCCATAAAATTCCCTCGGAAATTATATCTACTTCCAACGAAATGACTATCAGATTTCTATCCGATGGATCCGTTCAAAAAACCGGCTTCTCCGCCGTGATTTTCAAAGAATACGATGAATGTGCTAAAGTCGATCACGGATGTGCTCAACTTTGCGTTAATACTTTAGGAAGTTTCTATTGCTCGTGTCGAATAGGATTCGAACTCCATTCTGACGGTAAAAATTGCCAAGGTAATATAAATTTCACTAAACTAGGAATGTTTAAATTAATGCGTTATTTACAGATGCTTGTGGAGGAGTTTTCAATCAACCGAACGGTACAATAACATCACCGTTGTTCCCTAATTTGTACCCGGCGAATAAAAACTGCACCTGGGAAATCATCGCGAGTCCTCAGCATAAAATAACTGTGAATTTTACGCATTTCGACTTGGAAGGGAATTGGAATCCTCTGCCTCAGCAGCATTGCGAATACGACAAAATCGAGATATTCAGTAAATTAGAGAGCAACGAGTATAAATCCCATGGTGAATTCTGCGGTGAAAGGTTGCCTAACGTTATCACCTCTAAGAGTAACACTTTGAGGATAGTATTTTCGTCCGATTCCACCGTCCAAAAAAGCGGATTCGCTGCGATATTCTCCGCAGGTATAGTTACTTTAACCGAGTTGTTAACCGATTCATCAGCTAGTGTTAATTACAGAAAAAGACGAATGCGCTGTGGACAACGGAGGATGCGAACACGATTGCATCAAAACCCCAGGCACATTCCGATGCTCCTGCCACGTAGGCTATAATTTAGCAGCAAACGGGCGTTCCTGCAAAGAAGGCGACTGCACCTACGAGGTAACCGCCCCGCACGGGATCGTCAACAGCCCCAACTACCCCGGCAAATACCCGCCGAAGAAGAACTGCTTCTGGCATTTCGGCACCATCAACGGCCACCGGATCCGGCTGGCCTTCCTGCTGTTCGACCTGGAGCCCTCCCACCAGGCGTGCGAGTACGATCGCGTGGAGGTCTTCGACGGCGCGTCCCCGGCGTTCCCGACGCTCGGGAAGTTCTGCGGCTCCAGCCCGCCGCCGGTCATCCAGAGCTCCGGCAACCACATGTACATGACCTTCGTGTCGGACTCGTCGATGCAGAAGAACGGGTTCCACGTGACCCATTCGACGGTGTGCGGGGGCATCTTGGAGGCGACTTTCCGCCAGCGGCATATCTACTCCCACGTGGCGTTCGGAAAGGAGAACTACGGCAATCAGACGAACTGCGACTGGACGATCGAGGCGCGAGGGGGGTTCAACATCAGGCTCTCCTTCGCGGCGTTCGACGTGGAGGAAGAAAGAGGTTGTGGGTACGATTATGTGGAGGTGTTCGATGGGTTGGATTCCAGCGAACGGTCGTTTGGAAAACTGTGCGGATCTGAGGTACATAATAATAATCATTCAGTAACTATTAAGTAGTAATTATTCATTTATTGTTTCAGATACCTTCTGTTATAATTTCTTCGCAAGGGGGATTGTTGGTGCAGTTTTCTACGGACGAGTCAATTACCCGGAAAGGTTTCGATATTATATACGAGTCGTACGACGATTTTTTGGTAGAAGATAAGGTTTGAGTGCATCTTAGACTGAGTGAACAATTGAGTGAAGTGAAAGAATTTTCATAAGCGTTTAAACTCCGAAGCTCTGCAACCAGTAATACATGAATTATACACACCGATGAAGAAAGCTAATATAAAGATAAAGAAACTTTAATTGGAAACCTGAATTCGAAAGATAATTTTTGTACGGCTCGAATTGGATTAAATTATCCACATCGAGCGGTATTATTTGTATATTCCAGACCATTATTTAAATAAATATTAGATTATAAAACAACCCATCCGTATATTATTTACTAAAACAAAGAATTATGCACGTTATAATTAGTAGTGATAAAAATTAATTTCAATCATCCTTTCGCTCTTATTAGGCTCGATTTAATTTCGAGATGGAATTCAATGGAGTCACGAAGAGGAACGCTGCAAGAATCTTGAGGCTTCCGCGTGATAGTTATGCAATCGAAACTATCATAAACATGAAAGATTGCCTTTTTGGTATAAAAGAACCCGAAGAATGGAGAGTCGGTACTTTCACTGAACCGATGAGCTGATGGAAAAATATATGAGAGAATGTAAAAAAATAGTTTTCCACGAAAAATCGCAGGAAGTATTTCTTGATAAATAATTGTTTCCGTTGGTAATTGGGGATTTATAAGAATAATTTATTCCAAAAATCCCGCAATGAACTACTAGTGTTGACTCAATATTTTTGTGGTCAGTTTTGCATATGTAGGTATACTTTAGTTGATAAATAAAGGTTCTTGCATGCATCATCGTGTATTTTTATGCATATTTTTACAATATAAATTCGAATTTTCGAATCCATAATAAAAATGTAAATCATCGACGATATTTTCGTACTGATGCCATAAAAAAGTGAAACTAATTGTCAATGTGCGTATGTCGACTCCCTACCTGGTGATAATAGGAGAAAGTACTAATATTTGGAATAAACAAACTGTATGTGCCAGTATTCGATTGACTTTATGGATATTATAAATAATTTTCCATTTACTATTTTACCAGCAAATAAATTAGAAGTCGTTGATGAAACATATTTAACTGTATTAGCCAACAATAATAGGATTCTCCGAATAATATCTATAACATTGAAATAAATTAAAATATATTGAATTAGGTAAGTGCAAACAAAATTTTTATTGGATTTTTTCTTGCCAGGCAATTTACAATGGAGATGTTAATTTGTCACTTAAATATGCTTATCATCTTTATAAGATGTAGTTTAGAACCAGGATCCAACTAGTATTCTCAAGGTCTATCAGCTAATAATGTTCAGAGAATTGGAGAACTATTAACATTGACAAATTATTAGAAAACCACAATTTTTGTTAAACTACACTGATAATAAAGCAAAAAATCACACGCAACACTTTACAACCCTTAAATATTTGCTAAAAAATAAGGAATAACTAATTAAATGCAAAACATCACTATACTAAAATATACTGCTCCACAAAAGTTCACGAATATTGAGATTAATTTAAAAGTTGCAGGTTTTTTGATCGCCAAATTTAGTCTGATTTGTAAAGGAAGGAGCAAAAAATCCACTAAGATATAAGAGAAAACATTTCATTTCGCGTATTTGAAAATTTAGTAACCAAAAATTCTGTAACTTTTAAAATAATCGCAAAATTTGCGAACTCCCTTAACTTTTGTGGAGCAGTTTGTATTGCAAATCGAGCAAAAAAAGCATCCTTACTGATTTAAAACCAGTGGCTCTTATAACACCTCGAAAACAACCCAACACAAAGCAACCGAATCGAGTTGATACAAGAAAGAACGTTTCTCGGTATACGTGAGGCAATCAGTGGCACCAGCCAGCAGGACACAGCTCGAGAAGGAGCACTATAAAAACGCCGGTGCGGCGGTACGAGAATCCACTGGTTTAGAGCCACTGAACGCCGTCTCACCGAAGCATTCTCAACTTTCTCCGGTGATCTAACCCACCGTAATTCGCCAGGCCAGGTCCGACAGAACCGCAGAAGTCGGTGCGATCGGCAGGCAGCATCTCCGTGTAGCCGCGAAAATCGACCTGGTGGACTCGCGGAACTCCTGACGCGAAGCGGGAGCTCCGAGTTTTCCTGCGGGAAACGGCATGTGGTGGCTCTAGTGACAGTTTGTTTGATTTTTTTTTGTTCTGTTTTGAATCGTTGGCAGATTTGTGTCGGGAGACATGGATTTTAAAATTAGGTAAGATTGGATAATATCTCTTTCAGATTGTGTTATTTTAAGGGATGAAAATAATCATCTTCTTCTGATGAATTTAAGTAATTTTTGGGTATTATTTTTTGTTGCATTTGCTAATCACTTTCACAAATCAAGGAAGATGGATAATCCTGCAAAAAATACTTTTATTGTGTTTAATTTAAAAGTAAAATCGGTTGCAGGAATGCGCCAACTTTCTTGCATTTTAATTGTGTTTTGCGGACGAATTAAGTTGCAAAACGGTGTAATAAAATTTTGTAAAAACTGTGGGTATATAATTAGATAATTTTCGAATTTGCAGCGTTAATTAACCGAACAACGGATTCATAAATTTTCGCAAGATGTCGATTAACTTGTGTTATAGAATTATTGTTTTTGCTGTTTAATTGTATAATCGGTTCTCGTAGAGAATCAATTCTTTCCATGTAATTTTAACTCAGCGAAAGTTTTCTAGCACTAATTTAATTATATTTACAAAAATTCGATTTGTATACTAATATTATGCAAGTGCTTATACCAAACACTCCACTCTATAAATTTAATGACAAGAAAATATATGATATGCGATCAAAACGTAGAATTGAATTGACCAAATTAAATCGAATTCAGGTGAAAAAAATCATCCATTCGATTTTCGCAATATATTATTTATAGCGCTCTGTACTTTAAGTGTTTAAGCGATATTATTATTACTATTTAGCATAGTAATTGCGTTAGGCAATAAATAAGGCTGTTAAAAAATGCTGCAAATTTATGGAAAATTAAAATAAAAATTAATAAATCTGTTAATTACATCAATATATCAAGAATAAGTGTGTCTTATAAGTACATGCGTTTTATCTCGTTTTAATCAAGTATGTATAGGTAATTTATTTCTTACTCAAAGAAAAATAAATTGTGTCCTTCAAAATACAAATGATTACAATTAAGTCTTGTAAATACAATATATTCACGAATAAATAATGTTTTGTATAAAATTCGAACGATTAATTATGAATTTTTTAGCAATTTTCAAGAATTCAGGTTCATGAGTATTCAAGAAAAATATTTTTACCTGCAAGTTTATGAGCACATCCTAACTTTTCTAAATGCTTATAACCGTTTAAAAAACCCACATATTTTTTTAAATGCATTTATTACTCCATTTATGGAATAAAGGTTCGTTAAACTTAGTTCTGCGAATAATTTATTATTCGCAACCGGCATATTTAAACCCAAAAATCCATCTTCTTTGTCAAAAAAATTTGATTTCTCCGACACGAGCGGTAAACTGGTAAAACTCGACCTTCACCTTTTCTCTTTCAGTACGCGTAAAATTAAAATTCGTACCCGAATATTTTTTTTCGGCTAGCCGTGATCTTCACGGAGAGTTTCACTTTTCGTTAACGAGCTTTTATATTTTCTTACAATAATTATTCGTCATTAATTCCATCGCAAACATATTTAGTAGGCGTGCACTAATAAACTCCAAACGCGAGTAAGGTGGAAAAAATAATAAAAAAATATAAAAACACGGATGTAGCCTGAACATTGTAGATGAGCTTCGAAGGTTATTCGTTGGGAATCGACCAATAACACTACTGTTTACATTTTCATAGAAACGCTATTCAATTAATCATCCCATTGGCTACTAATAGATAACAAATTGATAACAAGCGTTTCTAATTCGACAGAACGTCGATCTATAGAAAGTACAACGATATACTGATAAGACCGGCTCAAAAAACACTTCTTTTGCAATTGTACCATCGAAACAAATTTCTCTTTCTTTACCTACAATGTTTATTGAACTTGGAGATGCGAGAATACGAATTGAAGGAAGCAAACGAACGTACAAAATGCCTAATTGTTAAAACGTGTTCACGCTCGTTTTTTATTCCGGTAATCGCTTTCGAATTTTTAGTCCCAAAATTAGAAATTCGCGTTGCAATTTTTTCCGCGGTTTCTCGCCAAAGAAAGAGCGTCAATAATGAAGTAATTTGATGGTGGGTTAATTGCTTATCTAATTAGATAATTAAATGTAAGTACAATTGTAAAATATTTCAACCTTCAGCGGGAAGGCGTGCAGAAGGAGTGCTCGAGTAGATTATATCCTATATACTCGATTTCCTCATAATTCTATAACTTAATCGCCTTGATATTTAATGTAAACTCATTTTTTTCGTTGACAAATGTTTGTTCTATAACTCCGCGGCGCCAAATGGAATTCCTCGATGCTATTTGGACGGTGCAGAAAATTGATTAATGCTATAGCGGCCCGCGAACAATCGTCATAAAAGTAGTCCATCCACTGAGTTTTACCTTGCTGCAGAGTAAAATTTCGCAAGATATTAAGTACGCATTTATTACAATGGTATATACAATAACCGACAAGTTATGTTGTGACCCACATAATGTTGCGTGGGTGAACGCCATCAGTATCCAAATGTGGCGCTAGTACACCCATGCAACTAATGAAAATTTTTGCATAATTACAATAATTAGCAATTTTCGAGCCGGGTCCGGTTTTAAGCGCATTTTTTTATCTGTACTGCGTTACGTAAGCTATAATGTTTAGACGAAAAATGAAAGTTAATAAAAAACCGCAATAATTAAACGCTGAAATGCATATTTAACAGCTATTAGCACGTGCTCTCTGCTCTACGCGCCGCTTAAGAAGAAAGCGATAGACGTGGATTTGAATAATTAATTTAAAAGAAGTAAATTTTGCCAACGGACGGGTTTTCTCGTTGCGAAATTCGCCGATATTTTAATTTCTAAAGCGGCACCAGCTACACAAATGACGTTATTATAATCCTCCTCATCTTATGTCTACTGTAATTTTGCAAAAAAATAAATTCGAACATCACTAAAAATCCCATCACTACCTCTACAAACTGTAATTCGTAGAAATAGTAATTTAAAATTTTACAAGCAGATAAATACCGGTTTTCTCTCGTTAACTAAAAACAAAAGATTTTATAAATCTCGACTGCAATTTGTTATTATGACATACGATTCACGCGGTGGGTCCGCCGACCTTCTTCTATTCTTTTCAGCCAGACATTTCAATTATTTCATTATTTTAATAGCACCATTTACAGCCGATTCGCGATGTGACATTATTCACTATTACGTCAAAGAGCGATGATTTCCTTGGATATCTATTCTAATAGGTAATGTGTAATTGCATCTCCGAAGATGCGCCTTGAAGGTACAGATTGAGACATTATAAAAAATACAGCCGATTTAATTAAACAATTTCAAAATGGTCAGAACAGCTGGGAACGGTAAAAGGACTGTTTTAATTTTTTTAATGAGTTTATTGAGTTGTTGGTGTAAATGGTCAAGGACTCGCCATTCGAATGGCATTCTTTCATGCAAACAATGGCATTTTATTTAAATGTAGATTAAAGTGATCTTTGTAGAGTGGCATACTTTTTTCTTATAGTTCAGTACGAACATCCTTATGGGCATTCTTGCAATGAAGTTACTTTAAACAGCAAACAATCAATTCCTATTGACCTTCGATTTGTTTTCTTTATTCTAAATTGCACTGTCGATTACAAATTTCAATAAATTCATCAGTCTAGACTTAGACACCAATTTAATTAGATTTTTATTTTTTGAATTACCAATCTCTAACAAATGATGATCTTGATCTTCTATTATAAATAAAGGATCTGCTTCATCACTGTTTGAGATTAAGCGATGCATTTATCCTTATTAACCTTTCTCTTTTACTTTTTAGTGATTATCAGATACGATAACGTTTTTTTTGATAAAACTCGTTTTACAATAAGAAATTAAATGCCGGAAGGAATCATCGTTTCCCTTTCGAATCGTTTTAATAACTTTTAATCGAAAGGTTTGTAACACTTCAACCACTGAGCGAGATTATTTTTATAGACTTGCCCGAGCAGAGATGTCCGGAAGATTTATGTTAGTTTTTACTTTCCTTTTTAAAGCTCCAGCCGTATAGGCTAGAATTACTAGCGTAAGTTTAATTTCTTTTCGTTTAATTAATTTTTTTTACCTACCTATGATTTCTATACGAAATATACCTAATATATCATGTAATAATAATTAGATTGCGCATTTTATGATGTGAACATGTTTTTGTTGTTGAGATAACGATTTTAATATGTTCTACGAGCTTAACAGGGCTTTGAACTTTCGAGGAAATATTTTTTTAGGTTTATCGCAGATGCTCATCAGCTCCAATTTTCTAAAAATATTCTGTTGAATAAATAGTTACATTAGAAACATACTTTTTCGGGTAATAATAAGATGTTATCGCGCACATCTAAAATATGTGCAGAATATTTTATTTAAAAAATAGTTACAAAAAAAATGACAAAACTATAGAAAGTTTTATTTACGACATTGCTGATTCTTCTACCAACCCACAAACCAACGAATTGTACACCAATATCAATTTCATCCTTTACCGGAAATATTACGATCGCCATTAAATTACCTTCAACAAATTATACCACTAATAATGGTCAATAGTAAATTTATATTGTCAAATAATCAGAAAGCAAACCCAGCCAATCTACTTTCATCTTTCACTGCACACACGCAATCATCCAGTCTCGCCGAGATCGAGATATAATCAACACATAATTCATTTAACTATCATGTGATTTGTTTTCCAGATCACGCCCGTTTCCACAACATATGGTCGTAGATGCATACAAGTGAACGAAGATTAATTTCATTTGATTGTATCGAAGACATAAAGCGATTTTAACAGACAGTTTGATCATGTTTCGTGTAGCATTTCGGTTCCCCAGTTTATTATTATTTTTCTCTGTGCTAGTTAATTTTATTATCTGTTTTACCTTCTGCATCGACTGCTTATAATCTCTATTTTCAATTATCGTATTATAAATTACATTGAACAGTGCAATTTTCGTAATCTTGATGATAGCAAATCTCATCGTTGTAGCCTTGCTAAAAACTAGTACATTCGTACCCAAAACCGCTAGAAATATATTATTATTGTTTTCGAATTAATTATATTATTTGCATTATTAAAAACTTGCATCACTTCGTGATAATTGATAAGGCAAATGCCGGCACCGCTATTTTTTTCCGGTTATTACGTTATGAAAATTTTACGGTATACAAAGAAAAATTGCATTATAGTTTTCAGCAGGACCCATCAGGACCTACCCATATAGAAGCACCAAATAAACATTTCTTCATCTTTTATGGGCCGTATTAAACCGCGGTAAAAGTGAATGTTTAAAATATACATAAACAGGATTATGGCAGACGTTGATGTGTAATTTACTTGGACCGTTCACGATTGAAATTTTTCGAATAACTTTCACTCAAGGTTACTTTCATCGAACGGCGTGCTTATATTAAATTAACACAAGGCGTTCTGGTTCCAACGTGCGTTTTTTTAGTACCTGGTCATTGCCGTTTACGAGCATGTATAAGAAACCCAAAGGGGATTGCACAATAGTTTTTCTTCGTTGTTTTTAAATCAACCTGCCTATTTGGTTGTGTGCAGCTGGAATGGAATTTCGATTTGTGAGTCATAAATCATTTTTTGGATAGCGACCTTTAAATTGTTTATGCAAATGGATTTATAAGTAACAAAAATCGTGTAAAAGGAAATATTATTTTTTATCTGATATTAATAAATGGGCATCAAACATTCTATGACACGCCCTAGCTACACGGTGTCTAATTAGAATGAATTTTTCATATTTATGACCAAGGAAATATCCGATGATTTCTTCGAAGGCAGTTCGATCGATTCGAAATAATCGATTTCTAAATGATTAATGTTGAAGCTCGTTAAAATGTTTGTAATTAGTGAGAATTATTTCCTCATAGGCACATTTATTTGTTTCATCCTTGCGTTATTAATCCTACTGAATAAATTAAGAGTTTTCTTAATTATCTTTATCGATAACTAGATTATAAATAACATTATTTACACGGATAATTAAAAATTTTCACCAACAATTCGTCCCTGAATACATCCAAACCGTGTAATTTTACACCATGTATTTTGTAATTAGATAATTATAGCAGCCATTAGTACCTCAAGAATCGCATTAAATCTTCCCGATCGTGATCCGCAAACGATAAAAAGGTGAAAAACTATTGCTCGAATTTCGCAACGATCGGCCACATTGCATTACGGACGCATTACCGCAAGTTCGTGCTTAATATCGATCTAATTACACAATAACTCCTTGTTAGGCATCGTGGAAGAAGAGCAACATGCACGATTCAAAACGACACAGATACAAAACCATCAAAATATTTTATACGATCGATTTAAAGGTTGCTCGAACTAGGAAAGAGCTGACGATGTTTTCAATGAATAAGTAAAAGTGATTGAATATGCGATAATGCTAAAAAGAAAATTTTATTTTAGCGGACGTTGATTGTGTAATAAGAGAAAACTCTTGTCGATAGACAAACAATGCAAAACTTTTTATTTCTCCACTCCCTTGTTGATGTGTATGTTCATTAAGCTCTATTTAGTTATTGAGGTAATTAAAAAAATTTCTATTTGTTATTTAAATTAATCGTTATAAAAAATGAGTAACTGTGTCCAGACTAGTGGCTGGTTAATAATAGTAGGTAACGGTCAGTAGATCACTGGTAAAAAAAAACTTTTGCTTTCGGTTTTATGGCGTTACGCTAGAAGTAACGTCACGCCTGGCGGTTTTAAACGATATTGTTCTGTTCCTCCTCCGTAATAAATATTTACCTCTTTTACATAACTTTTTAATGATAAGTATTGTTGTAGGAGATTAACCATTAACCACCGGTTAGAAGTAGGTCTGTATATACGGTTTGTTTAATTGTATAAAGGATTTAATCAAGGATTTTAGTCGATAATAAAATCGCAATGTTTGATGAACAAGAGATATTTACCTTCCTTATGTAGGTCTGTAGGTAGAATTGCTATTAACTGCAATGAACGCGCTATATTAGTATGCTATTAAAATAACTACCGTCTTCAATCGAGATGAGGGTCGCAAAATAACAGCCCATTGATTATTATCAATTTCTTTGTATCTTCAATAAAATTACCGATGGGATAAAATTGTCTCCTTCACGAATAATGATGTCATTACTATTCGAAATCGGACAATGCACTGACACATGCTATTATTTTCCTATTTGCAATTTCAATGCAGTAATCAATTTACTTGTAGGTAATAGCACGTGGATAGCATTAAATTAATACCACTCGATCTTCTAAAGCATGCATTATGGAAAAAAACTTTTCGTTTATCAACACATACTGATTAAATTCAATAATTCCACAAGACTACACACGATCGGCAATTTTCATAATTCAATCATCGCTAATACAATAGATGTAATTGCAACTTCTCACGGAAATCCCATGCAGATTTACACCTTCGAAGCCATCAATAAACGGATATCATTACTACATTTTCACGATAAATATTCACGATAGAATCTTTAATTGCAGGTTATCGATAGTCGCCCTGCTATCGCTGCTGCCCGTCCTGGCGCTGTCCCAAACCGGCCCGAAGCAGTTCGAGTACAACCTGACCCAGTACACCAGGACCCTGCCGGAGGACCTGCGGCCCATCGTCCGAAGGGCCTTGGCCGTCGAGAGGCAAGCGGCGGCGACGGGGAAGTGGTCGAGGGCGCTCTGCCAGCCGGAGGAGGCGGTCGATTGCCCGCCGATGAAGTTCCGGCGGGCGTCGGGCGAGTGCAACAACGTCCGGCATCCCAAATGGGGCAACAGGGGCCAGAAGTTCCTGCGGTATTTGGCGCCCAGCTACGCCGATAGTGAGTAGATTCCTGGTTTATATCGAGTAAACTTCTTCTGGTTGTTCTGCTCGAAGCCTTCGGTGGTACTTTCTCTGCGACGAGGCTCGAGTGCGAATGCGGTGAAATTACTGGCGGTATTCTTCTACTTTTTTTTTTTCGAAACCGCTTTTCTGTATATTTCCTCGTTTATTCGCCATGAAAGTGGTTTCTTCTCGGCCGGTGCGGATCCGACGCGACAGGTACGCAGAGGCGTATCCAGCCTAAAAGTAGTTTCCCTTTCATTACTTTCCCTTTGCATTGAGTATTTAAGTACGCACCTGCGCGATTCTCTTGTTGCCTCGAATTAAGTAACACTTGTGCTCGCCGCGTAATAAGTTAATTAAATTTCTTTTCTGTTGCGATTGGATTTTAATTTTAATATAAAATAACTCGCGTTGTATAGGTGCTTGACATTCGATTAAATTCAGAAAGTCAAGTTGACTTCGCTTGTAGTCGAATGTATTTATTATTACCGGTAAGCAAAGAAAGTGTCGATTGTAAATTATTTAAATGTAATTCTCGCAATTCATATTTCGAGTTTATCGAAACGGAGAAATCTAATGAAATGCGTATTGAATTGCAGGAAATGTGGATTCGAGTGTAATATCGAACTAAAAAGTTGATATACTAATTCATTAATTAATTTTAGTATTTTTGCCGTGATTGGATATATCTCAATTTACTACGCATTTCTAATACCTGTCATTAATATAATGGGCTGACCGATTATAAACATAAATGCTTTATTATATACGTTTACAAACACACTATAATTTAAAAATATTTCAAAGGCACTTAAATATTGGATTATTTTTAATAAACAAAACATTATGAGCTCATTCGTATATACAATACAATGCCATGTTAAAATTAGAAAAATTAATTTCGATATTGGTTAATTACTTCCTAGTGATTTAACAGAAACACAGCAGGATAAGATGGATAGATAATTAATCGTCCTATTAAATATTTTAGTAGAAGTAGATACATGAATTGGATAGTATATTGAGATGGGTTATTAAGGTTCCTTGGAACGTTCGTAATTACTAATTTAAGTACAATCGCAATTACAAGTGGTTGGTACACGAAACTTATCGAAATCGATGAATCCGTTTTCGTAAGTAAGTAGGTAGACTTCCTGATGGTTTTGTTTGCATTTCGCCCCAAATTCAGAGCAGTAATCGCTACAATAAAAATTTTTGAAATAGAATTAAAAATTTTTAATTAGTTCTAAATAACTCACTTAGATTTTCCAGCACGTGAACGGACGTTGTTTCTGTAATCAAAAAGCATAGTAATTTAGGTTAACAATGAAATACAAATATTTGTGAAGTTTAATTATATTTTAATTGCCTATTTGTTATGTTATAAATTAGGTTTTTATCACAAAAAAGCATTCGAACAAAGTTGTGTGAAGTAAATGAAAAAAAAACTTACCTGCACATTTCAGCTATAAATCTTTGATTAAATCCATCGACATTCACCACAAATTTCCACTCGTCATGGACGTTTCGAAGAACCCGGGGTGTGTGAGTTTGAGGCGACTCCGGATCGCAAAGATTCTGAACTCTCCCTCGGAAAAAGTTTGATCTACAAAATTGCAAAAACGCATTTGGTATAATAGTTCAATTATATCGATTACGCTATTTCAAATTGGATTTTCTATTGTAAATAAGAAGAAATAAAAATGACTTAATCGACAAAACTGAGAACTACTAGAAATTCATATACGAGTAGTGAATATTAACAAAAGTTGACGCAATTGAATTTTATATTACAAATAAAACACCGGCCATTTTTATCATTTAAACAATTTTAACGGAATGGTGTGAATTGTAAAATAAAGTGATAAAAAAACAACGGCCTCTAAAGATCGAGTCGTCTTCGTGAAAATAATCTGATGGTGATAAATCTGGGAATCGTGCCAGTCGTTCTATTCCACCTACTTTTATGAGGATTACAAAATCCGGTTTCGAATCAAACGTTATTAAAAGAAATTCGAATCCTTACCTGCTAGCAATATCCGTGGCGTCGTAGGTGGAATTCAAAACTATTCCGAAAAATCCTTGCATGTTTTTGGTGTTCTTCATTAGATGCAAAATTTGTTCTTCCGGGTAATCTTTACTGTCTGGGCATATTTGATGCGGACATTGCAGATACAACTCGTAGTAAATCGGAGTTAGAGACTTCTGGATAAGCCTAGGCGATGGCATCGAATACCGCGCTCTTGGTTGCTACAAATATTCATATATTCACAAATTTTAATATTCGAAATCTACTAATAGATGTTGCGAGCATCATACAAACAACAAAATGGTTAAAAATAAATATTATTGAACACGACATTTACTGTAATTAAATACACAATTATTTATCTAGTTATAAGTATTACATGCAATTAATATTACTTACCGCATTTGGTACAAACAATGTAATGCAAACAATCACAAAACCCGCCTGAGCAATGCTGCTTCTTGCCATTCTGTCGAAGATATGGTTCACATCATAACGAAAAGTATCCCAGCGAGTCTCGCCGGCGAGCATAAAAATGTAAACCGCTGCGGTTTTGGGAAAATACCATATCCGATTCGGGAGGGAAATGCCTTGCGATCTGCCGAGATAAAGATTCGTCTGGGAACTGAATTTGCGTCAAAATTCGTTGCCTGCCTACCTACTTGTTCGCATTGAAACAATGCCATGCGACTACTGTTAGTCCAGTTCAGACAGCTTTTAATTTCTCATTAGGATTAACCTTCGAACATGGTCGGATTTTTCTTCGTTATTATTGCACTTTCTATAAAAGAATGTTTACTTAATGTACCGCTTTTATTTCTTCTAACTAATTATGTAAAATCCCATTAATATTAGAAAACCTATTTTAAGATAAAAAAATTGTACAGATAAATTATAAAACTGATAAAACGAGCATCTTACTTACTACTAAGGAAGTACCTACATTATTTCCGCAACATTCAACGATATCATCACCACATCCTCTTACTACTGCAAACCTAATCCAAACAAATTCCTACACAATATTCACCTACAAATTATAACTTCCAGAAAAATCCCAACCGAAGCAATCGGTCAGCCAGCATTCGCTGCCCAGCCCGTTGGACATCGCCTCGACCCTGCAAAACAACCCCGCCACCCAGCACGATTCCATCACCGCCTTGGTGGGAGCTTGGACCGAGCTGCTCCTGCACGATCTGGCCAGCACGGGCAACATGAAGAGCCAGGATTGCTGCAGCGACAACGCCAAGAAGCACGGCGAGTGCTTCGGCAAACTGGGAAACGGCCAATGCAGGGAGTACATGAGGACCCTGCCCGCCGTCGATATGGATTCTTGTAAATTTGGTAGGTGAAAATGCACTGGTGAAGATTATGTAATGAAATTTATTTGTAATTGCGCGTTTTAGAAAATCCCTAACGTACATAATTAGTTGTTGTTTCCCACTAGAGCATTTAGGGAAAACTGATGATGATTTATTCATCTATTTCTACCAATTCTCGAGGCTAGGAATTTTCTAAGAAACCGACATTATTTATAAATGACGAATGCGTGTGTGTGTATTCGTTTTCTATGAATCCAATGCACTATTGATTCACACATGACAAATGCATCAGACCTCCTCGAAAGCATTGCAACACATCCTTTGTTCGTAGAATACAGAGACCAGATGAATTTGGCCACGTCCTTCCTGGATGCATCGGCCATTTACGGCAACACCGATGAACAAGTGGAGAACCTGCGCACCTACGACGCCGGTTTGGTGAACGTGTCGGCCTGTTCGGCGTGCAGATCGAACGCCCTCTACTCGGCCATACTGAAGGAGCACAACCGGGTGGCCATCGATCTGGCCCGATTGAACAAGCACTGGACCGACGAGGTGCTGTTCTACGAGAGCCGCAGGATCGTCATCGCCGAATTGCAGCACATCACCTACAACGAGTACCTGCCGATCGTTATCGGAGAGGAGGCTATCGTGCATTCGCAGTTGGAGCTCAAGACTCACGGGAGGTTCTCGAAATATTCCAGTACTCAGAAGGTCGGGGTTTATAACGAAATAGCTATTTCTGTACTGCCGGTGCTACTGTCTATGTTACCGAAATCTGTTGTAAGTTTACGCTTGCTTAAAGCGATTATAAATTAATAGAAATAATTTATAGATGAATGAAAGTATAAGCACTTTCGCTGAAATGGTGGACCTCTTAATTCGAACACCAGCTAATATACCGAGCGTTCATATAATGGTACCGATTAGAGCGGAATGGGATACAGCCTCGCTGTTTATCCACATGGGACGAGACCACGGAATACCATCGTACACGAATTACCTAAAATATTGCACGAACTCCGCCAGTAAAAAACCCCTCACCTACGAAAACCTCACAAACTATGGCATCAAAGACGAATACATCAAAGCTCTGAAGTACATGTACAGGAGCCCCGAGGATATCGATCTGCTAGTAGGCGGTTTGTTAGAGAAACCTATTCCAGGTAACCTCCATCAACTTACCCTACAACTATTTCATCTAACAATTTTTAAAATTATCTTCAAGGTGCCGTGGTAGGCGCAACTTTCAACTGCCTACTGAAACACCAGTTCCAACTTCTCAAAGAAACCGACAGGTTTTGGTACGAAAACGATCTACCGCCTAGTTCCCTAACCACCGAGCAGCTCAAAGAAATCAAAAAAATAACGCTAGCTGGACTACTTTGCGCCAATACAGACAATCTGGATAGGATCCAACCTAAAGCTTTCGTACAGGAAGATCCCTATTTGAATTCCAGGATATCCTGCGACCAACACCCGCTACCCCAGTTATCCGAATGGGTGGAAATGGATCCGATGTCGGACATTTCGTCCGATTTGCTAATGGAAGCATTAGAGAAAGCCGAACGAGATTTGATGGAGAGGAGGAAAACGGAGTACAAAGTGTGGAGCGAAGGTTAGTTACAAACATTTCTGTTAATACGAATTTATTTATTGGTATTTTCTAGTCGGAGGTATCAACCCGAAATCTCCCCAAGGAGTAGCAGCCGCTTTCAGTAAAGCCAACAAAAACGCCTTGAAACTAGCCAACACCTCGCTTCTCTTCGAATTCGCCTCCAACGAGATAGTAAACTCCCTGCTACACAGGAGAAGAAAGAGGCAACTCTTCGATAACCACGTCGTCGCTTCTCTATTTAGAGAAGAATTGAGCGACGCCTTGCAGCAAGTAGACTTCGGCGCTCTGTTACCCTCTCAAACCTTCGACGTCGATTTACAATGCGATGATACAGGTCCCTGTGATCCCAACACACCTTTCAGAACTTACACTGGTCATTGCAACAATCTAAGAAACCCCAGTTATGGTAAAAGTCTTACAACTTTTAATAGGCTGCTTCCTAGTGTCTACGATGATGGTAATAACTAAAGTTTTAACATACTTAAAACGCGTATTAACTTTGTGTTGATTGAAGGTATATCGAAACCAAGATCAATCGGAGTAACCGGAGTACCTCTTCCGAATCCACGAGTCATCTCCAGAATCATCCACCCGGACATCAGCAACCTCCACAGCCGGTACACGCTGATGACGATGCAGTTCGCGCAGTTCCTCGACCACGATCTGACGATGACGCCCATCCACAAGGGTTTCCACGAGTCGATACCCGATTGCAGGTCGTGCGACAGCAGGCGCACGGTGCACCCGGAATGCAACCCCTTCCCGATACCGCCCGGGGATAATTACTATCCGGAAATCAACATCACTTCGGGTGAGAGGATGTGCATTCCTTCGATGCGATCGTTGCCCGGTCAACAGAAGCTGGGCCCCAGGGAGCAGGTTAATCAGAACACGGCGTTTTTGGACGCGTCCCAGGTGTACGGGGAGAACCACTGCGTGTTGAGGGACCTTAAGGGGCAGTTTGGTAAGATGAACGCCACCACGCATCCTGTGAGAGGGAAGGAATTGCTGCCGCAGAGCGACAAACATCCCGAATGCAAGTCTCCTTCGGGGCAATGCTTTATAGCAGGTACTTGTATGAAGTAAATAGGTAATTTGCATCGTTTAAGCGTTGGTTTTTTTGGTGTTTAGGTGATGGTAGAGCTTCGGAACAACCGGCTTTAACTGCTATACATACGGTGTTTATGCGCGAACACAACAGATTGTCTGATATTCTGAGGCAAATTAATCCCCATTGGGAGGAAGATAAAGTTTTTGAACACGCTAGAAGGATTGTTGTGGCCGAAAACCAGCAAATTACTTACAACGAGTTTCTACCAAGGATATTAGGATGGAACGCTATGAATCTCTACGGTTTGAAATTGCTAAATCATGGATACTACAAAGAGTACAATCCTTCTTGTAACCCATCGATATTTACCGAGTTTGCTTCGGCTGCTTTTAGAATCGGTCATTCGTTGTTAAGACCTCACATACCAAGGTAAATTACAATTACAATCAAATTTGTTATACATAAATTACAAGTAATATGGTTTAGAATGACTCCAAACTACCAAATCATCAACCCCCCGATTCTCCTGCGCGACGGGTTCTTCAAAGTGGACATCATGATGCGCGAGGGAATGGTCGACGAGATCACCAGAGGGCTCGTCTCCACGCCGATGGAAACGCTCGACCAATTCATAACGGGCGAGGTGACCAATCACCTGTTCGAAGACAGGAAGATCCCCTTCTCGGGCGTCGATCTCATCAGTCTGAACCTCCAGAGGGCCAGAGACCACGGCATACCGTCGTACAACAACTACCGGGCGCTGTGCAACCTCAAGCGAGCCTCGAGCTTCGAGGACTTGGCCAGGGAGATACCCCCCGAAGTGATAGCGAGGTTGAAGAAGATCTACGCCACCGTCGACGATATCGATTTGTTCCCGGGAGGGATGAGCGAGAGGCCGTTGCAAGGCGGATTGATCGGTCCCACTTTCGGTTGCATCATCGCCCTGCAATTCAGGCAATTGCGAAAATGCGATAGATTCTGGTAAGGATTGTTGCGACGATTCTGCAACCGGTTGGTTTAAATTGTAATTAATTGCAGGTACGAGAACGAAGATCCGGTTGTGAGGTTCACCGAAGCTCAGTTAGCTGAGGTACGGAAGATGACTTTGGCTAAAATTTTGTGCGAAAATATGGATATTGAAGGTGAGATGCAACGAGCTGCTTTCGATCTACCGTCTAACTTCTTGAATCCGAGAGTACCTTGCAACTCTTTGCCTACCATCAACATGAACGCCTGGAAAGAAACCACAAGAGGTCAGGGTTGCATAATAGGTGATAAGCAAGTAGGTGTGGGGCAATCGGCGTTCCCCAGCCCTTGCACCAGCTGTATATGCACCACTGAAGGGGTATAAACATTGCACAAATAATCCAATCAGGTTTAGTTTATTTTGTAAATTTCTAGGGTAATTGCGCTTCATTGAAAATCACCGATTGCAGACAGTTGATGAGAGAGTGGTCCAAAGAGGCTATATTGAGGGACGAAGTTTGCACTGCTCAATGCGGTTTCCTGCTGAGAGAGTCCGGATCGAATACTCTGCCTCAAAATCTCAATCCGCCGCCTCTGCAGAGCGGGAGAGGCCTGAGGCCCCAATTTCGAAGCCAAGGATTCGACAGTACTGGAGACTTTAAATTCCCCGATCTCACCCCTTTCATAGTCAAATAAGTTTTCGTTGGAATTGTTTCGTTTGTGCGGAGAACAGGGTACTTTATTTCCTCCTGTAACTGGGGTTGATTTACACGACTCGGTTACTTCGAACGCCCTGTATAATTGGACACTTTTAAATAATCATTCTGTATGTGTAAAGGAGAATATTTATATTTCCGTGCCAGCGATTCTTTAGTTATTGCGGATGTGGTTTTTTCTATATGTGTAATTTGTGTAAAAATATTGTATATATTCTAAGTTGTAAATGTGATTAATGTTAATAAAAAACGTACTAAATATTTATTATATGAGATGTTTAAATAATTGTAACGAAATGGAGGGCTCATAATAAAGTAACATAAGTAGATTTAGATAATTTAGAGGATTATTTTTATGTGTATTTCGCACGAATTTATGGAGTTTACTTAGCTGATCGTGAAATGAGAAGTGTAGTTTTAATTATCTCACAATCAGTGGTATAAAGTACAATAAAACTAATTAGGTGTAATCAATTCTTCTAGTAATTAATATGTAATAAATAATATTAGTCTTGTGTTTCAACTCATTGCAAAGACCTTCCTATATTTCTTCTAATTGTTAAAAAAATAATTTATTATTTCTCTAAAAATTTAGGGGTACTGAAACACTAATAGTTTAGTTAAATACATAATTTTATTTCTCTCGTAAAACACATAAGTTATAACATATACTTCACGTAAATATTCACAAACCCTCTTATTTTCTCTTTAAATATTCGACAGATTCGCCCTAATTTTGTAAATCGATTGGAATCTGAAAAATATTTTCCCTAAAATTATCAGTTGTTTTAAAGCAATTTATTGTCAGTTATTCGAGCTCGTATTTTTGGTAGAATTAAAAAGATTGATGATCAAAGGTAAAAACTACGAATTTTAATCTAAAATAATACTTTAGTAGGTAGGTAATACAGGTAGGAATGTTGAGAATTTTTACTTGGTAAAAATCAGCAAATCAACAATAAACGATAAGAGGAAGACGATTTGCATCTAATATTCCTACAGCAGAATTGAAAAAGTCAAACGAAGTACTAAAGTAGCGAAGTACATTCGCAATGGAGAGGAGTACGAGTTTTTTTAATAATTTTTTTATAAAACTATACTTATGAAGTCATTGATGAAAGTTTTAATTTTCTCTGTTCTCCTGAAAACTGCTTCGAGTTGTAATTACTTATTTCTATTCACATATGTGATGGTTAAAAACTGTATATCTCACATCGTACTCCTTTTCATTGTTGGATTTTAAATTTTAAATAAGATTTTTCTAGCTCGAAACGACAATTTTGCTCCCTTAAAATTACAATAGACAATAGCTTTGTTGAGGAAGACATTTTTGGCCGTTTTAGCCGCACACTGTTCTATTAACAGCAGATAAAGCTATCTCATTAAACTAACTAATATAAGAATTTCCTAACTGAACATGTTTTAGTTGGTCACTATTTAAAATAATCAACGTAAACTTACTCGTAATAGGAATATTAGAATATTTTGCAAATGGAGTGACTAACTTTTTCTAATATCTTATAAGTTTGTAAAGTAATAACGAGGCAGAAATTAACGAGTCTATTGCAAAATATTCTAATATAATGCAAAAATAAGTGTATGTGTGATTAATTGAATTAATAAAAATTGAGTAATAATATCAATTTGTAGAAACTTGTTGCCAAAGTTATGAATTGATTTAAATTAAAGACTTTATTAATTATCCTTTATCATTTGATCCATGTGTGCTTTAAAAACATTTGGGTAAGTATACATTTCAAAGAATTTTCGTTTTTTTACACTCCCATCATCTAGTTTTTCACCATTCGTTGTTAAACTATATTCATCGTTAAGTAGAGTGTATTTTAAAAATTCGATGTCAAAAATAAACTTTTAAAAATTGGCAAAAATTTTTACAAATCGAATTAAATTCCCCCGTTTTTCAATGATCAGGTATTGAATGAAATATTTTACCTTAACAATAAATCATAGTAAATTATATTTACAATAGTCTTTTTTGTTAGAATGTTCATACAATACCCATAGTAACTAACAATTACATTAACAAAATTATGCTAAAATTCACCCATATTTTTCCTTCTCTAAAATGTTCCTTACTTTCCTAAAGATATGTTAAATCGTCGAAAATTAAAAAAAAATACCCAGTTCACAGATCTTTCTTTTGACTTTAATTGACTACACATAGTTTAAAATTTTCAGTATAGCAGAATAAAGGCATTATTGCTCCTAATGATATGTTTAATTGTAATTTCATTATTGCACCGATCCACGTTCACGTTGATTTCGCCATTTCCGAAATTCGAATCCTTGTAAAATTTCGCGAATTAGTCATTAAAAGTGTATAAATTCATATTTATATCACTTCCAGCATTAAACTAGATCGAAAGAAACGATCTGTGTACCAAAAGTGTTTAGAGAAAATGATTGTTTTCGTACAATACGTGATTGCATTATTTAACCTGTCTAGTTTGGAAATATTGACCTCTTTTTTTCTTAACAAATCTATATAAAATAATACAATTTTTTTTGAAAAACACCAAAGGAAACACCAAATATCTTATGATGCTAACATATAGATATATACTCTTTATATATATTTCTGAATACATTTTAACAGCAACAATAAGATCATGAGTGTATTAAATTTATTGCAAAGTTAGCAAAGGAATAAACGCAACGAAATTGTTATTTTACGGTAAAAATTAAGTTTATATTCTATCTAAAAATTAGTTAATTAAAGTGAATCGAACAAAGGTGAAGTTTCCTTAAATTATATCTGCAAATACTCAAAATTGAACTTATAAGAAAATTCGTGTAACCAAATTTATAAAATTGTGCACCATCGAACATTTTCATAAGTTCACATTTATCATTATGTACAATACAGGTAGTTTAATAATTTTAAATCCATTCAGTAAAAAAAGTCCAATAACGTATCATGTATTTGCAATATCAGGAGAATACAAAAATACCAAAGAATATTAACGAAAAAATCGAAATGTATAATAAATTAATTCTTTAAGAAGTTGTCAATATGAAAATTATTAACATCAACATCAAATAAACATTCTTTAAAAGGAAATTAAGTGTAAACTCTAATGGAAATGAATTTTTGTTTCTCCTTATAGGTACATTTTATGCTACGTAGATTATTCTATAATATCTATTAAAAATGAATACAGGAAATTACCCTGCTACAAGCGTTTTTGTAACTTCTGCGTTACAAATATATCGATTTAAGTATCCTATAGCGAATTGCTTCGTGGGATTTTTGACATCTATGTATATTAATCGTTAAAAAATAATATCACATTAAACAAAATTGCCTAAAAGTATTGCAATAGCTGAAAAAAATATCAAAAATCTCATCGAATAGTTTTATTTCGAAAAGGCTGTAAAAGCTCTAAAATTCGAAATGAAATTTCTTAACTATCATATAGCAAAATATAGTTATTTCCATTTTTTATTTCATTCATTTGATTCAAATCTGCTGGTAACAAAAAAAATCGTTTATCTTGTTGAGCATTTCGTAAAATATAATTGGAAATATACAGAGGTGAACGAAACAAAATATTCAACTAATACCAGTAGATTTAAATATAACAGTGGCTAATATCCCGTTGGACGGAAACTTCAAATTCAACAATAAAAAATTAGCGAGTGTGAAAAATAGAAAACGTTTCCGAACAACAAGATTTAGTCGAATTGATGATAACACAGCAGCATAGTCTAAGTAAAAAATATCCATCTTTTATAGAAAATAGAAAAATTGTTATCGCACGAATTACTAATTCAACGTATTTTTACAATAAAACACGTCAAAGCGCTCGATAATTAAACCACATTTGACGCCACAGCGATTCAAGAGTACGAATTACGCACGTTTTAATTACCTACATAATTGCGACCGCAACTTGTCGCTACTAACGTTTCGAATTAATATCGACGGGCTGGCTCCCCATAAAGCGGCCCTTGACGTGAAAATTCTTACAAACAACTCCCCGTCGTCCAGCCGTTTCACATGAGACAAGTCGCCAGCAACGATATGGATACCAGGGAGAAGTTCAAGCATGTTCTCCACGATGTCGCGTTAGGGGTCACGTTGGATATGGCTTCTCCTACGGGACCTTCCGTCAATTGAATATCGACTAAAAAAAACGAGATTTTCTTATTAAATATCGTTTTATCTATAATATTCGCTTGTCAGCTAGGGAGGGGCTCCGCCCCTCCACCCTCGGCTTCGCCGACAGTTACATGTCCGATTCTCGCTCGCTGCGCGAGCTCGAGTTTATTGCTTAAATAAACATTTCCTTAAATGCGAGTCACCCTGTACTATATTTCAATTTAATTTAAAATAATTTTTCACTTAAGATAAAAAAAACGCGCCCCGTATATCAATTTTTCCGATTTCCTTAAGTTAAAATCACCCTGTACATCAAATTAAATGTCAACGTATCCATAGAAACAGAAATGTCATCCACTTCGTCTTTCATTCGGGAATGATCGTACGTCATCGCCGATTTGAAAGTTTTCATTTCCGGTTTGACGGCAGCCGTAAAATATGCACCGATTTCGAAAAATGCTAATAATTCGATAAATAATAATTTAAAAAATGGGAAAAAATTAGGTAGATAGAAAAATGTCGTATCTATAAATTTTCGTTTTTAAAATTTTCTAAAACATGATAATTTCTGAGCTTTGGCGTTACAAACTTAAAGACAATTTAAAAACGGTTTTTTCGAAAAAACATAAAAAGTACTAATCGGAAAAACACCCGGTACGTTTTATTAGATCGACAAAAGTATTTTCTATTTTTCTGCAAGTATAAAAAATGTTTGTAAATCTTACCGTTTATGAGTTATTTCGATTTTTAGAAAACCCTTGAAAACTACTTTTCTCAATATTTTCCGAAAACGAATTTTTCATGGGAAACGACTATATACAAATGTTGGAGAAGCGGGTAGAGAATACTTGGGGAGATTTTAAAGCATCACAATATTACTCGATTTGAGAAAAGTGCGAAAAACCGAAAAAAAACATTAATTTCGCTCATTTGACAATGAAGATGAAAATTTACGAGGTCGAAACGTCGATTTTCCGATCGGGAGTGTTCGTTTCCATGGGATTCGGTACTTTTCCCTGTCAAAATGGACGACTGGCGGCCGTAAAAAAAAATCTCCAATCAGTGAGTTTGACCATTACAGTTTTATATATATTGGGACATGTTTCTAGGAATTTTCTGGGTGTTTTGCAGAAGTTGTTAATGATGGAATCGTTAGAAAAATCGCTCGCGTTCAAGTAAAATTAGAGAAACTTCGCAATTACCTGAGAACGGCGAGAGCTATAAAAGAAACGAGATAATGAAACAGAGCGACTCCTCTAGATGAAATTTAAAAATAACTCATTACCGAGGCAATTAACCTCGTCGGGATTTCGAATTATAGAAATTCGACGAGGAGCCTCTTGCGGGATAAAGCGGAGATAAAACCCCGAACTTCGAAACTCCTAATAAGATAAAACCGAACGAATTCCAGGCGCTTCCGATCCGCGAGAATCCCCTCGAATTTCCCAAACTTTAAAGGCGCCGTTTTTCGGCAGATATTCCCAAAACTATGCGCGCCAACCGGATGAAACTTTCATTATATTCGCAACATTCGAAGCTCTAGAAGGGGATCTGCGGTGATGTAGGTAAACACTTACTTCGAGACGTCGCCGTTCTGAGGTCCGCGTAATTATCCAAGCTGCTGATGTACCCGGGAATGGTCGAGATACAAGTCAGCGTCAGCTGCCCGTCATCGCCGACGTGGAGCTCCGAAACTTCCACCGATAGCTGTTTGATGGCGAAAGTTTTCTGCTCGAAGTAACCGTGACCGTGGATCATTCCGTTCGAGAAGGATTTGGTCAGCTTGTCGGGCACCTGTAATCCCAACACTCCAATTAAACCGGCGAAAACGATTGGAAAAGGGCGAATCGAAGGTAGAGAAAGTTTTGTATCGCCGTAGAAATTCGCACAAGGAAAATGTAAATTTGATGGCGACGTTTCAACAGGCGAACGAACGTTGCAAGTGCTCGCGATTCCGTCATTATTAAAGGCGAAAACTAACTTTGCACTTAGTTGTTGGAGTTGAAGACAATCGCACAATAGCACCTCGATTCGCCTTAATTCATTCATTACCGAAAGCGATGTAAATGTGTCTATTCGTTAATGTAGCGAAATGGCGTTAGTTTAAATTGATACGAAGCCGACGGCTGTTTGGGATTTCCACTGTATTAATTCTATACAATTTTCTTATACCCACACGCGGCTGAATTGTTAGCTGGAAAAGTATATATGTACAAGCATAAAAACATGCGAGAGCGCTTTTAATTAGTTTCTCGCTGAGAGTGTCTTCAAGAAACTAATCCATCATTCCTTGTGTGCAAATCCTGGGTATTATTTCGCGATCACGCCCGTTTCTAAGAGAGGATTAGCTTTCCCTAACGTCGATCGGCGAAACTAGAAACGTCCGAACGAAATAGAAATCCGGACACAAATGGGGTCGTGTGTCGATTAGCAACGAGGCGATTAATTTCAATCGTTCAAAATCAACCAAATTCCAATACCGTTTCCTCTTAATACGCCAAAGAGAAAAATTAACCCGGACTGTTATTAATGGTCGGCGTTTTCGAAGGAAATAGATATACCTCAAAACACCTGTTCAAGGCTCTTTGTTGCGCCTAATTAATTGACTTAACCAACTTAAAAAGGAAATGACTCGAATTTGTCGCTGCTCCGAAAACGTGACGTCGAAAAGAAATGGCGATAACGAGGAAAGTTAGAATTAATAAAAGGCCGGACGGGCTTTCAGTCTTACGACGAGAATTTCGAATATAAAATCGTTAAAAGTTTACTACCGAGTCGATGAATAAGAGAACAGTCAGTATAAAGTGAAACACTTCTACAAGCATCCATTAACAGCGAGTTATACAGGATTGTGGAAACAGCACAGTGGAGTAAAGCGGGATTATTTACATCACCACCTCGTGGTGAAATGTAACTTTCCAAATCCGCGTATCATTAAATTATCGGTAAAGTTTATATAGCGAATAAATCAATGCGCTTAACCGCGGACGCGTTGCAACCGAATTGTTCTAACCCAATTAAAATCCAGTCGCGGTTTGCTATACTGGGACCAAAACCCGAATTCAAAGTGGCCTAATACCGATAGGAATTCAAAAACGCGGCTGTTTTGTATCGCAATTACCATCGCAAGAATCGGCGAATTAAATTCGTCGAAATTGGCATCGATTAGAATAATTCTCTTGCGCTGGAAAAGCGCCGTTTCCTCTTAACAGCCGACTGTTTCTAATAACCGAATTACCGGAAACGTTCGTTCGGCGTCGGAGGGCAACTTTTCCTTTTAACTTCGTTCCGCCGTTCCCGGGATTCAAATCGAATTAATCGCTGTTGCATGATTTCTCTTTCATAATCCGTTCATCAGCCGGCTATAGAAAAAGGTCGCTCTGTATGAACGATTCGCGATTTTTCCGCCTTTGCGCTTTGCTTTTCGATTGCTCTTTGTCGAGAGTCGCATGGATTTTTTCTTTCAATTGGTACTCATTGTTTCGCTCGTGCAATGGAACATCGCCGATTTATTTTAAAGACTCCCGGGTAGTGGATGTGAATATAACTCAAACGTGCTTCGGGTTTTTGATGTCTATACGTCGGAAATTCGCGCTCTACTAAGTCCGGCAGTTCATACTGAAGTACTAAAAGTTGGCGTATTATGCAAACAGTTCCACAATAGGAAATAATGTCTCCGGATGAAATTATAGTCACGTTCGCGAAACGAGAGTGTCTCATAGAAGCACGAACAAGAGGGAACCTTGCCTGGGGCTTATTAGCCTTCATCTATTCAGCAAACCCCCGGTATTTTCTTCGGTGTAATCCGCAACACGATTAACAATCGTCTCCTTTACAACACACAGTCGAATTGCAATTATTTCATTAAAAACTCGAGCGATTTCCATTCGATAGAGGCTCCGGCAATTCGCCGATTTCGATATCGAAACGACATCTTTCGGACAATTAATTGCATTAGTCGTTTCGGAACGGTCGGCGTATAATTCTCGAAACAATTAACATTTTTCATTCGCTTCTTTTTCGACCTTAATCTGTTTGATATGCCATGTTGATTCAAGTTATTTCCGAGCGACATGCGAGGGTATATTTAGAAATATAATTGCCTTCTTTCCTTTTTTGCTGTATATAATCAGGCTCTATCTGATTATATTAATAAAGCTAAATAGTATTACGAGTATATATAAATAAAATGTTACCAAAGTTTTTAGTAGATCCAGTTTGATCGTATTTTCTCTTTAATAATCTCGCTTGTTATAGTGTCTTCAATATTAAAACGAGTGGGTTTGATTTCTTAGAGAAGCAGACATCGATAATTGAAGCTCTCGATTTTCCAATAACAGATAGACGTCGCTTTAAATAGTTAAGGAGATTTTATTTCAGGTAAAATTCACGTCTATTATCCGAATGATTGCTTTTCAACAACATCGAGTTTTTCTAATAAAAAACTACAAACTTCTAAGACTTCAAATTTCCAAATAAACCCAGCAGGTTTTTTTCTGCGTTAGGTAGTTTTCCCAGAGCCTAATGTCCGTTTTAAAGGATTCGAATTGTAAAAGGAAGCTCGTATATCCGAAGGAGACTATTGTTCTTTTTCCGAAAACAGCACCTGCCTCCTTTACCCTCAACAAAAGAAGAAAACCCGGCAAATCCGCATTATTCATCCGTTCTCCCATAAGACCGGGAAAAGTGACTCTAATTGATCCCCTCGCCATGATTGCTGGCTCCCGACTGGCCCGAGAGAAAAAGTAAATTAATGTCCGTGAACGAAATAAAAATAAATGTTCTCCCGTCGCCTGATCCTGTCTCGCGACGTTGGTCAGAGGATCCCCGGCCCTTTCGCGCTAATTTGCGGAGGGGAAACGAAATTTAAGAGGGCATTATTAAAAGAAAATTCATTCGGTTTCGCCGTGACACGAAAACGCGAACAGCGCCGGCCTTTATTTATTATCCACTTACTTATTAACGCCGGGTACACCGCGTTAGGGCGACATGTCGCGGTGAGTTATCGCCTCTGTAATTTATCGCAAGGATTATATCATTGAAAAAAATATATAGGTACCTACTGGAAGAGATAATAAAACGGTTGTTGCTTCGTAGGTTATATCGATAATGCTGGTTTCCATTTACAAATTTGCCGGAAAATTTAACTCTAAGTCCGGGCCTGCGTCGGACAGTTAATTTAAATGTTTGAGCCGTTCGCAATTTTTCTTTGATATTTCTAATTTTCTCCGGTAATTTCTTTATTTCCAAATTCAGGGGGCTTTATATTCGTTTCGTTGCCAACGGCGTTTGTTATATCCGCTCGATTTTACCCTTAAACCGGGAATGAAACGATCGTTTCCAAATCGCTCCAATTCAAACTTCTGTAACTAATTAATTAAAACATGTGGAATACAGAATATTTAATTAATAAGTCGAAGTTTCATTAACGCGGAAAATTAATTCAATGTCATACGAAGGAAATTTCTACAATAGGAATTTCACTGGACACCACCTTGCGTTAGACTGAAAGTTAATTTCCAGAGATTATTCACTCGGCTCCGCGTAAAGGGAGACTTTGATGGCAGTTTCGCGTTTCTGCTGCGATTCTTACAGGCAAAGCCTCTTTGGCGCCGTTCGAATGCTCGAGACCTCGAGGAAAGAGAATCAAAGAGACGCTCGGAAATAATTATACTAACAATGTTTGCAGAGGAATTTAGCTGTTAGCTGGAGAAGAATTCTCTCGCGAGATTATGATCCAGATGTCTCCGGCAATCGTTACTTTAAATACAAGTGAATTGAATTATCTACGAGTAGTTCGGAATAGTAAGTTCTTATTATATGGAGTTTTTGATGCTCGAGGGGTTGTAGAAAACGTATAATGTAGGGAACTCGTTATTGAAATTTATATCTACATCACTTATGTACTTGTGCTTTGGGCGATTTTTGCGAGATAAGCAAAAGCTGTGTACATATTATTATTCGCTACAAAACTTATAAAATCTACTTCTAAAGTTTTCCGGCTCGTTACGAGCATCAACTCAGCTGAAACTTTCACCGAAAATAACAGAGCGAAAAAATAATAAAGCAATTTAAACTATTCAAAAACTTTTCCTGTTAAATATCAAAACGCCTTTGGAAACTCCACTAAACATTTCACCGACGATTTAAACGGTTTCCTTATGAATAAACCGACGGCTTCGCAAAACTGGATGGATAATATTTTATTAACATCAAAGAAAACGATTTCTGCGGCTCCCATCTCTACTCGGGCAAGCGAAAACCCGACGTAATAATAGCTTGTGTTTGCGAAAGGACTGCGAGAAACGAAACAACGCGCCCTGAAAAAAAGATATGCGTGAAAATGTGAAAATATATTTCCGAAAGGCATCGAACTGTGAACTTTAATACACCGAGACATGGAAAATTCATGAGAATCCGTAAGGGTCGTATTCCACCGGGTAGCGAGTCGCATGTTGCATCATGTCAGCGAATAAATAGAGAAATTTAAGGAAAAATGCGTCTGGAAAAACAATTTCCTCGCGAGGCTCTTGACGCTGTAATTGAGGATCTAATAAAGGTAGCTCTTCGATTCACTTTACGGCCTACGCCGGCCATCTTTAGAGCCTTTCGGAGCTGATAGACATTCACCGGTGTCGACAGGATGCCATTGTTGTCGATCTAGTCCGGGCCAACGAGATCCTTACAATAGAAAATAAGATGTTTACGTTGTAAACGTTATCACTAGCGGGTTTATTTTTAGAGTTTTTCCCCGAGGAATGGCTAATAATCCGCCAGAAGGGACCGTTAGAATTTAATTAAATTTCTAATACTGCAGTTTACGTTCGAAATTTATCGCACGCTTTTTCCTAATGCCTTTTGTTGTTTCCATTTAGTACACTATATTTCATTATTTGCTCGAGTGATTTCCATTTTCAAATGCCAGTAGGCTTCGCTAATGTTGTAAAATGGAATGGTTGTTAATTGCAATTTTGAATTATGTTTAAATGAGGAGTTTGGGAAATAACTCTAGTCGATAACTAGTCCATCTCTAGCTAGTTCGCGAGTTTCGTTTCTGAAACTTATCTGGAATTCTTATCTTTATGTTTTTCAGGAGCTGTTGACACGAATAACGAACATTATTTATGAAACGACATCTGTTGAACATGCAATGAATCAAGTAAAAAAAATTAAGAAAGGTATATTTAACGCAGAAAAAACAACGCTATTATTTTACCACTTTTTATAAAAAAAACAACAATTTCAGATGAAAGATATACCTCGTTATTGTCGTGTTTCTACTTCAACGCAACCACGTTAATTGTCCCGCAATCTTACGTAAAAGTTACGTTAAATTGACATCAATCAGTGACGAAATAAACGGTAAATTAAATAACCAAAAAAACTTACTTTTTCGTTGTTGATCAGCCAAGTGATGTGCGGCGGCGGGCGAGAGGGCGCTGTCGTGCAGTTGGCCTCGAGGACTTCCCCGATTTCGTAAATCGCCTTGTTGAAAGTGATCTCCGGATTGTACGTTTGAGGTTCTGCAAAAATGATAATAGAAAACGATCGTTTGTAAGGCGAAAGAGGCGACCGTCGCTGTTCATTTCGAATTTCGAATACCGCGGCCCCTTCATTAAATCGAAGACGATTCCCGGACGAAAATTCACGGTCGGCGTAACGGAAAATTCCCCAATAAAATCGCATCAAGCCCTCCACCTGTTCGAGACGTACTCGAAATTCTTTTGTGCGCCCGATCCTCCAGCATCGCAGCGGCGGGGTTGGTTATTCTTAATTTTTTCATCTTTTAAAATCATCCCAAACTCGATTTACAAACTCACCGAATCCAACTTAACTAGGTAACTTAACTAAGTAAAATATAATAAAACGCCTTAAAGAAAGCGTAAATGGTTCGTTTGTAGATTATTTTCGAGTACAATTCGTGTAGTTTTCGATCCATGTTGGCTAACTCCGGCTCTGCTCGAGTTTCCTTTGTACTGGAAACGCGTCTCTTTATTGCTCTCGTTCTATTTGCGAGCTGTAGCTTTTTCTTTGACTGGTTATTAAATTTTGGTTTTATTTAGCTCTTATTGTGCGGTTTTGGCGGCGCGTAAATCCTTATCGGTTTTACACGTTGACAGGTTTTGATGGATATTTCGGGCTCGAATTTCGACGGAAATTCCGGCGAAATGTTGCTCTAAATATTGAACAATTTAATTACCTATAATAGTGAGATCCTTGATGTCTGAGTCCTTAGAGAAAATCGGCGTCTCCATAGAGACTACGCACGAATATGATCCCGAGGCTGAAAAATCCAATTTGGTTAGCTGGATTTGTTTCTCGCTGCTGTTCATTTTCTGAAACAACGAGAAAATTGGTTCAAAATGCGTAAACCTACGTTCCTTTGTGCCATCCATCCTTCCATTTTTTGTTCAACAAATATTCCGCGGGCTATAAAGAATACATTACACTTTTATGTATGATTTAAATGCATGACATACCTACTGAATCATGAATCGGTTTTACAGTCGATATTTCCATCGGGTATCGGATTGGAATAATATCCGAACAGTCCAATTAGACGCGTAGAAGTTAGTTACGTAAAAATGAAAAGAACTTTCCAAAACTAAGTTACAGCGAAGTTTAATTAAATGTGCCTGGCGTAGGAAACCCGAACGAGCCGTAACGGTCTCCAGTCGGAATAAAAATCCTCTAGGTGGCGCGAAGAAATAGTGGAGGAGGTTTAAAGAGCGAGGGTTTGCGGAAAAATCGGGCCAATTTGCAAATAGAGAGGTTCCACTCGCTTATCTGCACACCTGGAAGTGCAAGAGGCTCGTCCATTTTAATAAAATCCCAGCCGATTTTTTGGAATTAATTACAAACTTTTTATCGAGATCCTTTTCGCTGCGAATCAAATTCGAATCGTAAGAGACGCCGAAACTTCGGTGGAAACTTTTTAATAAACGAAGCAGCCGGGGAACGCTTTAATTGCCAACCGAAGCCATTTAAATATTATGAATTTATATATAAACTCGACGTTTTTATCTATCAATACCGCTGTTACTACAATGGCGAAAGTGCTCGAGTATACGAGAAGGGTTAGCGATGAATCTACAAATAACATTCATCGCGAACAAATTAAATTCCGCAAGTTTGGCCGTAATTTCAGCACGGAGCCATTCTGCTGTCTGAAATAAATCGAAAGGTGGTTTTCGGAATGCTCTATGATATCTCTGATTAAAACGTCACCCCCGCTCTTTCTCGCTTATTAAATACACCTCTGCAAATTCAAATTTACTGAATGTAAAAAACCCCATTTTGTTTAAATTAAACGATGATAATTGTTATTTAAAGTAAAGCAATTAAGCGGGAAGTTGTGAAAGCGTAATAAGAGAAATTAATTTCGCTAATGTTACAAAAATAGCCCGACTGCGAACGCAAAATAAATGTTATGGAAAATTTGATTTGATTTTGATGAAAAATGCGACCGATTTTTATTGCTGAAAATGTGGAATTTAGTTCGTAAAGTTCGATAAATGAAATAATTTCGCGAAAATAAAATGGAAATAATGCGGAAAATGTATGTAAAATAATTCAATTTTTAGGGTGAATTAAACAGTATGGGAGAAGGAATAAAAAATAGTATCTGTATAACTGTCGGTGTATAAATATACGATAAAATGATTTGTGTATTGAAAAAAATAATTTCCTTGCTTTGGTGTATATTATTTACACACAGAAATCATCAGGAAAAATCAATCTATCTTCCCATAGATTTCCCGATGACCCCTCATAAAATATTAGCGACATTTGTTTAGCGATAAATCTTTTCCCTCCAACGATTCCTTCCAACAAACATGAACTATTCCGATTTCGCTGATGCAAAAAATATCGGGTTTTCCATTTAGCGAGTCCCATCTGCTCCTCTTCGCGATCCTCCAAGTAGATTTAAAACGACTCTTTTTGCGAGCCTCATCAAGCAGAATTTATTTTCGAATTAAGAACCCGCGGTCGCCCTTATTTGTCTTTTTAAACAACGGAAGTTTTGCATCCTCCAATTACTGTACACACTTTGGAATTTAATTAATTTTTAACAGTAGCTCTTTATAATATAAAATTCACTATACTAGCCATCGAGTTCTCGGGTCTGGTAATTTCCGGCGGTGTTTTATTATGATTATTTTAATAGCATCAGTTATTCAGCTCGCGAGGACTTACGAATGGAGCGTTGTAACTCCAAATGTCGCGCAAAAAACGACGAGGATTTTATCGCAGCTGCAGGTGGTAACAACTTTATTCAAAACAGCTTTGAAGTCGCGCTTCCGTTTCTATATTTCATGCAACGTTATTACGCCCCGGGCGTAACGGAATAAGCGTTCTCCCGTCGATTAATTAACACATTTACCGTTAAGGGAAGACCGACAGATCATAATTAGTCAGTTTTGCTTCCAACTGTTTAGCATTAACCGGTTGTAAATTACAATGTAAATTCGAATGCGATACACCTGCTTACCTCTCCATTTTCCTAACACAAATATCCAAACAAATTATCTCTTTAAAGCAGATAATTTAAGGGTGAATAAAATCCACTTCGACTACCCTCGAGCAGGTGTTGGGCATTACTCCGGTCTCTTCAATCGAACGACATTTTTTTTGCTAAATGCATCACGTTTTGCTACAGCTATTTCTACATTAGCTCGTCGTGGGCTCGGAATGAGTCGCTCAATATTCTCCGCACTTATTCCGCACTTCCCTGTTTTCCTGCTTTACAAAACATCCCATTTACTGGGCTGGAATCGCTGCATGCATTTTTAAGAGAGCCCTCGCAAAAAATCACTATAAATGCTCGTTCGAACGCTTTACGGATAAGAGAAATAATTAATGAATTTCGTAATCACTAATCTTTTGTGGCGGTAGAATGAGTATGGTAATTTCGCAATGTATAGTGCGTTATTTGAACTTATTAATGGCTTATTTGGTCAACGGTTAAGCCGAACAAAGGATGTCGAAATTCCTGTTGTGGAACTGACGTTTATCGACTGCACAATCGAACTTTAATGGAAACTGTTAAAAACTTTACACATATGTCGAGACCTAATAGTTGCTCGTTGGGAATCTATCGCGCCAATTTCACCCCGATCTTTTTAGCGACCTCTATGGTAGACGGTAAATTGTTGTGGAGTCGGACGAATGGGTTTAACAAACTTCTAGTCTATTAAATCCAACAAACGACTTCATAAATCGCACAAAAGTTCCTAACCAAGTGCAGGAATTGCGCTCAACACAATACATGTAATGATGATTGGAACTGCTGGAGAAATGATACCTAAATACCTGCAAATGGTGTGAATGGATTGATGGAATACCTACAGATGAAAGTTATAGTTACAGTAAAAGTTATGGTTGTGGATTAAAATAATTTAAGAGCTCCTACAGTTTTCTGGAAGGGAAAATATATAGTATAATCGAATGGTTGTTTGTTACCGGCATGAAAACAGTTTTTTATACAAGCTCCTTAACGACCGTCAGGTCATAATAATCGAGTTTTTCCCGATGATATATTCGGTTCTTTCGACGTTTCGGAATGTTGCTTGTCGTGATTTATTCGTCAGAGCCTAGAAGGGTAATCAATTACGCGATTATTTTCTTATTTTCCTCGTAATTTACGAGCGAATTTTATTATTACAAGGAGAGTCATGCGGAAAATGTTTCCGGCGGGTATGTTGGATGCTATTATTTTTCCACGTTTATTATAGTAGTAATAATATCCGGTTTCATCGCAATCGAAAACAGAAACGTTATACCTTTTTATACAAATAGCGTATACAATTACGTTTTCATTTTTCGGTCAGTTCGCTTATGTTACATGATTCTGTTGACCCTACATCTGTGGGTTTTGCTATTTTTAACCGGATAAAATAATATTTAATATTAATGGCGGTTGTCATTTGCAATTTGCAACGCAATCAGTCGAAATTACGCACGACGACTAATTAAATAATCCGAGCAAACATGCATTACTCAAATTAAACAACCAGCCTGCGGGGAAAAAATCCACAATAACAAACTCATAAATTGTAAATTCGCAGCGAAATGCGCAAATTTCGTCGACCACTTCAAATGGATGAAATGTTTCATCATTGCCTTTGATGATTATAACAAATTTCAGGTTTATTTGTTTTACGGTGTATTTGATTATAACGTTAGTAAACGTTCTGGGGCAAAATCACCGCAGGGGTCTTTTTGCAATAATGCCTCGAATAGAGACAACTGTCGATGAAAGTCGAGGCACAAAGCATAAATTTAATCGAACTGAATACCAATGTAACCAATATTGAGATATCCCTTTGTGTTCCTGTTTATAAGTGAATTATGGCGGCTTCTCTATTGTTTTTCAAAGCGTTCTGTTAGTGTCGGTTCTCGATAACTAATAAATTATCTTCGTGCTTCATTAAAAATTGCACCGTTTCGGTTTAACTGCTTCAAATATCGCTCGTTTTACTGCGCACAGCGAGTTAATGTATTGCGAAAATCTTGTTAAAAATTAATATAACCCTAAAAGCGAGGATGTAGCGAAATTGGGATTCTATATTACGCGATACCATCCATTCATATAATATTCTTTATTAAATTAGATTATATTATCTTTTCTTTTTGTTCCATCAATTTCCCCGAAGACGCAATATGCGAATCCGATTTTAGCGGAAGTTCCCAGTTCAATTCGCCCGGAAAAAAATTCCGAAAGAGAATTCCCGCGGTGTTTCGCGAAGCACCATCCGTTCCGTTTACCCCGGATTTTCATTTTCTCAAAAATATTTCTTCTAATCGCGACTAATCTCGGCGCGCCTCCATCGTTTTCGAATAAAACGAACAAAAATAGAGATTTATTGTTGAAAACGTCCTCTTCCGATTCTCCCTTTGCTCCGTCCTAACGAGCACTTGGCGAGCCTGGAAATAATTTGAAATATGAAGTTGCTTTCCTGCAAAAACAAAAGGCTCGAGTGTCATGTTACAAGTCACGTTCGTTCCTTAGACTTATCCCACCCCGGTCTGCGAAGTTTCCGGATTTAATGCAGAACCGGGAGAGTAGAAAAATGAACCGGCGGTGGTGGATTCATTCAAAACTTTAGGCACTCGATATTTTTAACATTGGCGTTAATTCAGAGTCGATGTGAGTGTATGAAAACTTGCATCGACAAAATAATTGTTCTGGTTTTATAAAAACATTTATAGGTCTTGTTTCCAGATAGATATTTAGTTATCGAACAGGGTAATTAAAAAAAAACTTCCACAATGGAAGTTACCTCAAAACTAATAAACCTCCGAGCATCTTCGGCGTTCTAAAGAACCCTTAGTA